TGAACCGCTTCAACCGCAGCCTCTTCGCGAACCCTTCGCTTATTGCCGACACATTCGCACCGGTGTCGAGCAATATCTTTGTACGCCGGTCGTTCACTGCTCCCATAACGAGAGCTATCATCCGAACTCGGCGGTCAAACTTTTGTGACGACCACTAGCCGAATCGCTCCCCAGGGAGCAGCTTCATAACTCTGGTGGCTGTGGTCACATCCGTCGATCGCTGAGTCGCAACTGCACTGCACAATCTTGCTCGGCTTTCTGTTCCACTCTCGCCGAGCTCACCATCAAGTCCATCGCTTTCACAATCCAATACGTCGTCTTCTCCTCGGTCCTCGGGCCTTCCTGCCTCACCCACAAAGGCAAACACAAAGTTCGCCTCCACTGCTGACTCAGCTGACTGTGGCAGCCCGGTATCATCCAACCCAGTCAGTGTTGACGGGCCGCCGAGTTTAAATCACTCGGCGTGTAGAGGTCCTGGAGGTCTTCAGGTAACTTGGACTTGTCGACATTGGACTTGACAAATGCGGCGAGCTTCTCATAGCGCTGGAACAGCTCGCATTGAGCATTGACCGACATCGTGCAATTGCTTGCAGAACTTGCAGCGACGGCGGCAGTAGTGAACGGAGTGGTTCGCACCACCGCAGGCAGCACAAGGTCCATACGAGGGGCGTTCACGGGAGTCACTGCGCCGCCCAGTCTGGTCACGCCGATCGTATCCTCGACTGGCGCGGTCAGCCGAGCTCGGCTGACCCCTGCGGTGATCACTCCATGGTGTTCCAGCTGAGTTCCCTCGGCCCCCTGATCTACAGTCGCGGTCGCTAGTGAACCCGGTGTCGATGTAATCGTCTTCCGAGTCTGCAGCCGAGTCGGAGTAGCTCGGCTGGCTGCCGTCGCTCTGATCACTGTCCGAGTCGTAGGGGTTGGATCGCCGATTGGATTGGCGTCTCTCAGCCAGCTCATACGGGCCGTCCTCCAGCAGCGCTGTCGCTAGTCGGCGGTCTCGACCATCGTCGCGTCGGCTTCGCCGGTCATCTCGGCGGTCATCTCGGCGCGGCTCACTCCGCCGAGCTTCCGAGTGCCTTGGCGAATCGGTGCGCTTGGCATCTCGGCTGCGGCTTCCGATGAGACGGTCGCGCTGTTTCTTCCAGCGCTCCCCCAGGATCTTCTGGTTGATGATCTTCTCGACCTTCTTGATGTCGGTGAGCTGTTGCGGATAGAGCAGATCCATGACGTCATCATCTCCGCAGTGCAACAGGAAGTGTTCCACATGGTAAGCAGCATCCGCTCCACCGGCTTCGTACTGGATTTTCGCCGACTTCGCATATCCGTTGAGACGAATGAGGAAGTCACACACCAGCTCGTTGTCCTTGCGCTGAGCCGAGTAACAGCGAGCTCGTGCCGACTGGTCAAACTGCGAACAGTAGTAGTCGGCGAATGCCTCGCTCAGCAGACTCCACTTCCGTTGCGTCTTCTTCGGGAGCTGGCGATACCAGCTCTTCGCGCCTCGCTCCAGCCTCAGCGAGAATGGATCATACCAGAGGTCTTGCGCCAGCCGAGTTCCTTTCATTTCGTAGATGAACCGCTTAAGCCATTGGAGAGAGTCATCCCGTCGGTAACGTTTGCCTTCGAACATAGGGATCTTGTCGAGGGACGCATGGGTGCGAACCTCCAAGTACTGCGTCCGATCACTTTCAGCGTCATCGAAGCTAAGGTGCTTGATGACGTCCTTCACCGACTCTTCAGCCAAGTTCAGGTACTCGCGCCCATCGTCGCTGTCGCTGAGCTCGGCTGCGTCTGCAGCGTCAAACAACTCAGCGTAGCGTCCACTTGGCTGCTTGCCACGCGTTGGCGTCTTCATATGCGAATCTTCGAAATACGGCGTACCCTCAGTCGAGCGGAACACCTCGGCTCTCTTGCGTTCGGAAGTCTTCGGCAGGGGGATCCTGCTGGGGTCTTCGACGGTCTTCGGAGTATCAGCCACCCGTTTCGCAATAGTCTGCCGAGTTCCGACGGCCCCCCGCTCGAGACCAAACGAGACTCTCAACCGACGCTTCCACTTGAGGATTTCGCGTGAAGCTTGGCTGGGGTCCCAATCGCCGAGTAGCAGGCTGTTGGGTCGGCTCGTGCACCGGAACCCCATCGCCTTGAGTAGCAACACCGTGTCTTCGACCAGTTGGCTGATGTCGGTGCTGTTCACCGGCTGAGTCAGCTCGGGCCTCAGCACCGGCCATCTCGCCTGAGCCATCGGGGCAAACATCATCATCCACTCGCTCTGAGCTCGCATCTCCTCTCCGATCCTGCCCAGAACCTTGTTCGCACTTGGTGTATCCGCATTCCTCGTCGCTCGCGGGATCAGGGGCGGACGTTCCTCTTGAGCGGCGGCTTGATCTTCGTCGTCCGTATCATTGCCGAGCTCGGCCGCCAGGTTACGCACAACTGGACGTGGGGTACCCATTCGTCCGACTTGCAGCGACAACTCGTCGACTTCGCCGAGTAGCTCGGCTTTCTCCTCATACTCATCCTCAACATCTTCCTCACTTTCTTGGTCTTGGGCATCCTCCTCATCGAACTGGACGGTGCGCGCCTCGTCTGCCGTCGCGTCCGTGATCATCGCATTCACCGAGTCCGCCGAGTTGGTCAGTCCAGCCGAGTTACTTCCAACCGTCGCTGGACTCGGCGTAACAATTCCTTTGACCTTCACACTCTCTTCTCTTCTCTTCTTCTCAAACCTTGGTTAGCTGGTACCTACGAAACACAAGCACACCACTGTTCCCGGGTCGCGGCACCAGTTGTGGTATAGCAGTACACACAAAATCGTCAGTTGTGGTAACTTGGCTACAAAGACAGCAATAGCCGAGCTGGTCGGCTTTGTTGGCCTGCGCCGGGTTGCCCCCGAGCGGTTCGGCCCAACTGGGGCAGCGGGTGTCTCGCCTCTCGCCGAGACATGCCAACCAAGATCACTCCTCCGGAGAACCGCCGAGTTCGACGGCCTCCGTTCACTCAACCTCGTGCCCTCCACTAAAGGATGGACGCCGGCGCACGGAGCGCTTTTACAGGTCGCCGAGAGCAAAGGCTTCTCGACTCAGCAATCAGTGCCCGGGACGTGCGGGAACACCGGCTCGCAGCGGGGCGAGACTTTTCCTTCGCGCTTGGCGAGACACGCGCCCAACCCGGGCCGACCTTAATCTCTTGGCGCTGCCAGTCGAGTACCCTACAAGCTATGCCTCTCGGGTACCGGCAGCAGACATAATCCGGCCCCGTGCAGGGACTTACCGGAACGTGTACACGTGCTATAGGCCTAGAAAATTCTGCTCTGTTGTTTGTTATCTCTGTCGGGCGCCCTTAAGGGGCACCTCCACTATTCCTAAGCTCCTATACAAATACCAAATGAAAGTGGGCGGTTTTGGATCTCGGCCGACCCTTCGCTGAGCTCGGCGACGCTTGAGCTCGGCTGAGCCGGATAAGCTATCCGGATAATTCTCCGAACTCGGCTGAGCCGGATAAGGTGTCCGGATAAGCTGGTGAACTCGGCTGAGCTCGGCTACCGGTACAGTGTACCACTCCAGCCGAGTTGGTCGTGCGAAATCTGGTGTTTCCTACACCACACTAAGATGAAATTAAAAACAACTCGCCAAAGTGTTTTTATAAAGCTCTTTTCCCATCTTGCCAAAAGAAAAAAAATGGTCGCTGGGTAGGACTCTACAATATAAGCTTCGCTAATGCGAGAAAAAAAACTAAAGACAGCACTCTACAAGATTCCTCCTTTGTCCCGTCAGGGACTCCTGATTCAGGACGGTATTGGCATAAATTCTTTTTTCGTGAAGGAGACCTATATAACTCATTGCAAGTTTCAAATCTAATTTCCAGCATGCTGAAGTGTATTCCAGGTTTCACCTTGGTATCACCGCAGTCATGGACCCGATAGCGTGTCGCTGGTAGCGACGGTGAACCCACGTGAGCCACAGGTAATGGGTTCACCACTTCATGGCCAGGCAGACTTCACAGTGTCTGTACCTGGTATGCGGTACGATTCTACATACTAGGAACTTGTATGGCCAACTGCATACTTCTCTTCGTGTCCAGAGGCCGTTGACACGGACCCAGTTCACTTTGAGATGTGTCTCACTCTTGTATTTGCTTCGAAGGGCATACACACTAGATCAATACACTAGGCTCAACTTCCTAGCGGATCGCTCCGCCCTGCCGTGTGTTGTTCTTCCCTGATGTGATGTCTTCCCCGGGATTCACTCCAATTTACTAAGTAGTACTTCAGTAGAGATTTACTACATAGAATAGCGCATCGCCATGATACTGTAATGGTTGCATGCTGTGATGAAAAAGCAAAAAAAAATGCTCCGTGCTCACAGCTCAAGCAAGACCTCGCGCATATGACAACTGAGGGCGGGTCCAAGTGAAATCTGTGTAACGCTCTATAGGCACCTGGTTTTTCTTCGGTGATTATGAATTTGATCGATTACGAGTTTTACTCTTCAAGATTATCGCGAATTCGTATCCCCTTCCTACACGTAATGAACGAGAGAATTGATTGGCTTGGAGTGGTCACTTCATATTTCCCGACCTCGTACGCACAACATCGTCTAGCTGCCATGCAGTCCAGCACTCTTCGGCCACCGAACAGCCACCTCCTGAGTGACGAAGTCGTTGCAAGTTTGGCTCAAAACTCCACGCGAGCAGCCAACGTCATCGTTGCTGCCAGTCATCACCCCGGCGCAGATTCATCTCTACCGCGTAAGCAAGAACGTGAAGTTACACAAGGCTATCCACCCAATTCAAGAGCGGACACTGACACGGCAATGACAGAAGGTCAACACTACAAGAGGCAAACATTTGCAACAAGTTTCAGCCCCAAGTCCCGGCGACTTCTTGCCGATGGTGGTGCTAGCGTTGAGAGCAACAACCACCTATCGACCGCTCAACTGCTGGAGCTCAGTGAACATATCGGGCGAATGCAACGGCGCGAAAATCAGCAACGATACAGGATGAAGCAGGCAGATTTGCTCGCAACTCTTGAGAAGGACACGCAGCATCTTTCGATGGAGATTCGGACACTGAGGCACCAACGTCTCGGCCTGTTCGCAGGTATGCCAACCAAGAAGGACCTCTGGGATGTCGTCGCGGACTATTTCCGACTATTTCGCCACGGATTGCACGCGAGCGCAAAGTTCAGAACCGCCCAGCTAGATTTCGTGCGCACAACGATGGCTACAGACGTCGTCTTCAACGCGCAGTATGGTGTTGAGACCCAGATGAGGAGCTGGTGCTTTCTGCAATGGTTCGACGACGTCGAAGCGGAGCTAGAAAACTTGCAAAAGAGCACCAAGATGTCGCTAAATGCGACCATGACAACAAGCGTGACGATCACGAATCGAACGTTGAGCAACGTGTTTCCTTACCTGAAGAAAAGCAGTAGCTTGGCGTGCAAACTTGTGGGTCAGCGCATCGTGATGCGTGGTTCGGCTCGCTTTGACTGGGATAGTTCGACCAGCCGCGTGACGAGCGTGATATCACAGAGCGACATGTTGACCCCAATGCTGCGTCTGCTGGGAAGCTTTGAGGACGTGAGTCAAGTGTTCGATCAGGCGCTCATTTCGCCCGAGTTCCAGTGGAGATCAATGTCCTAAGATGAGAGGAGGTGCGTCACTTTAATTAAGGTCATAACAAGATGAAAAAATGTTTGGTCTCATTGAGTCTGGCAACGAAAACTAAGCCACCATTAGGAGTTTTTCCTCAGCAATTGCGACATACTTAAAAGTACTTAAGTACCAGCGAGTTGGTGTTTAGCCTGGGCATAAATACTCGCGGACAGCTCCTTCAGCTCTGCCATCAGCCCTTCAATGTGTAGCTGTAACGGCCACAAATCGGCGGAGTCATCTGCCTGTCCATCTAGAGCAGTAGACAGCCCACACTGACCGATCGCCCGGCGATATCGACGCACAGCTTCGCTCATCATCAGCAGATACCGCTCGATATCGCTCATGAGCACCAAACTGCCTTGACCCGTTGACACGAACCAAGGCGAATTGATACCGTGCAGGGAATTTGCTCCCTCAACACCAGACAAACTTTCCGCCTGGGCGATAGTAGCTGCGACCAGGGACGACAGTCGCCTCTGCGCCGCTTGAACTCTCCCCGCTGCCGTCTCCAACTCTCTCAGAGCTTGCGTCAAGTCGATTCCAACCGCTTCACCCGAATTCAGCCCCTCAGTTGATTCAAGACAGCCCGCAATTTCTGCCACAGCCCGAAGTAAGTGCAGATCCACGTCCTTCAGCAACTGAGCACGCCAGCCTCGAGCACTTAGCGCCATCTCGTACCCAGTCACCTCTGGCTGCTGACTGAGCTCGTGAGTTGTGCTTGCACGGGTTAATTCTTCGCGTTGACTGCGGCTTCGACGAGCAGTGGGCAGTTCTGACACCATTTGTTGACCACCACGGACTCTTATACTCGGCACGAGTAGCTGTCGGCCTTGGCGAGTGGCTTGGTCAGGAGTCTTCTTGCTCCTCGTGACGAGCGTCTTGCGCCGTTTGGGCCTCGGTTCCTGTGCAGAAGTTTCGCCACTTGACAAATCTTCTGCCACCGACAACTCTGCAGACATGTCGTCCGTCACCTGTTCAGCCTCATTGTGACCCGCACCACGGCTTCTAGTCCTCGGAGGATGTCTTGAAGATTGCACTTCTTCTGAAGTACTTGCTGCAGAACTGATTAACGACGTCTCCGCCGGTGCAGAGTTATCAATTCTGCTCTCTGCTGAAGTAGCAGAACTTGCTGCCTGCTGGGCGCTGTGCAGCTCTTGGAAGTATCTGATCTTCCGATCCTGCCTCTCGTCGTAGATACCGTTCTCCGTCGTGGGGAAACTCGGGTCGGGCGTCGCTTCCATGAGCTCCTGGCGCTCGGCCGGCGACAGCGCGAGCCACAAGTTCCGGAGCTGCTTGCCCTGGCGGTTCAGCAGCCACTTGGTCGTCTTGGCCACGTCCTCGTCTCGGTGCGTGGCGATCGTGACCGCGTGCGCCGTGCCGTGCTGCTGCACGAAGGCCCAGAACGCGGCGTGGCACCGCATCCTGCAACACTTGCAGTTGGGTAATCCTGCCCTGCAGATTTCTAATTCTTCTGCTGATAATAATGCCCGATTTTATGTCACACTGAAATCAAGTATACTTTTAGATCAACGCTTGAGGCGCTCCAGAATAACTTGGTACATCTGCCTTCGAAGGCATCTGGGCGGTAGAGTCCACTACCGTTTACTTCACACTTCCGAGCTCTCTATTGTTGGTCAACATTTCACTTGTGGTGACGACGATGGAGACGTCGTTCATCCACCCTTCGCGGTCTTCGTCCGAGGCGTCGGGTCGTTTTCGAATCGGGAGAAGACACGGACCTGATTGAGTATTTCTCGAACGAAAGCTCGGGCGCTACCTCACGACATCAAATGAAGAAACGTCGCAGGAAGCAGGCGACACAGGAGCAAGTTCATTCTTCTTCAGACCGGCCAAAATGTGGCAACGTCATTGTCGTCGATGACAACAACGAAACAGACTCCGCAACTTCGCGGGGTCCGTCTACCAACAACCACCAAGGGTCGACCGAGCCACCGCGTAACATGCGGACTCCAGTTGAGCAATACGAGTCGGCTTTGAAGGCGAGAGGATCCCAAGCGCAGTTGTTGAAGGATTTGGATCTGAGTTTGCTGCGGTCAGTGGCAGAAATCGCTTTCTGCCAAGTAACGCTGACAGCTTCCAGCCGAAGAAATGGCAACTCACTGCAAGACGAAACCCACCACGAGCTGCAGAGATATGCTCGAAGGATTGAAGTCGCGAAGAGCCGCTTGTCAGTCTCTATAGCTGACATAGCTGGTAAGCAGAGCGAGAGTCCAACGTCTGCAGACTCTGGGATCGACATCCCCAGCTTGCCAAGGCAGCCTTCTATTGATGCAGGACATTGAGCGCTACATTCTTCTTCTCGCTCAGGCCGTCCGGCACTTTTCGTACCGTGAACCGGATACTTCAGCGCGTTCCTCGCGGCGAATGAGCCCAGCAGCAGAATTGCGGCCACTTCAGCTGCATATCGACACAACGATGGACGAAGTACTAAAATTGTCAAGGAGAATCTGCTTGCAGGCTAAACGATAGCAAGGATCCAATGCAGCGTAAGGGGTCAAGGGCTATGGTCTTGTTGAACTTGCTGAGACTAGTCCAGTAGTCGTAGCCCATTGAAAATCAAGTATCGAGATTGCCTTAGAAACTGCTTATCCTAATAAATCGTGCTACCCAACGACACTATATTTTCGGACGCCGATGCACCACAATCTTGCGCGACGTAAGAGGCAGAAAGACATCGAGGGATGTACGGTTTATGGGAGATTCGGGGGCCGACAGGCCCCCGAACTCCCGAACTCCGATAAATTTAGGTGAGATCTCCGAACTCCGGCCGCAGCCCCGGAGGGGCGCAGCCGTTTTCCCTTTATTTACCGAGAACTTGTAGTTGAGGAGTTCGCAGTAAGCATGGCCTTGTCAGCAGCGCGCAATGATAACAAGGCAGCAGTGGTCGAGGCGGTTGGACGGCGCTCATTCCCTCCCCGTCTAGTTTGTCCTGAGGAAAAGGTGGATGACATGCAGTTGTCGCGGCTGTTTTCACGTCCGTTGTTCGTGTGGACCCCGGAGTATCGAGGAGGCAAAGGTCTGCCGTCGTACATCAGCCGAGACTGCAACTGCAATCCGAAGGTGAAAGACTATTGCCGTCGTGTGGTGGAATCTGTAGAGTGCAAGTGCGACCTGGTATTTGTGAAGTATAGGTGCGCTGTAACAGGATCATATTTTTCCACTGTGAGCTCGGATTACTTTGCACAATGGCCCGATATGATTTTTCACTTTCCATTTGTTCTGAGCCAAAAGCTAGTGTTCTCGAACTCACTCATGGAGATGGTTCATGACGGTATTACCGCGCAGAATGGGTTGCAACGTACCATGGTCAATATGGAGCGTAGGCGCAAATAGCGCTACTACAAGCTTTTGGGTCTGTTTTCCAGTGGTATCAAGCGAAACCACGAGCGTTGCTTCACCTATCTGGCCCCCACTCCAATATCAGAGGATCAGTATGCAGATCAAAACAAAATTGTTGACAATCACACGCTTACGACGGCATGGCTACACGCTACAGAGCTGTACGGGTCGCTGTGTGAAAAAGTGATGAAAGACTGTGTTGTAAAGAGGGTCATGAGAATGGATCACTCTGTCAAGTTCTGCAAGCGGCTAAAGCTGTGGAAGGCCAAGGGGCAACGTGAATCTCTCAAAAATGCGAAAATGCTTTTGCTGTTCCAGAATGAAATTGGGCAGATTATTGGGCGGCGGCTGACCAGGTCTGAAAACAAGGAAGAAACACGAGCCTTGCTTCAACATGTGAAGTCGCAGTTTCGTGCGCCTTCTGGGGGTGACCTGGATCATGTAGTTGTGTCGGATAACGCGTCGGCTGTCAAGAAAATGGTCAGAAGTGTTTGGTAGCGAGGTGGTCACAAAACAGGACCCCTTTCACGTGATAACTCGCATCACTGAAAAAATAAAGGCACCCGTCACCAGCAAACGAATTTCAAAGGAACTCTCCCGTGCGATCTACAATGTGGATCGTGAATTGCGCCCTACTGCTGAAATGGCTCTTCAATTTCAAAGTGTAGTCAGCGGTGTTTTGCGCTCAAGTGTATCGTGCAGCCTGAAAGATTGGAAAGGGTCGTGTCAGAGTAATTTGGAGCAGATTCAGCGTGACGAGTTGTACGTGGGCTCAAACACTTACGAGGAAGGCGGTCATCGAGTTCGCGTGGTATCTACTAGCCAACTTGAGGGCTTTCACTCTTCCTTAAAAAAAACTGCTTACCAGAAATGTATCGATTGATGTTGGCTTGCGGATCTTAGATTGGTTTATCGTCAAGCATAATTTGTCTATCGGTGCTAAGTTCGGGCGCAATCCGCCCATGAATGGCGTTGATTTGATGTCGGCGGGCCATACTGCATTACTCTGTGGAACGATGGTCCCTACTTCGCCTCAGATGGAGTATGTGATGCAGCTTTTCTCTTCGCCGCTTGTACCCCCGCAGTATAGAACGGAGACCGAGCGGGACTTTGACTTTGACTCCTGAGCACAGGTATTTCTAAGTGCAAGAGTGAACACAACATATCTCGAAGGGAATCTTAATCGCTCCCGGCAACACCGCTCAACAGTAGCGGAACTGCTGTTAAAAAGTGCCGTTACCCTCCCAATCGGCCAAGCTGAAGCGTGACGAGTTTTTTAACTCTATTCGACTGGCAAGTACCGAGTGTGAAGGCGACCAGGGCTTCTCTACGGAGGAACACGAGCTGCTCAGGCAGCTGCGCAGCGAGCAGGCTGCTAGTAAGCGTGAATGGTGCACGTGTGAAATGATAACAACGATGATGTTCAATATTGTTGCTTGCAACAACACGAACCCTAAAATACGGCTACAACAGCGGAGCTATGCTACGATGGTCTCAAAAATTAAATCACTTGGTGCTGATCCTGAAAGTACAAGCTCCGCTCGAAAACAAGCAAAAATATTCCATTTTGCTCCTCAAGAAGCTGTTTTCCTGGCTTTGCGTCCACCGATAGACTGCGAAGCTGATTTGATGCGCGATGTCTTCAAGATTCTGCGAAAGTTCAAGGCCGGCACAGCTCGTAAACGATTATTCCACCGTATCTACGACTTTGCAAGTTGTGTCTGCGCTGGAATTGGTCAACTTGATGAATTGGTGCGGGAGAAGCGCTGGGAAGTGCTGAAGGCGGCCCAAAACCGAAAGAAGAGGAGACTAGCGATGGTCACGAACCCCACAGACGCTCCATTATCTTGTCCAGCTCCTAATGAAGAAGAAAAACGAGCCGAGCCATTAAGTACTCTGCTTACAGATCAAGAAACTGCAGCGAACGATGACATCGATGCTGCGACCACTACAACTAGTGCAAATGCAGACGACACACCTCCAGCAAGACTACAACCGCAGGTTATTTGTCGTGACACTGTTGGGATTGGTGAAGATGCAGGACAATCAAGTGTTCCAGCAAAACGGCCTCGGCCATCTACTATCGCACCAGAGCACTTGGCTGAGTTGCGTAAACTGTCTGATTCGCTGGTGTATACTCGTGGAAAATATATATTGCTGCAGCAGGAGCTGAAGAAATATTACCCTGACGCGAACCTCACGGATAATCAACTACACTGCCGCCTTAAATGACGTCGAACAGCAGAAAAAAATTGTCCCAAGCCAGCGAGTAGCGGCAACGAGATATCTGACAGCATTGCTCCACCTCTCGCTCCAGCTAGCAAGGCGACTTCGTGTTCGAGCTGCCGCCAGAAGCACTTAAAGTGCGGTGAAGGGTCTCAAAATCCTGCGTGTTTGCTAGCGAAGAAGAATACTACTCGTACGATAACAGAGTTCTTTAGCGTATAGCAATAAAATCTAACTTTCATAGCACATCTGTTTTTCCACCAGGATCGAGACATACCATCGAGACAACATTGTGGTCAAATGTGGTCGAATGTGGTCAAATGTGGTCAAAGTGGTCGCGAGACAAATCCCACCATCTCCCATGCGCCCCTTCAGCTCTGTGACGTTGTATCGTACAGCTTGTTCCGGCATTGAGTTCCCCCATGGCACCTGCCCCGTCAACGCCTCCACGATGCAGACCCCGAACGAGTAGATATCAGACGCAAACGTTGGCGATTCGCCATTCAAGCACTCAGGCGCCTTCCAGCGATAAGCGCCGAGAGCCCCGTTCGACGCAGCTGCCGTGTCTGGTCGAAAGCTCAAGCCAAAGTCGGCCAACTTGACCCCATCATCACATACTAAAATATTGTTCCCTTTGAGGTCACCGTGAACAATGCCGCTGTCGTGAAGGTGGCGTAAGCCTGGTGAATATACCTCCAAATCTCCGGGCGCTCCTTTCCTTCGCCAAATGACGCCAGGGTCCAGCGAGTCGCTCGTTCACACACGAAGAAAGGCCGCTCCTCGTGGCAGGCACCGTAGAGCTTGAGGATGTGGTCGTGATTCAAGGAGAACCGCAAATCCGCCTCGGACTGAAATTGTCTTCGGTTTTCAGCGTCTGTTTGGTCTGTGAGAACTTGTTTCACCACCACTTTCGATCCGAGCCACGTGCCTTCGTAAACCGCGCCAAAAGATCCACTCGCGATATGCCGACCTAGCTCGATCTGGTGAACTGGGATGAACCAAATGGGAAGCTCACGAACTGCGAGCTCTCTAATTGGCGCCTGGTCTCCTGGGCGCCAACGATGAGCGGCTGCCGTGTTGTTCAGTGAAGTTCGAGCCATAAACCTGTCGATATGATGGTGAATGCTGTAGTTCTTCCCGGCGATAGTCCGGGATTCACCCTCGCTGGAGGCTTGGCTTGAATAGTTATCTTCATCGTCCAGCAAAAAGCCTGAGAGAATTAAGACGAAGTCTTCCACCACAAGCTGCTTGACTACCGTGTTTTGTAGCTGTTGGTAGATGTCGATAAGTCGATCAAGCACGGGCTGGTGGACGCATCTGGATTCTTCAAGCTGCTCACAAAGAGCGCCAGCGTCTTGTAGCATATCGCTTATCGATTCTCCGTTGAAGGTGTAGATATCGATGTACGTGAAGATTGCGCTTGCCTCCGAGATCCCTGATACGTTTGCCAATCCACTGATCGTCTGGACCAGATGCAGCATTGGCAATCTCTCAGCGGGGTCCGTGGCACACATCCCAACGAGGAGATTCCATTCCTGTTCGGCCAAAAGAATTGGTTGAATGCCGAGCTTTCGCGACCGTAAGCATCGCGAAAGATGGCGCCTCGCTCGGAACGGAATGTCAGATCGGGACCTCATCATCGCAGCGATAGAAAACCCAAACGCTTGAATATCTGACGCCACGCACGGAGCAATGCAACGACCCTGTCTGGCACTCCTCTTGCTTACTTGATCCCGCCAATGTGTGACTACGCCGCATCTGATGAAGAAGAAAATTAGCCACACAATATTCAAAGCTGGAACTTCTCTTAAGTAGTTACGGAAAACCTCTTGAGCCAGCACAGTGGGGAACGCTACCGGACCCGCATCGCTGATGAGCTGCACACACCTTTTGACGAGCCTCTGCTTGGACGAATCCTCTATCCGCACTAGATTGATTCCACTCAGGACCGCATTGCCATCGAGATGCTGGCGTGCTGACCAGAGGATATTGGACGCTGATAGCGTTGTGTGAACGAGGCCAAGGCCGTGCAAATAGGCAAGACCACACGCAACGTCCAGCATGTGATGCCACGAAAAGCCCCTGCACGCTATTGGCAAAATCTTTTCGTGAATGATCAGCGGGTTCCCAACGTGGCACGCGCCAAAAAACTTGCGAATGTTTGGGTGGTTCAGCTCGCCCCAAATGAAAGCTGCTCGCAGGCACTCCTCCTCTCCGCCTTTCAGCCTCGACACTTGGGCATTTTCCCACTCCATTTCCGATGTCGTGAACCACTCCGGGACCTCGACCACCACGAGGCCGGAGAGACGAACAACTACGTTGTATACTGCGGAAATCACGTCCAGCTCACGCGCAGTCAACACACCACCGGAGCTTTCTACGCTGTGCTTTAGTCGCGTCAGAATCTTCAATTGTTGAGTTTCATCGCCAATTTCAATCCAAAGTCGGGTCGGATCTTGCAGCATTTCCTCGAAGAACGCCATTTGGCGGTCACGCTCGGCCTGTAGCTGTTGAAGCCATGTCGTTAGCAGTTCCTCCCTCTAGTCTTCGTCTGCAGAGACGATCTTCACGGCGGTGTCGATCGCGGCGATCAGAATTTGGCAGACTGGGGCAAACGTTGCAAGATCGACGAGAAGTCGGCCCTCGCACGTGTCGGTGCCGTAGTAGGGCCACAGCTGCTCCATCACGCGGTTCCAGCAGGAATAAATGGGCACGTCCACGGAGTCCCAGCCGATCCGAGAAGTGAGAGAGACGAGATCGCGAAGAAAGCGCTGACCGAGGGCGTGGAACGGAAAGCGCAAATTCCTTCGTCGCGCTTGAGCCTCGCGCAGCTTATGTGCGAGCTTCTTGGCGACAGCGCGCATGCTCGAGATATGATCGTAGCCCCCTTGGCCGACTCTTCCAGAATGAAGAATGATCTTAACCGAAAGGCTCGCTCGAAACTTTAGAAAAAGACTCAATTTGTTCGCGGTTTAATTAACATGTATTTAAATAATAAATAGTGGGCAGTTTGGAGGAATGATAAGTCGAATACACTCGTTACTCCCGAATTCCAGTCAAGATCAAGGTGAAGAGGGTACGAATCATGTTTGTCCGAGCATGGGTTGATGTAGTGTACTCCCTAACGCTGACATGTTAGTTGCTATACATGTTATCTAACTGTTAGTTAGTGTCTAGTATTTTGAGTTAACATGTTAGTAGCGTTAGAGCAAAAGTATGGAAGAAGAGTATATGTTTGCACCGAAGGCAGCCGAGAAGGGCGATGTATTAAACTGAACACAAATACACCCTCAAAACTAAGAATTTACCATCCAATCTATAATACTTTGAAGAATCTGCTAACATAGGGAAACATTTGCTGGGTGGAGCTCACATGGGGGGCTGGCATACCACTTATCAGCGCAGACGATGACCGATTTTAAGAGTGAAGACGGCTTAGGTGTCTCCTACCTATGTCAAAGTCCGCGGTGCAATATAGACACCCAGGCCAGCTAGTAAATACTTTCGTACAGATTACTAAGTAATCTCCTCATGTGCCCATTTCCTCCGCTATACAGTATAGCTAACATGTGTAGTTTTCAAATAACTGTTAGTTAGTGTCCAGTAGAATCAGCTAACATGTTAGTGGAGTACACTATTGGGTACAAAAGAGCCGAACTCTCATCAGTCGCATTTCTTCCTCGTGAAGCACAACGAAGATGCCTGGCGTGACCAGCAGAGGTTCAATGCGTACGCTTCTCCCGTGTCGATGCCATTATTTTGTGCGCGTTCTCCTTCCTGGTCACTGCGGCAGACATGGCAAGCATGGCTCTGGTGTCGAGGAAGTGGAGGGAGCTGACGGAGCACCGATCGCTGTATCGCTCACTGTCGAGTGTGAATGCTGATGGGTCCGTGAACTGGGTCAACTTCAAGAACTTGGGCTTCAAGTGCAAGGGCACCGAGGGGAAATGCTTCAAGTGTCTCGAGCGTTCCACTGGTAAAATTCTGGCCGTGAAGAGGCCTAGGGTCTTTCCCAAGGTACGTCAAACACTGCAGTGATGTACAGTAGCCGCATATGTAGAGACTGACAGTTTTGCTGAGGTAGGGAGAAGGAGTGCCATACTACATGATCCGACAGCTGACAGTGCTGAAGGGGGTGAAGCACGACCACATTTCGTCGCCGGAGTTGATCAGTCTCGCCAAGGATCAGCTCCACACATTTTCCCCTTACGTGGATAAAACGCTGCAGGATTTTATCAATCCAACGGAAACCCCGGAGGGTGGACGCGAGCTACCCGAGACGGTGGTAAGCTTGACGAGTTTATGGCGTATAACTTCGACGTATTATGTTCTAACTTGTGCGTGAGTGTTGTCGATTTCAGATCCGTAAGATTCTGCATCAACTTCTAGATGCGATGGTGTATTGTCATCGCCGTGGGGTCTTGCACCGCAATCTCAAGCCAAAGCATTTGCTTGTCAAGACGTCCGACTCGGAGAATCTCAGTGATGCAATGCTGGAGATCTCGGACTTTTCTTTGGTTCGTGCGCTGGGAGTCCCCAGTCGGGCGTACACGACGGAGGTGGTCACGCTTTGGTACCGCGCTCCCGAGATATTGATGGGGGTGCAAGGGTACTCTTCACCGGTCGATATGTGGTCTATTGGTTGCATTTTTGCTCAAATGGCTCGAGGGGAGCCGCTCTTCAGCGGTATTTCGGAGATTGATCAGCTGTTCCAGATTTTCAGCAAACTGTCAACCCCCACATCCGATGCATGGCCAGGTTTCTCGTCGTTGCCGAACTACAGCTCCGAGTTCCCGCACTGGGACAGTCAGCCTTGGGCTCGCCTCGTGCCGGGCATTTCGGTCCCAGGGATCGACCTGCTGTCGAAATTGCTTGCGTATAACCCAGAGCAGCGAATTACGGCGGAAGAAGCACTTCGCCACCCGTATTTCTTCGATGATGCACCTGCGTTCTTGCCGCTGCCTTTGAAGAATCTGGTGAACCAGATGTACCATTCGGTAAGTCAAATGTGGACGAATACGATGTCAGGACACCTGGAGCAGTTCCACGCTTACCTGCGTGAGGCGGAGCTGGAGTCGTGGAGAGAAATCGTGTATCTGAGGTGCGCATAGGCTTCAGTTGAATTACTTTGAATGCGAAGACCGTGCTGCTGACGGGTTAAATTCTACTTGCAGCCACCAGAAAACCCTTCACGCCACCCACCGAGAAATGCTCGTCGACTGGATCATCGAAGGTAAGCTATGCCATGGAATAATGCAAATAACCGCAAGACTTACTCGCTGTGGTAGTGATGGATGCGTTCGAGATGTGCCCCCGGACAGCTTTTCTGGCAGTCAATTACACGGACCGGTACCTAGATACTGTCTTGATCGAGAAGACGCAGTTCCAGCTCCTTGGCGCAACCAGCCTGCACATTGCGTCGAAGCTTGAAGACGTGAATTATATTGGCGTGGAGGATCTGGCCATGTGCGCCGACACGGTGTTCACGGCTGCGCAAGTGTTGAAGATGGAAGAAAAACTACTGAACACTCTCAATTTCACACTCTCGGTGCCTACTGGTACGATCTTGTTGTGTTGAAATTGGCAGTGTGTGAATGATGCAAATCTCACTTTAACTCTATTATATTCTTTAGCGCTGGATTTCCTGAACATTTACGAGAGGATGATACCAACTATTCATGAGACGACGTCCATGCTGGCTCATTATCTGTTGGAGCTGACGCTGCAAGAATATCAGATCTTGAAGCACCTGCCGTCGGTGGTGACGACTTGTTGTCTGTCGTTGGCCATGTATACGATCGACGGAGTTCCAATGGTACGCCTTGTAGATATTCGAGTTTTTTGTGCTCGTCTGTGAGCTGATCCTTTTGTTTCTTTCATTTTCAGACCAAAGAGCTGGTCGATGCCAGCAAGTACAACTGGTCGGATCTGAAGGAGTGTATGGGAGAGCTCCAGAATCTGTACGCTAACTCACCGTCGAACAACCTGCTGGTGATCAAGAAGCGCTATTCGAAAGCAGAACGTTACCAGGTGGCTGACATTCCTCCGCCCAAGTCATTCAGGATGGCATTTTAACTGTTTTGCCCAACTCAAAGCCGCTATTGCCTTGGGTAGTAAGTAGCTCACCCTTTCGTATATTCTCGATATCTATGTAAAAAAAACTATGAGTCAAATAGCTGCTACAGCTTCCTTCAGCAGCAACGAACGAATGCGCTTCCTAGTACTACACCTTTGCCCAGCCTTAGTTGTCTAATCCATCCAAAGTCGTCAGCTTTTATTTTGGGTGGGAGCGAGGTACCCGAATTAAGGGGTACCACTCTCCTTAGTGCAAGCGAAGTCGTCTAATCCTCAACCGAAGTTGTCAAAATTGACGAGAGCAGTTCCCGCGCGCGCGAAGCCGACCAGGGGCGCAAGATGCGCGCCGTTGGGAATCACACTTCTCAATCTACCAAGCTTCGTGCAGATGCCCTACCAGTCCACGCTCAAGCACCACTCGCCAGAGGAACGACGCCGCGTCCTCGACGCTTTCAATGCCGGTGAGGACTGGCGTGCCGTCGCCCGCCACAACGGCTTCCCACGCACCACAGCGGAGTATCTCGTGGCCCATGGGCGCGTCGAAAATCTACCTCGAGGAGGGGCTACGAGAGCTGGCAAGATAAATAGGGGAGGCGCTTGAGCTCTGGTTGGAGGAGTGCTGCACGTTTACACTCGGCACGCTGAGGTCCATGATCCGCGACGACTTCCACGTGGACATCTCCGAGTCGTCCATCTCGCGCTACCTGGTCGGCAAGCTGTACACGGTCAAAGAAGTGATGCATTCTGTTTTAAATGTGTTGTGGTATGGTTGCTTACAATGCTCTTACTGCTTTGCTACGCATAGACTCGTGTCGAGCCTGTGACTTGCAACAGCGCGATTAACTTGGAGAAGCGTAGGCTCTTCGCGGAGGCACTGATCAAGCACCAAGAACAAGGTGACTTGATCGTGTACTTGATCACGCAGCGCATGGTGCAGAAAATGGAGCTGCACGCGGCCAAGTTTGTCAACGCCGCAACTCGCAGCGAGGCCATGGTGTACGGTGAGTAAGGGCGGGTGCAGAAGCCCATCGGTGCTTACTTTGATGATGTGCATGTGTAGCTTTTGGTCAGTGCCAACTTCGGTTGAGGATTAGACGACTTCGCTTGCACCAAGGAGAGTGGTACCCCTTAATTCGGGTACCTCGCTCCCACCCAAAATAAAAGCTGACGACTTGGATGGGGATTAGACAACTAAGGCTGGGCAAAGGTGTAGTACTGCACTACATACATGTACTACTGCACCTACCAGCACTGCTTCGTGCTTCTATCTGAATTTCGATGTCGAAGCGCTTGAACGAATTCTTGCGCGGAACTGTCGAGGGAGCAAGCTACTTGCGGCAAACCCACGACCCCGCATCCTAATTCATGATGACTAAGGCTTTAGTACTCACAATGTGAGATGAATTTCTCCTGATAGCACTGAATCACACGTGCATGGCAACTTGCGTTTGCAAGCACACACTATGTTATACTGTGCTTTTATGCGGACCGGCGTCAGTTCGACTTGGAACAGGGCGTTTCGATGCTGTTGCCTTGCAGCAGTTTCGTCCGGGTCGTTGCGCCACACCGAGAAGCGACTTATGCCGTCGCGAGATGATTCGAGCCTGTCGAGCTGGCACCGAGACGAAGTTCTGTCACTCGCTTGCAATTGTCAAGCAACACCGCTCTTCCATGAGAAAGCAACAATAGTGAATACCACTTCGTTAGTTATCCTCTCGTCTCCACAGCCTGCAGGTAGCCAGCCAGCAGCTTTAAGCATCAACGTTACAAACCGGCGTAGCCATCTCCGGCACATTTTTTCCAAAAATCCGCACAACGCCACAACAGACTTCTCTCCAGCCAATCAAAGCACACTTTGACGAAACAGCAGCCAATCCCTGATCAGCGAAACTGCCAGAGTGATGGTCTCCGTCCCTTGACCAATCAGAGGCGAAGAAAAAACCCAAACGGAGGAAGAGCGCGCACGCCGCCCAGTCTCCCATACAAACGCCAAAAGGGAAACGGAGCCCGCGAGATCTCGAGCCGCGCCCGACTTCCGCACTCCCAGGCCCCGCGCCGCCCCGACCACTTCCTCCTCCGCAGCAGACAGCCAGGTACATGCAGCTACAGCTCCACAGCTCATATACACGTCCGCTTACCTCCATAGTCCTCCTCCCATCTCTAATTTTCACGTTAAATATTACATTACAGAGAGAGAGAGCTCCTTTAGCGCAGTTGATGGAGTCCAAGCCGTCCGCCGCCGCGTCCTCGTCCTCGTCGGACGCGACGCCCTCCAAGAAGCGCCGCGCCGCCAGCGGAGCCGCCGACCAGGGCGCGCTGCCCGTGCCGGAGCCCGAGCGCAAGCGCGCGGGGCTGCCGCTGCTGCTGTGCTCGGCCGGCGCCGAGAACCCGATTCTGGCGGCGCTGGGCGGCACGCCGCGCTCGCAGGCGGCCGCCGCCAAGGGCTTCGTGGAGCCGGAGCCGCTGGACCTGGCCTCGCAGACCAGCGCCGAGTCCGTGGGCGACGGCGTGAAGGAGGAGGAGGAACAGAAGCCCAGCAGCGTTGAGATCAAGCGGGAGAAGAAGGAGGAGGTCGCTGTGGTGCAGCAGGAGCACGTGACTCAGATCAAGATGGAGGCGAAGACGCAGGTGCACGTGAAAGAGGAGCAAGATGCAGCGGTGGAGACCAAGTACAGAGTCGACTCGACTCCATTTGGTAGGAAGCTTTGAGTTATGCTGGTGGATTGGAGAGTTGTGTACTAATTGTTGCTGTTGTTGCTATGGTTTTTGAACAGTTGGTAAGAGGAAACGGGACGCTGAGGGTGAGACTAAGACGGCGGACTTTGTGGCCTATGCGAGGGAACACATTCACAGCCAGGAGGCGGGCGAGGAGGGCTTCTCCATCGACCCGTCGGAGCGCGCGGTGGAGCACCGCGCCAGCAAAGTGGTGCGTCGTGAGATCTTGATTGCGTCGCCTGCTGCGAATGACGACGAGGACTGGGACGGGAACGCACCCCCGGAAGTGAAGATGGAAGAGGTGGAAGCCGTGCTGACACCCTCGGAGCATTTTGACCTGCAGCCGATCGACATTATCCTGCACGTTTTCTCGTTCCTGGTGACTGCGGACGACCTGATGAGCATGTCGGAAGTGTCGAAGAAGTGGAAGGACCTCACCAGTCGACGATCGCTGTACCGGTCACTCCCGAGCGTGACTCCCGAAGGATCAGTCAACTGGATTAACTTCAAGAACTTGGGTATCAAGAACAAGGGGACGGAGGGCACGTGCATTAAGTGCAGTCAACGCTCTACTGGCAAAATTCTGGCCATGAAGAAGGCCCGCGTATTCCCCAAGGTACGCGGCGATCTGGTAGGAGTTCATGCTGATCTGCGTTCACAGCACTAACGGATGGCTTTTTGATATTAAAACAGGGAGAGGGGGTACCATACTACATGCTCCGCGAGCTGGCGGTGCTAAAAGGAATCAAGCACGACCACATCGCGTCCCTTGAACTGATCAGCCTCGCCAAGGATGAGCTTCACGTGTTCTTTCCATACGTGGACAAAACATTACACGAAATTATAAACCCATCGGGTGATCCCAATGGTGGCCGCGTGTTGCCCGAGGCTGTGGTAAGTAGTCTGAAAGTTTTCACAATGTCAAATGCCTCCGATCTAATGTTTGTTTGACTCACGCAATTTCAGATCCGCAAGCTTCTCCACCAACTGCTGGATGCTATCGCGTATTGCCATCGCCGCGGAGTCTTGCATCGTAACCTCAAGCCGAAGCATCTGCTTATCAAGACGTCAGACCCAGACAATCTCAGTGAGTTCTTTGTTCAGATTGTTTTGATGTCATTTATCGTGCGTATATATGGCATGTACTTATTGTGACGTGCCCCAGGTGATGCAACGCTACAGATCTCCGACTTCGCGCTGGTCCGAGCAACAGGAATCCCCCGCCGCACATACACCATGGAGGTCGTTACGCTTTGGTACCGCCCCCCTGAAATTCTCATGGGAGTCCGTGGCTACTCTTCGGCCGTCGATATCTGGTCCGTCGGGTGCATATTCGCCGAAATGGCCCAAGGCAAGCCACTTTTCACAGGCATATCGGAGATCGACCAACTGTTCCAGATCTTTAGCAAACTGTCGACGCCCACGTCGGAAACGTGGCCAGGTTTCTCGTCTTTGCCGAACTACCACTTCGAGTTCCCGCACTGGAAGCGTCGACCATTGAATCGCCTGTTCCCGGGAATCTCGGATCTCGGCATAGACTTGTTGACCAAGTTGCTGGTGTATAACCCGGATCAGCGCATTACGGCTGAAGATGCACTTCGTCATCCGTACTTCTCCGACGAGGCACCTGCATTTTTACCACTCACACCAAAGATTCCTATGGACCAAATGTGCTACACGATGAGCCGAGCACGTATTGGCCCAACTCCGGAGCATGTCGAGTTGTTTCATGCGTACCTGCGTCAGACGGAGCTGGACTCCTGGAAGGAGATCAAGTACTTGAGGTGCGTGGACATTGGATTGTTTGTAATTGTGTATGATAGGCATTGACGGTCCTAATGCTATCTTTCCGTTTTCTTGAATGTTTAGCCGGCAAAAAACGCTCCGACCCGCCCACCGATCAATGCTTGTCGACTGGCTAATTGAAGGTAAACTATGATGCTTGCTTGCATCGTTTTGAATAGCTGACTTACGTGCTTGCGTGATCTCCGTCAGTGGTGGACGTGTTCGAGATGTGTCTGCGTACAGCATTCCTTGCGGTCAATTACACTGATCGCTACCTTGACATCGTTATGGTGAAGAAGACGCAGTTCCAATTGCTTGGGGCGACTTGCTTGCACGTTGCTTCTAAATGCGAAGACGTCTCATATATTGGCGTGGAGGATCTCGCCATGTGCGCCGACAACGTGTACACGTCTGTGGAAGTATTGGAGATGGAAGAAAAACTGTTGAACACTCTCAACTTTACGCTCTCAGTGCCCACTGGTAAGTCCGTACTGGCCTGCCATAGACCCGTTATCGTTGATCTCACATCATGCCTTCTGATGTGACCAGCGCTGGATTTCCTGAATATTTACGAGCGTATGATCCCACCAATTCAGAAAAAGACGTCCATGCTTGCGCACTACTTGCTCGAGCTGGCACTGCAAGAGTACCAGTTCTTGAAGTATCTGCCGTCAGTGGTGGCGGATTGCTGCTTATCTATGGCCATGTACACGATTGACGGGTTCCCGATGGTTAGTATGCTCCGTGATGTTGGGGCGATAAGTGGGCATACCTTGCTAACGCTGCTGTTGTCTTACAGACCAAGGAGCTGGTGGATGCTTGCCAGTACAACTGGTCGGATCTAAAGGAGTGTATGGGAGAGCTTCAGACACTGTACTCTAACTCACCGTCGAACAACCTGGCGGTGATCAAGAAGCGCTACTCGAAAGCAGAACGATGCCAGGTGGCGAACGTGCTTCCGCCGACGTCGTTCAGTATGGCATTTTAGTTGGTCTAGTCTGTATTTGTGAGCTACATATTTAGAGCTCGGTCTTTAGGTCGTAGGTGCGTACATCCCGACGCTAGCTGGTGTCGCAAGACAATGCCCAGACAGCAAATACGTGCTCGCCAACCTTCGGACAACGAGGAAACAACAAGTAACAAAAGGCAGAATACAAGCGAGCAGTTCACGGGCATCCAGACCAACTTTGCACAAATAAAGAAGTCACGGAAGATTATTGACGGCTGGAAAACATTCGCGCGGCGGTACACGACTGTGGTCTAGCATAGGATCTTCAGCCTGTAATCTTCTCGTCTTCATTGCCAGCGTCGCTGCCAGTCTCAGTGGTGACATCAACCTCTACCTCGGCACTGGGCTCGTCCTCGTTAGCCTCCTCGCTACCCGCCTCAACGCTAGCTTCTTCCACGCCCTCTTCAGCCTCCGCTGGTTCAAAGAGCATCTGACGCAGCTTGGCTTCGAGGTCCTTCGCGATGTCAGGGTTCTCCTGTAGGAATACCTTGGCCTTCGCCTTGCCCTGAGCAATGGGTTCTGCGTACGAGGTTACGATAATGACACGCCGTTAGTCATTCGACAAGCATACACCAAGCAGACGAAGATAAACTGTACGACGCACCGTCGCTTCCAACCAGACTGTACCATGCGCCAGAGCGCTTCAGGAGACCATGCTGCACACCCAAGTCAAGCTAATCAAGCCAGCAAGAAGTACGGTAAGAAAGTCATCACATCTCCCAAAAATCCCAGCTCGCGATGCCGTACCAGTTCAGACTGACGATCTATGCCGTGACCGAACATCATGTCGAAAGTCGCCACCTTGAAGGGCGAGGCCAGCTTGTTCTTGGCCACCTTCACCACGGTCTCGTTGCCGACAACCTGGTCGCCCTCCTTGATGGCCGTCTTGCGACGAATGTCCAGCCGCACAGACGCGTAGTAACGCAGCGCCGTGCCACCCGACGTCACCTCAGGTGATCCGAAGATGATGCCCACCTTCTGGCGGATCTGGTTCAGGAAGATAATGGTGCAGTTGGACTTGGACAGCGATCCCGTCAGCTTCCGCAGCGCCTGGCTCATGAGGCGCGCCTGCAGCGCAATCTGCTGGTCTCCCATTTCACCTTCCAGCTCCGCGCGCGGCACCAGAGCCGCCACACTGTCCAGCACCACGAGGTCCACTGCCCCCGACCTGATGAGCGTGTCGGCGATCTCCAGAGCTTCTTCGCCCGAGTCCGGCTGCGAGACGTAGAGCGCGTCAATGTCGACACCCAGAGCCTTGGCGTAGTGGGCGTCAATGGCATGCTCTGCGTCGATGAAGGCACAGGTCCCGCCAGTCTTCTGAGCTTGAGCAATGCAACTCAGCGCCAGCGTTGTCTTGCCGGAGCTCTCGGGGCCGTAGATCTCCACCACACGTCTAGCAAAAAATGTCAAGTTGCAACTCGATTTTCATCACCTCCACATCAACTCACGCACCCTCGTGGGATGCCACCGACACCCAGAGCCAAGTCCAACGACAACGAACCCGAAGAAATCACGTCCACGCGCTCTGCGATCTTGCTGCATTAATAAATAAATAAGCAAACACTTATTAACTTTTGTCGCGATGGGGCATAGATTTTAGTGCAGCGGGCGTACGTGGACCCCAGCTGCATGACCGCGCCCTTGCCGAAGCTGCTCTCGATCTGGCGGATGGCCATCGTCAGCGCCGCGCTGCGGTCTGCACAATAACAAATGTTGTTATTATTGTCAATAATGACCATTTCTCGACTTGAAGACGTCGCACCGGAGCCGGATGCGGCGCTCACGCGCCCAGACTTGGCGGCCGAGCGCTTGAAGCGCACACAAGACAGATACGGGGAGCCGCAGGCCGCAGCAGCAGGCGCCAGGCGCTGGCCCAGCGTCGGAAGTCGCTGGCCAAGTCGCAGCATTGTTGATGGACCAAGAGATCAGCTGGCTGAAATGGGTTCACGTTTCTAAACGCAGCACTTCATTTAGCAATCATATGTACCCTACACAAAATAACAACTTCGACATGAGTGCATTCATCTATTGCTTGACACACACCAAGTTTAAACTGTGTTTGGCGGCGTTTGTTAGCACGCTCCGTACACTATGCTGCGGATCGTCTTGACCATGACGTCGCCCCACGCCATAATCCCAGTCGAGAGTTCGTGCAGCGTCTCATCGGATAGCGGGAACTGTGGCCGATGGATTTTCAAGAAAGCCGCCCTTATCATCGTCACGACAAGTTCGCCTTCAACTCCGTTAGTCGCTGGTTTGCGCCTAGCAACAAACACGGCAGTGGCCGAAATATCCTTTCGAACTCGCGTGGCAGAGTTGTAGGGATAGAGCTCGTCCTCGTCGACGGAATCCAGCGCATATTTCCCCTCGGGGTCCATCTTCGGGAACAGCAATGAACTTGTTTCTAGCATGACATCGTTGCAAACCGTCGACAACACTCGAGCGTTGTACATGCTGCCGTGAACGGAGTCGTAGTCGTCCCTGACGGTCACGTGGCCCAGCCGCTCCGTGATGCTGATCTCCATATTCGTCAGATAATACACGGCTGCGTCGTACACTTGCTGCAGAGACTTGACCCCAGAAAACTGAACAGTCTCGAAGCGCACACCGCAGAAATCCCCCACCGAAATAGTTCGATCGAATACGTCGCTTTCTCCACATCCAGCAAGTGCCAGCGATTGAGTGGGAGGCTTATCAAGTTGTCACCCACATGAGAGTTAGTATACGCAGCCAAAACTCGTTCCCACTTCGGAACGCCTCGCCATACAGAATAAATCCCGAAACTCGTTCTGAGTGCAGGACAGCTTTCATCCAACGAAAAGTGAAACAAAGTCGTGCCTCCGGCCCGAAAAAGCCCTCAAATTTCATGCTCTCAACATTAATTTTATTGAAATAGAATGGTGTAGGCTAAGATAAAAAATGATGTTTTGTTTTAAATTTGAGGTTTACATTGTTTTTTCTTCTTTTTTACTTTAAAAAGGCCTTGTATTCGTAGAGCAATGGACAAATGATCTGAAACCTGCGTTTATCCTGGGAGGACAGCTAGAAGAGCTGTATGGATGAATATCGTGACGGTGCCGACATACAAGAACTTGACTTGGCCACTGTATGGCGGCCATGGCCCAATCAGATGTCCAATACGTTTTTTCAGCGAATAAGCATCCGGTAGATCCCTATTTAGGCCAATCAACATGATTAGGGGTAGGTATATTTGCTGCCGACACTATACCGACGTATAATGCCGGCAACGCGGCCGAAATATGTATTCATCCCATAGGAAATCTAAGTAATAAGGATATAATATACATATCTGTTCTGCTGCCGACAAGTTACTTAGCTTTTGTATTGCCTTTGACGAGCTGATTTGAGCTGTTTGCAACCTTGGGTCCACCACCGGGCGCTGCTGGCCTTACTGCCGCGCGTCCACCGGTCCCTGGCGCCCATTTACGTTGCCAACTTGCCCGTCGTGCGTCCGCGGTATCGTTTCGCCCTCGCACCGGCCTTGACCTTCAGCACCTTCGTCTGCACCGTCACCATGAGCACCAACGTGCTCCCCCTGGCCTTCGTAGCCGCGAGCACCTCGTGCTCCCCCTGAGCTTGAGTCTCCTTCCTCCATCGACCTCCGTCGATCAGTCGTCACCGCACACACCATCACCTCCGTCGCGCATCGGCACTCGGTCGCCCCTTTCGCGGGCGTCCCGACCAACGCCGCGCCGATCCACCGGGAACAACCAGCACCATCTCTCTCATCGACACTCTTGACTTGTACACCACGCCCTCGCATCCGGGCGGGCTCTCCGTCGTCGTTGCGAGTCAGCACCAGCACTTGCCCTCGATCGCGCCGAGCCCTTTGGGCTCATAACCTGTAGGAAGTACTTGGAGCATGCATGTACGACCTCTCTATTGAACGCGTGCCAGACGCGTTTCGGCCCCCCGCCGGGGGCCTCGTCAGTGGCTTTACCAATCGAGAAGTGAGCTCTCTCTCTCTACGTGTCCTCCTGGGCGGTCGCCCCTACGAAGCTTCTAGAATCTCCTAAAGATCTGTCGTGGGTACGACTCTGGTGTCGTAACCGTGTACCCCCACCATGGGGTTACACCTACGTGCCTGCAGCACTTCCAACAGGAACTATGCAGCCCCCCCCTTTTCGCCGACGTCCTTCGGCTCGCCGCCCTCCTTGATGACCCACCCGCCGTCCTTGCGGCCTGGCCTGCATCTTGGAATTGACATTTGAGTCAAATGATATGACCAATAGATTAACCGCTCAACTAAATGCTTATTTCTACCAATCACGACGCTGTAGGCCACTGTCGGCACCGTCATGGTATGGACAGCCTCACACAGATTAATTCGTCGAAAAAAGTTACTTGTACCTCAGGCAATACTTAAACAACATTTTGCCACACCATACTTACACAATGTAGCCATGTCGTCAGCGGCACCATGTACCACACAAAACCGACTGGATTCTCATATGTAGCAAGAATTTGTGCGACTATCCTGCGATCGTACTTAATCGAAGTGGTGTGTGACTTTTGGAGCTAGGCGCCAGACGCGATACGCACGTTCATCGTGCCCCCGAATCTGAACGCCGCCTTGACCATGGATCCGTACGCCGACATGCTCATCAATCCAGACGCCATCACAACCACAAATCCAGACGCCATCACAACCACAAATCCAGACGCCAACATGCCCACGAGCCCAGACGCCACCTTGACCACGGGTCCGAATGCCGACATGCTCACGAACCCGGACGCTGCGGATCTCGCCAGTCAGGTACAAGCAGTCAAGCATAATGTGATCGGCCAGAAGACTGTGAAGATGTACGTTCGTGGAATATGTCGTTATGTAGCATGGCTTTACAAGAACCACGCTGAGTGAGCAGCATCCATTGTATCGCAACGCGCTTTTCGGAAATACCAGACTAGTTTCCCAGTTGCAACAGAAAGTGGTTTGCCGAACGGCACGTCCATCAGATCGAATAAGGCCTACTGGTGTACCTCCGCACGTTCATTTGATGGTATCGATGGAGCAGCCATCGGCGCAGCTACAGCAGCTATCATTGTCGGTTAGTGAGCTGGCGCCCACTGTGGTGCAGTTGATGAGAGAAGAAATGTCCCGTTGTCGATCTTCTTTGTCGTCAACAGAGCTTAATGCCAGTATATCGCGGGCGCTTAATGACTGTGGAATAGCTGAGCTAGTTGCAGCGGTCCGAAGCCATTTACCCCAGCCATTGGGTTGCACTACAGAAGAATCTCAGGACCGCCTAGATGTAGATGATAACGATGGAGTCCAAATGGCTACACAAAACCTGACTCTTACGAACTCAAGATTGACGCGAGCACCTGCTGATTTTACTATTCCCAGCATGTCGTTAAGGTGTGCTTGGGAGCACTGGTGCTGTGGTGACCCATCTGGGCGAATTGGTCCATATCGCTTCCTGCAGTGGCAGGACCTTTCCACTTGTGGGAAGCGGAAGACGCTCTCAGCCTATCGGTGTATAATGATGGAGATACAAGCCAAAGTTCCGCGAGGCTGCTGGATATCAACCCCAACTGTGCAGCAGGCTCGCGAAATGCTTCAAGGCGCTATTCCGAAGCTTCGTATCAGCGATGTAACACCAAAAAATCGTCAAAGGCGCAAAGATCAGCTCAAATGGTCTACTGCATTGAACGAGATTCGAGAAAATCGCCGTAGATCGAGCCAAGACGCGTAGGTTAGCGTCGAAACACCAACACACGTGCATATAAGCAAAAGATAATTCAGCTCGTCTTACGTCACGTCGTTGATGCAGTTGCCGAGGACGAGGACGAGTTATATGGAGCCTAATGGGCGCTGGTGTAGCCAGGTTGCCTGGCCACGGGTTCACGCTGCATTATGCAAAGGCAATGCGCGACGACGCACTACTGCCTGTCGCCTCGAACTTGTGGCTGTATAAACTGCGGTTGTTATGCGCCTGTGTGGTATTGAGTTTCGAGGTTCAAAGTAGTTTTTCTGTGCGTTTGACGCACACGAATTCGTAACGACTCTGCATTTCCACCAGCTTAACAGCAGTTTGTATGGAAAGGTCGTCGCGGGCAAAAAGAATTCGTGTGCGCGCAGGAAACGCAAAAGTTTTGATACAAAAATGAGGTCAGACGCACACGAATTCAAGAGAATCACGGATAGCTTTTGATACATGCAGGATTCGCCAGTGATGAGGTGCCGGTGCCGAATCGTAAACCACTTTTTCCTGTTGCGCAGGTGGTCATCATGGTCGCAGGCTTATTGGACTGGATCTGCCCGTACTCAGCGGCTACGAGTTGCCGCGATTATTCGCCACAGAGAGAATTATTGGCTTGCCCCAAGGCTCCCTCTGAGCTCATGGCTCACAACTCAAGTTCATAACTCGTATCACCACGTACCCCACAAGCGCGCGCAACGAATACTGTTTCACACGATGGAACCCCCCTTTAGAAACAACACGACTCGTTTCCACCAATTCGGCCCTGAGCACCGGAAATTGGAGGACGCCCTTGTCGGGCGCGTCATGCTCGGGCCCACATCGACCTCGTAGCGAGCAGCAGGCTGCTAAGCCAGTTCTTCGGACCAAGCTTGGGGGCTTCACCAACTATAGACTGTACCCGGGTCGACAACCCAAGTGCCAGACAGAGCCTTCGCCGTGTCACCAGAACGAAAGAGTCCATCTTGAGCCAGCGTACAAGTCCAGCCAAGTTGCGGCCTGCAGACAAGAGGAAAATGACACTGGAGGACAAAAACATCCGACGTCGTGAGCAATGTAAAGCCAACAGGCTCGCTACCGCTGGAGACAGCAAACCCGCCAGCTGCAACTTGAGCTAAGCGTCCGGCAGCTGCGAGATGAAGTCGAGCGTTTAGAGAGGGGACTCGAAACCAACCAAACCGGTCGCCCAACCAAGTACAGCCCCTGGACTATCATCGTCGAGGTGTCGCGTATCCTGGACGAAAGCTTTTCCTCCTGGAACATGCTTGCCGAGGCAGACATGATGAGCTGTGCAATCTCCCACGAGGAGTATTTCTTGCCTGATGTGGCCATGGGGGACGCTAGTGGACTGAAGAGTCTGAAGCAGGCTTGGCGCTGGTCAAGACAATGCGGAGACCCTGAGCGTCAGCTGAAACGAGTCGAATCGATCACTCTTGGTGTCATGACGGCCACTGCAGAACTCAGCTTGACGGTGACAGAAGGCACACTGGACAGCTTCTTCCCGAAACTGCAGCGGAAAAACCCGAACATGAGCAAAAGGCTCCTTGGACAGAGACTGCAGCTCACCTGCTCCATTACCTTCCTGCTGGACGAAGAGACCGGCCGTGTCGCGCAGTTGGAACATGACGTCGATTTCGTGGCTCCTTTGCTTCACGTACTTGGCAGCCTAGAGGATGTGTCCAGTGCACTCAACGATCACAGCTCGTGTAGTAAATAGTCTCAAGAGTCTACGGTAGTGAGGATAGAATGGATACGTTGGACGCTCGGAAGCTTGAATAGGTAACAGTGCCCATAGCAAGCAGCCCTCGAGCCTACCTAGGTACGATACAACACCCGCCCAATGCCTGACCAGTCCACAGGATTGAGCGACATCGGCTTCGTCCCACGTTGCTTTGCTCATTTTGATGATCATCAGTTTCCACGTTACTTAAGTACGTCATCAAACCTATGTGTCTTTTTGCATTTTTTTCACATCGATAACTCGCGAGCTGGCTAAAGGGCCTTGTACCATGGCTCCAGGTGGAGGAGCCAACGGAAGCATTCCGTCGTGAAACTCATAGAAAATCTTCATTATTTTTTCACGCGTGGTGAAGTTTTTATTTTCGACAGGAAATGTGTTGACGCGTTGACGAATGTTTGGTGTCGATCGTATGTAAACAGTTTCCGCCTATTTCTGCATCTGGTAATCCAGCCCGCGGGGTTACGCGTTTACGATCAAAGGTGACCCATTGCGGTGACCTCAATTTGAGTTCACTGGCTTGATCCCAGTGTTCCCTCGAGTCCGAGCTCATAACTCATCTCACGCGCTACCCACGAACCAACCTACCCGAGACTCCTTCACTCGATGGAACCCCTCTCCAGAAACTACGCGACGTGCTTCGACCTGAACCAAGGACGGCTCGGGGACGCTCTCGTTGGGCGCGTCGTCCCGCGTGCCCCAGGAGCTAGGCCTACATAGCGGCCAGCAGGATGCTCAACAAGTTTTCCCCCAAGTCAAGCCCGGAAGCTTCAGCGATAGACCTCCCTACCTCGGGCAACACAAACCCCTGGCACAGCCTTCGGGGCTCAGCTGGAAGTCCAAAGCCGAGCGAGAAAAAGGTGACACAAGAAGACAAAGTCGTCAAGCGGCGCGCGCAGTGCAGAGCCAACCAGGCGCGCTATCGCATGAGGCAGCAGAACCGCCAGCTGCAGCTGCAGCAGAGCGTTCAGCAACTGCGAGAGGAAGTCGATCGTCTAAAGCGGGGAGTTGATAGCACTCACTCTGGTCGTCGAACCAAATGCAACCCCTGGGTCATCATTGCTGAGGCTTCTCGCCTAGTGGGCAAAACCTTCTCTTCCCCTTGGAGTGAGCTTCACGGGGAAGAAGCGGCGAGCTTCACGGCCTTCTACCAGGAGTATTTCTCGCCTGACGTGGCCCTGGGGGAGACCTGCGGACTGAAGAGTTTCATGGAACAGGCTTGCCGCTGGTCGACGTACTTCGATCACCCCGATCTTCAGCTCAAGCGGGTCGAGTCGACGGCTCCTGGCGTCATGACTGCTACGGCAAGGCTTAGTGTGACTGTGACAGAACGCTCGATGGGCAGCTTCTTCCCGAGCCTGAAGTGTACACGCCGAGACGATGATAACGATCGCGCAGAGCTGGCTGGAAGGCTTCTAGGTCAGCGACTGCAGCTCAACTGCTCCATTACCTTCTTGCTGGACGAAGAGACCGGCCGTGTCGCGCATTTGGAACGTGACGTTGATTTCGTGGGCCCTTTACTCCGGGTACTCGGCAGCCTAGAGGATGTCTCTAGCGTGCTGCGCGGTTAAAGCACGTCGACTGCTGCGTCCGCAAATGGTCAACCACGGTCGGAGTAGCGAAATGCTTGCAATATAGTACAGGATACACTTCTTTCTCGTTACGATATTGCATCAACGCAACTCTCCTTGTCATACCAAACGGTGCTGCAGCTCCAAACCTAAAATACGGTACCCCCGGGTCCTCTGCCCCCTGTTCCCGCGCGACGTGCATCAGCTGCAAGGCAGCGACCAACCTACCCATTTATCAGGTACGTATGCTAACCCCGGAAGCTGGTTCAACGGATTCGCGTATACTCCCAAGTGCCCCAACCAGTCGATACGACCTCCTTGGACGTGTTGACGGCGATGTGCGGCTGGCAAGAGGAGAACAAGGAAGGACTTTGCAGCATGGGAGACTGGTGATCTCTCATGTGTCCAAACATTTCAAGAACCACCAAGAAAATCGGCATCAAGCTACCAGAAACCCAGAAATTCGGCACAAAGCCATCAGCAATCCGGCATCGAGCCCCCAAGAACTGCGCCCACCGTGGCCAAAGGCATTGCCTTTAATCCAGGTCTCTGGAGTTAGCAATTAACGTAAATAGAGGATCTCTTCACCAGCGGTATCATGTATTTTGGACAGAGCCAACGAGCCGAGGAAGGCAACGCTTGCAGTACTGTATTTGATATAAGCTGCGTTGGTCGCGGTGATCTGCACCACTCGTGATTTCCATGGCTGACGACATACACGTGACCCGGTTTAGTCACGCTGAGAGAGCCTGTGGTCTGTCACACCAAGTATTGGATCATCGCTTCGCGTTTGGAAGCGCCACCTCGTAGTCGTCCCGTAGCGTAAGCTTGGCACCCCGCTCTCCCCTCCCTTCCCTCCCCGCTGTCTCCTGGGGTTCACTCACTTCTGAATCGCCCCTCACTCGTCATGGCAGATCTCCCAGCCTCAGCTTTAATGACCTCGTTTCCACCTCGGAGAACGCCGCCGCGCTAGGTTCAACAAGACTTTGCTCTCAGGAGTGATCGATACACCGATGACAGCCCCGGTCTCCCTTACGTCTATACCACCGACTCGCTGGTGTCGCTCAAAGACACAGCAGCGCCACGCCCAATGCAGGACTTCGTCCAGCCCAACTAACCACGGAAAGCGCCAAGGTGACGGGATAGCGAAAGACACCCAGCTAGTACAAAAAGAGAGATGATGAGCCACCCGCGGACGCGACCGACGCTGACCGTGATGACGGAGCAATTCGATTGTACTCGCAGTGCTTTGGCGATCCTCGCCTGAGGTTGAAGCGCATCGACTCGATCACGCCAGCAGACGCGGACTCGATGATCGAGTCCGCGTCTGCTGGCGTGACGACTGCGTGCGTGAGACTGAGTGTGACGGTGACGGAGTTCACGCTGAAGCCCCCATACATAGGAATATAGTTGCCGAGATGCAGTACATCTGCCCCCTCCCATGCTGCGAGTAAGCCATACATATATCAAAGCGAACAATTTGGCTGTCGATCAAGTCGTCTCATCACGCAGAACAGAATCGAATCGTAAAATGTTTACGGAGAAGTTGAAGGCCTTGGGCGCGCGCGCGTCAACATGGGGTATCGTTCATTGCTGACCATGCAACGTATCTGGGATACGTACCATCCGATTCTCCCACGTAAACTTGACCGACGATAATCACTTTTGCAATTTCATACAGTGTACAGTAGCAGTGAGTCGTTTTGTTGTCGAAGCCTCGCTTGTTTAGTGGCGGTGGCGTGAAACGTTCGATCACTTCACAATTTCCGCGAGCAAGTGACAATGGTTCTGACACTGAACAACGCTAAACGACCCAAATGCACCTACGCTGCTCGACGGGTACGTTCGGCGTCCTCAACTTAATTTGCGTTGATCGCAAGACTAATGTGGCGAATTATGTTGTAGGAGGAAGCGAAGGAGCTACGCGAAGAGATCTGTAGGCTCGAGTCGCAGGTGGCAGTGCTGAAGATCAGGTCCGCCGAGCCTGGACAAGAACAATCGGAAGTTGACGCCAAGCTAAAGCAGACCCAAAAGGAGAACGCTAAGTTGCGCGACAAAGGCAGAAGGCAGCAGCTAGAGGTGGCTAAAATGCAGTCAGCTATGGGCCGATGTCTGGTAGGTGCACTATCTGGGGGCTATTTCTTTGAACAACATAACTTGCAGTGTCTATTTCAATAGGGAACCCAGCAGTCGCACCCGCTGTACACTTACACGGATGGGGAGAAGGCGATGTTTTCGAACGAACTGTTCGAATCAGATGCGCGATTTCTGTGGTGTCCGTTTTGAGACGATGAAGTTCCCTGGGGTCAAGTTTTTGCAGCAAGTGTACGACGCAGCCGTGTATTATCTGACGAATATGGAGATCAGCATCACGGAGCGGCTGGGCCACGTGACCGTCAGGGACGACTACGACTCGTGTCATGGCAGTATGTACAACGCTCGAGTGTTGTCGACGGTTTACGACGATGTCACGCTGGAAACGAGCTCGCTGCTGTTTCCAAAGATGGATGCAGAGGGGAAATACGGGATGGTGGTGCTCGATTCCGTCGACGAGGACGAGTTGTACCCCTACAACTCTGCCACGCGAGTTCGAAAGGATATTTCGGCCACTGCCGTGTTTGTTGCTAGGCGCAAACCAGCGACTAACGGAGTTGAAGGCGAACTTGTCGTGACGATGATAAGGGCGGCTTTCTTGAAAATCCATCGGCCACAGTTCCCGCTCTCCGAGGAGACGCTGCACGAACTCTCGACTGGGATTATGGCGTGGGGCGACGTCATGGTCAAGACGATCCGCAGCATAGTGTACGGAGCCTGCTAGCAATATCACCAAGCGTAGCCTAAACTTGGTATAATGTCCATGTTCTTCTCTTGTGAGCCCTCCACCTCGTTTGCGTCCTCTCTGTACACCGTGAAAAAGAGAATTGATGCTTACTGGTGGGTATATGATACCATAGGTACTGTTAGACTACTCCGGTGAGATAGAGGAGAGAATCCACTGCTGTTACTCGTGGTAGCTGAGTCGACAGGCTGTTGCGGAGCAAAATGTACGAAGAGCAATGCCAGCATCAGCAACACGTCAATACTGGCAAGTTCAATGTCGAAGTTGAAGTGCACCATCTAATGAAAGGCGTACAAGTAGGTGAATTCTGCACGTACGGATAATCATGATCAAATATGCAACGGCAACTTTTTCAATTAGAGGCCAAGACCGTACTTATACAGGATCATTTCTATAGTACAACTTATTCTACTTGACTTTCCGAGTAGACAACCTCAATAACTTTGATGATCGTATTCGACTTCATTCATTGACTCGGGATGTCGGTGGTTGCAGTGCTGGGTCCTTGTTTGGACCTGGTCTCCCTCATTGATGAACGTCCGCTGTCGCTATTCCAAGGCAGCGAGAGTGAGTGGAGTGATATGAGAAGTTATTGATTCTACATCTCCTTTTTTCCTTGTTACTCGAAGTACATTCATATGAGACAACGGCGAACAAAATGTTACTAACGCGCCATTGAGAGTTATCGAGATAATCGACTTTAAAGTTCACCAATCAGAATTCGTACCTATCCAGACATCGAAAATTTAAAAGTGAAAATTACTCGTAGAACGCGGAAAAGACTTTAATGCGATTGCCTTTAACAAGAGCTTTCTGATAATATACGATAAGCAAATTTTGAGAAAGAATTGAAGTCACTATCGTTCAAAACGTGGTAGGATTTTGACCCTTATCAAGTGCCGACAACTCCTCGAATTTTCAACATTTCGATGCAAAGAAGGGCTCAAAATGTGCGCAAGACAGCGCTCTTCACGATAAATCGCGATTCGTACTTAGGTTCGTAAGTAATTTTTTGTTTGCCGCCGTATATTTTACGTGCATTATTGTACTCTTCTGGACCGCCTGTTACTGCCGCATCATGCAGCACACCTTTGGCATGCTAATTTCATTTGAGTACATTGAGTACACGGTATGTTCTACATGCATTAATATACTACTTAACTAAGTACTCTAGTAGGATACTTACATCAAGAGTACAAGTTTACCTTCAGTGGAACCAATTTGAACACCAAACTCCCCTATAATTGCAGTTGGTACCGTATCATGCTCAATTTTGTTGTCTTTCTTTTAAAGTTTATTTAGAAACGTTTCTAATCAGCAGTAACTGAGTTTGATTATACCGCACTACTTGGGCTCCAGTAGTTGGACGTCATGGCGGCCATGGCGTCGCCGAGCCCGCCTCCTGACGCCGCCGCTGCTATATCTGCGCCCAAGCGGCCGGCGTTGACGACACTGCGCAGCAGCCAGCGCGGCGTGGCCATGTCCAACGAGAAGCGGCCGCCGCGCGAGCTGCTCAAGAAAATCGGCCTCAGCGGCAAAGAAGTCGTGAAAATCATCAAGGAGCGCAAGTGGGAGATCGTGGAACCGCACGGCCTCCAGCAGCAGAAACTGTACTACGTCCCCGGCGCAAAGGAGAGAGAAGAAGAGGTAGAACTGAAGCAGCGACGGGACTTTTTCGTGGGCGAGGGCGAGCTCTACGCTTTCATTTTGAAACAAGGTAGGGCGACTCTACCTTGTCAGCGGGCTGAAAAAGTAGAACGGGTAGAATGACCAACTAAGTGGTTGCTATTGTCATTTAGGTGGACTACGCTATTTGCTGCCGGATGAGGACTTCTCCACCGAGTCGGACGAGTCCGAGGTAGAACCCACGCAGCCGTCCAAGCCCTCGCAGGAGGAATCCAACGCCGACGCTAACTCTACCAATCCTGCTACCGGAGAACAAAACTCTGCAAAAGAGAGCGACGGATTAGGAGACTCGTCCGACTCTGCAGACGGTGAAGCTGCTGGCGCAGGCTCGGACCAGCGCAGGTGGAAGCGCCGGAAGAAACTCTCCACGGCTCGGAGCAAGTCCACGGAGAAGGCTGCACCGGAGAAGTCTGCACACGTCAAGGCCCCGCCGCCCAAGCGTCGACGGAAGACTGGGAAGAAGAATTCTGCCGCTGACGACGACGAGCAGGACAGGGACGACATTCGCGTGAGTCCGCGCATTAAATTGGAGCAGGCCACCTACGTCGGCGTCGGGCAGCAGGCAGAATTCAGCGAGTACATGTCGTCGTTGACGGCGCGCGGCTGGCGAGCGCAGTTGCTGCAGGACGTGGACGTGCACTTGCTTCGATCGACCGCCGCTGTGGACCGACGACATCGCGCGTTGGAGGCTGCGGTCGAAGGGCAGAAGAGGAGCGGGAGACCGACGGAAGGCGTCGGCCCGCACGTGCAGGATGCAGCGGAGATTCTCCAAGAGCTGGAGGGGCTCGAGTGCAGCATCCGCGCGTCTCAGGACGACCTGTCGACCATGACCGAGGCGGTGATCGTGCAGGCGGAGAGATCCACTGTTCCGGATCGCATCGACCCCGTAGGCCGCATCGGGATCCCAGGCTTCGTGTCGACAGGGTCGGGGAGTCTTGTACTCATGCGCGATATCGAGCGCTACCTGCTGCTCTTCGTTGCTGCTGTGCGTCGCTACCAACGGACAAGGAGAGCCGTCTCAGCCAACGAACCCACAAGCGGTTCATCCACCAAAGCGGGGAAGCGAGCAGACCTGCGGGCGCTTCAACTGCGCATCGAAGAGTCCAAGACGGAGCTGCAGGAGCTGGCCGAGATGGTCAGCGTAGAGGTGAAGAAGCAGACGCAGACGTGCCAAGACGCAGACTGGAGTGCTGCTGGCCAGGATGCCGCTACGTCCGATACTGCATATACGACGTCTCAGAACTCCTCTCAGAGTACTTCACAGAGCACCGCGAGGCCTGTACGTGCAGATGCCGAGTAACTCGACCCTCCCTCCCTCCCTCCCTCCCAGAGTTCAGCTGTCTAACGACTTACCTGCGTGTGGACAGACGGACTGCGAGGCGGACGTCGACACGGACCACGACGAGTCTTCCAGCCAGCAGAGCGGGGCGTCCTCGCCTCGAAGACTTGAAGGGGGTCAGTGGCTGGTCTGAAGACGAACGAACGAACGGCTAGACGCTTTTGTATTCTTCTTCTCATGTGTGCTTCAGGAAATAGAGAACTTATCCTGTCATGACTTTGGGCGTGACATCTAATTGGCTGGTGGGCACTTCAACTACAAGATCGCGACGCTTAGCTGAGCCGAGTCCGCCGCACCGCTTCGCGCGCAGTGCAAGGTATCTCATCTAAGACGACGATGTCGGACAGTCAGCTTCTCCGCCACGAGCACAGCGGCTACGGAGCCATTTCGCCGGTGAAGCGCGCGCTGCAGCAACTTCACAGCCCGCCACATCATCACCAGCACGCGCTCAACTTCGGTAAGGCCAAGCAGGCGCCGTCATTCTTGCGTTTGCCGCTGCTAATGCGTCGATGATAATGCTACGTACGTAACAGAGCCGGAGAGCGGAGATTTGTCCTCCACCACCAAGATCCTCAGCGACGGACATGGCTCGCGCAGTCGCGATCGTCTCAGTCGGTACGGACACAAGAAGGCTCCGCTTTTCATCCTTCTTTCACCTTGATCCCTGTGGCTAAGGTGCCTTGTTCGTGCAGGTACCTGGATCACAGCTCGTTCGGGGTGGGGCTGGACGTCTTCCTGGTGCTGGTCTCCATCGTCTTCGCGAGCTCGTACATTGCCAACACCTACGTCCCCTCCAACGACGTACGTCGAGGGTTTATTTCCTTCGCCATTGCCTCGGTTGAGAGGACTTACCGTGTTTCATTCGGCAGATGCCGTACAGCTTGTGGATGACGGACATTGTTTGCGCTGGAATCCTGGCTGCGGACTTCTTGTTCCGTGGCATCTACCTCTCGAGTCGCCGTCGGGACTACATGCTGTCATTCCCGGGACTTGTGACTCTCGCTGTGGTGCTTCCCGTGCTGCCAACGTCGTTCTTCCTCCAGTACCAGTTGAGTAGCGCCGTGTGCATGAAGGAGAGTTCTGAAGTTTGTCTAGACTAACTTGTTGGCTTTCTGTTGTGACAGCACTTTCTGGTACGGCATTTCAGACTGGCGATTCCTGTACCCGATGCGCTTCGTCACGTGCTACATCGAGGCCAAGGCGGTGCTGAGTCGCTGCCACGGACTCATGTCCCCCGTGCAGCAGTTCGCCATGCTGTGCTACCTGCAGCTGACGATTATCATCGCTGTCGCCGCGGGGGTTATCCAGATCGCGGAGACTGCAGACGAGAAGTACGCGGATGGGAACTTGGGCGAGTGGACATTCTTCAACTCGTTCTTCAACTCGGTGCTGGCCTTTGTGACGATCCAGTCGCCGCCCGCCGACAATCCGCTGGCTAAGGTCTGCGTGGGTGCCCTCGTGCTCGTCCTCATCCTGGTGGTGCCGTACCAGGTTTCCCAGATTCTGGCGCTTGGTAGCTCCTTCTCCCCGTACGAACTGGCAAGCCACACTCCGTCCCCGACCAGCAAGCACATTATCCTCTGTGGAGATCTGACCCCGTCACGCATCGACCATTTCTTCCGAGAGGTCTTCCACGATGATCACGACCTGGTGGACATCAACGTGGTGGTGCTGAGCGAGGAGGAGCCGGCCACGTCGCTCATCTCGCTGCTCATGGACCCGTTCTTCGAGAAGCGCGCGAGTTTCATCCAAGGTTCACTCCTGGACGTCGATGACGCTCAGCGAGCTGCCTGTGGGTCAGCCGACGCCATCTTCATTCTGGCTCGACGTGTCGCCGGAGAGACCCCCGCCAGTTGCGACCACCGAGCATTGATGCGAGTGCTAGCAGCTCGACGAGAGGCTCCAAAGGCTCGCGTGTTCGCACAGCTCCACTTGTCGGCGAACCGACACCTTGTCGCTGACTTGGGCGTGTCGAGTGTGCTCTGCTTCTCGGAGGTCATGCACTCGCTGCTCGGTCAGAACTGCGTGTGTCCGGGCTTCTCGACGTTCATGTACAGCCTCACGTCGACGTCCAGCTACGACTCCAGCAGCGACTACGACGAACCCCCGGCAGCGGACGCGTCGTGGGAAGACCGCTACTTGCACGGGTCCAGTCACGAGGTGTACTCTGTGGAGCTGCCTCCAGCTGCTGTTGTCTACGGTAAGACGTTCTCGGAGGTGGCTTCGTTGGCGTACGCCCAGTGCTCTGGAGTGATCGTGTTTGCGATCACCACAGCCGAGTCTTCAAAGGGGAACGGAGGCAAGCTGCTGCTAAACCCTGGAGATTCCTACACGTGCGTCGGGGAGGAGACGGTGTTCGTGATTGCCCAAGACCGACGCGAGGCCAGCGCCGTGACGGACATGCAACCGAGTGACTCGATGCCGGACGCTTGGACCGCTCAGCGCAGAGGCTCCAAGTCGAGGCAACTCTCTCGCGGTGCTAGTAGCAAGGCGAAGCGTCTCTCAATGACTGGCAGCAGCAGCACTGGGAATGATACACCCAGCAGTCTGGGGGATTCCGAGATGTCTTCGCCCCACCGACGACAGTCGCGGTTTGTCAATTGGCAGGCCGAAGCTGCGAGCCCCGCGTCGACGTTCAGTCAGGAGAACCGAGGCGCGTGGAAGCCCGAAGACGACGACGACGATCCTCTGGCCATCAAGACGAGCGGACTCTCTCCTACCAACACCATCAGTGCCGAAGCAGCGGTCATTCAAGACGTGGCAGCCTTGCACTTTGAGGTCGGCCACATCGTTGTCTGTGTGCTGTCTCCTTCGTCGTTCCCGCACCACCTCGAGTACCTCATCGGGCCACTACGCGTGCGTGCGCTGCGTCAACACCGTCCAGTGGTGATTGTGACTGCGCCTCTGCCGGAAGTGGACGACTACGAGCACTTCTACCGCTTCCAAGGCATCCACTTCATCGTGGGGGACCCGTTCCGCCAAAGTACACTACGGAGAGCTGGCGTCCAGCGCGCCTTCCGCATCGTGCTCATGGGTGCGGAGGGCGAAGTGTCCGACACCGGCACGTCCGAGCTGCTCCAGGACGCGGCCTGTATCGCGCTGCACAAGACCATCACGACGTTCATCGGCCCCACACAGGCGCCTCGCATCATCACGGAGCTCGTGAACCGGGCCAACGTGCACTTCATCGCCCAGAACCTCTCGGTCAGCGGCTGGTTCCCGCTCGCGGAGTGTGACGCTGCGGCCGCGTCCACGTCGTCGCTGGAGTTGGCGCGCAACTTCGCCGTGTCACCCGCGTTCGCCGCCGGCCTCACGTACAGCACCTCGCTCTGTGACAGTCTGCTGATCAACCAGTTCTTCAACGCGCGCATCAAGAACATCCTGCGCGAGTTCATCTTCGCCTCGTGGACGGACGGAGGGGTGGGCACTCTACCCAGCACCCCCGCGACGGCTGGAGGTTTTGGAGAAGCGGTAGTGTCCCCAACGCTGTCGACCTCGTCGGCTATGGGCGTGCAGCGCAGCTCCCTCTTCGCCGTGGAAGTGCCGATGGACTTTGTGGGGAGAACGTTCGAGTTCGTCTTCCACTATCTGCTCTCGTCGGACGGCATCCTGGTCATCGGACTCTACCGCTGCCGTCCGGACGCCATGCTGCACTCGTCGTCGTCGGTCCGCTTGCTCACTGAAGGACGGTGGACGAACGAGACGAAACGTGACCCGAGAGCGCGCATTGAAGTCCCCGAGAGGGACCGCAGCGTGCCCTTCGGCTACGTGTACGTGAACCCGCAGCCGCATGAAGTGCTCACGGGCAACGACCTGCTCTACGTGCTGTCGGACATTCAACCGTGCTGGGCCGAGGCCGACAAGGACTAGGCGTTTGCTATTATACAGTACAGACGTTAGGGAGGTTTACGCGGAGCTGATGGTGGTTATTCGCCGTGCTTGGCCAGTTCCATTCGTATTCCGCAGCGTTGAATACGAAGGAAACTGGCACACCAACACGTGCATCCATTGGCGAAGACTGGTAGTATTCATAGTTCTCACTCCATCAAGCGCGCAATAACTCGGCGGAATCTTCATCCCATGCGGAACAGTTTCTCCGCGCTGCTGGTGATAGCGATCACCTTCGTCCACCTCGCAGTCGCGGACAAGGCTGTCGATGCAGAAACCTCCACGAAGCGAGGGCGTTCTCAAGTCAATCGCCAAGGGAAAAGTCGAGCGTCTCGGCGAGGAGGAGCGAGGGGATCTGAGCAAACTGTCGTCGCTCGTGGGCCTGAGCAAGGGTCCGCCCAAGCTCACGAAGGCCAATGTGGACAAACTCCAGACGATCGCCCGGAGAGGTCCTGATAAACCTTCCAGCGTTGGAGAGATTATGGGCTACACTTTCGTCGGCTCAATGCTGGCATTTCTGGCATACTTGCAGTTCGGCCTTGGGTTGGGCTCAGCCAAAATGGGCAGCCCGACAGCCAACTGACGCGAATACAGCAGCAACTTGACATGCGTTGATCGCCGACAAGGTCATAGGATGTCGTTAGCGAACAATGCTAAGTGACAACAATGTACCTCACTGAAAACTGAACTTGACATGCGTTCATTATTCTCTCTTGTGGTTCGAAATCTTCTCTACTTGGTGCAATGCAACCAAACTACTGCCCTTGAACGACAGCTCTTCGACATTACCGTTCTTCTTCGAGTGGGCTTTACCTTTACCTCCCTGGGATTGATATCCATAGCCATTCCGAGTTGCTGAAGTGATGAACATGCGCGGGCTTTCTCTTGATCCAGCCGTCATCCGTACATCTGGGTCCGCATTTTCCCAGGCAGGAACTTCCTGCCAGGAAGGAGCCACTGCCCCAGCCTCACGATCTCGACCAGTATCCCCGTGTCCTTGATTGGACTGTACAGTCTCCACTTCGGAATCCGCTGTCAAACACGCAAGCACGGCCGCTCTTCATTGTCACAAGCTCCTTCCTCCCCCAGGAAGTTCTCATCATGCGGACACGTTTCTTGGCTCTGGTGGTGGCCATCGCCTTCGTGGCAAGCTTCCTCGAGTTCGCAGTCGCCGAGAAGGCCGTCGACGTGGAAGACACGACCAAGCTCCTGCGGGAGGGCGTCCTCAAGCCCATCGAGAAGGAACGAGCCACGCCTCTGAGCGAAGAAGAGGAGCGAGGAGCCAAGGAAGCGGTCACCAAAGTCACGTCTCTCCTGGGCCTGAACAAGGGCCCGACCAGGCTCACGCAGGACAAGCTCGACAAGCTCCAGACGTATGCGCACAGCAACCCCAGCAAGTGGTATGCGATGGTGTACTACGTGTCCAACGTGTTGGGCCTCGCACTAACAGCGTTCGCATTCTACGGCTTTATCTTCCTCGGCTGGAAGCCGGCAACAATGGGCAGCCCACGAGCCAACTGATTCGCTTGTTGCGTCGGGGTCTTGTCAAACTATCAAATATATGGGGCAGTAACTCTGCATTTTTCTGGCGCTCTCTTTATGAGTCGTGCGGCACGACGTAGGGCACGACTCGTGCCCTACTGCAAGTCGCACTGTTACATGTACGAAGATTCACGAACGACTTCAATTGGGAACAGGGTGAATCAACGACATAAATGTTTTACACTGCCAACCCAACGGTTGAGTCATAGCAGCCTCTAACGACCCAGCCTTTGAGATCCAGCTTTTCAGGGTTTAGTGCTATGTTTGATGTGTTCTCAAATTTTACTTGACTCTCCGGAAGACGTTGTGAGGGGGGGGGGGAAGCCTGGTAAATTCAAAAACGTGTTCCTTGGTTCCTGTGACAATGACCGATACTGCATCGTTGTAGTGCTGTGGAAAGTGTGTTCATTTTCACTTGGAAGCGTGAAGACAGCCAAAGTCAAGAAAAAAAGAAAATGTAGAATCAATAACCTCTCATATCACTCCACTCACTTACGCTGCCTTGGAATAGCGACAGCGGACGTTCATCAATGAGGGAGACCAGGTCCAAACAAGGACCCAGCACTGCAACCACCGACATCCCGAGTCAATGCGGAAAGTCAAGTAGAATAAGTTGTACTATAGAAATGATCCTGTATAAGTACGGTCTTGGCCTCTAATTGAAAAAGTTGCCGTTTCCTATTCGATCATGATTATCCGTACGTGCAGCATTTGCAACTTGTACGGATTTCATTGGTTGGTGCACTTCAACTTCGACCAGGCTCAACAGTGTTGACCGTGCTGCTATCCCACAATTCTCTATCGCTGCGGGGGGCAGATGAGAATGGCTAACCCGTGAAGAGGGTGCAGACGTGGTGGAGGGCTCACAAGAGCTGAGGTGTCAAGCGTGAATGAATATTATACCAAAGTTTAGACTGATCTTGGTGATACCGCTAGCAAGCTCCGTAAACTATACCGCGGATCGTCGTGACCATGACGCCCTCCCACGCCATAATCCCAGTCGAGAGTTCGTGCAGCGTCTCCTCGGAGAGCGGGAACTGTGGCCGATGGATTTCAAGAAAGCCGCCCTTATCATCATCACCACCACCTCGCCTGGAGCCCCATCAGTCGACGGCTTTCGACTTGCAGTAAACACGGCAGTGGCCGAAATATCCTTTCGAACACGCGTGCAGAGCTGAAGGGGTACCGCTCGTCCTCGTCGACGGAATCGAGCATCACCATCCCGTATTTCCCCTCTGCATCCATCTTTGGAAACAGCAGCGAGCTCGTTTCCAGCGTGACATCGTCGTAAACCGTCGACAACACTCGAGCGTTGTACATACTGCCATGACACGAGTCGTAGTCGTCCCTGACGGTCACGTGGCCCAGCCGCTCCGTGATGCTGATCTCCATATTCGTCAGATAATACACGGCTGCGTCGTACACTTGCTGCAGAGACTTGACCCCAGGGAACTTCATCGTCTCAAAACGGACACCACAGAAATCGCGCCTCTGATTCGAACAGTTCGTTCGAAAACATCATCTTCTCCCCATCCAGCAAGTGCTTGGGGTCCATAACGAAGTTGTAGGCGTTGCGAAGCTTCTCCTCTCAGATGGACATCAGAGAGTGCCCATGCATCCTGCCAGATATTCATAGTGAAAGCCAGCGACTCATTATCGATCACTGCTTCAATTGTATAGAATTATTCGCGCAGGCTTCCTTTTATCTTTTTGCCTGAAATTCACAGTTCGTTAGGACTGTGTCTGGTACACGTGCTTTCGGATTTGTACCCCAGGCCTGGGGTACAATTGTCCCCCCGAGTCCTTTTATTATTTCATTTTTGCGTTACTTCGCTAACTTCCATCACTTTTTAGCGCTACTTCGCTTACTCAAAATACCGGTTTTTATTGTTACTTTACTTGCTGTTATTTCAATTGTGTACTGGTTACCCCAGTTCGTATTGTATTGTATTGTAAACGTTTAGTGCGCCTTACGCTTTAGGGAAAAAGTGATGTACACTCTCCAAGCGTGGTCCACACCACTAACTCCAATAGTGGGCGACCACTAATTGAGCTCCTACTGTCTTCTCCGGCACGATCAGCATACGTCGGCAATGAATGGCTCCCCCTTCGCGGAGACGCGCTAGGCCTTGGTGGCGGCAGTCCGCTGCTTCCGTCGCCCGTATCGGTCTTGTAGTCTTGGTTCAGCTAGGTACTCGGGTCACAACTCCTTTCCCCGGCAACTGCTGTCGTGGCCGCAACAAACCACGCAGTCTCAGCCAGCACGCCCTTGTTCTTCGGTCTTGTGTTGTTCCTGCGCCTTATGCTGATCCCCTTGAGCACCTTCCCTTGACGGTTGACGGCTGCAGCAGCCACCCCTCCCCCCCCCCCTCGCGGGCGCTCGCGCCTCACCGCCGAATCAGCTTCCTGGGCGATGCCGTAGTCATCAACCCACGTGAAGTCGGTGGCTGAGCACTGAGCGCGCTTGGTTTGTCCGCTACCGCCACCGCGAGTCGTACCCGTGTCGAGTTCTCAGCCCAGAGACACTAGCCTCACATCCTTGTCCGTCTAAGAACTGAGGGCGCCCGCGGCGGAGCCGCATTAGCGCCCCCGAGAACGACGCCGCGGCGCCGCTCCCCAGGAGGGCGTCACCCCAACCCGTACCAGGATTACATCTCGACTACTACAATTAATTGCGCATTGAACAGCTCGATGTAAAGTTGAGTCCCCTTAACGGGTTACTAAAAAAAATAGTCTGTCGATGTGTTTGAAAAAGTTTGGCCTTATGGATCGAGAGCTATACTACATTCATAAAGTGTACTGTGAGGAAACCATACTCCCACAAACGTTCTAATCAAAAGAGTGCGACCAGTGCCTCAGATAAATTCAGCATGAGGTACAATCGATAACGCAAGACTGATGTATGTCTACGCGCCATAACCGAGAGATGGCCAAGTGCTGTCGCATATTGACAGATAAGCTGGAAGTTCCGGTTTATCCGGTCGGTAACATATCTGCACCTGGTTGAGTAAAATTTCTGTCATGCATTATTGCCACTAGCATTTTTACCCAGCGAAGGGCTGACGAAACACCCAGGTGGAATACTTCAGAAGTATTCCACCTGGGTGTGCTTAGCGACAAGTAGATCTTAAAAGTTTATACACGGGGAACTTGCAACGGTCATTTTTTGTTTAGATTCGCGTCTTGATGATCAAGGCCTATTTCACTCAAACAGGGTTTTAGAAAATGCTTACGTCTTCACAGTCTTCAATGTAGCTTTGTGAGGAGAGCGTGCTAACGATAATTTTAAGTTTTGAAAAAGTATTAATACAATTAACCTTACTTAAGCTCCTGCCTAGTGAGTTCTGTCTTGTAAGGATGCGTACATATAGTCGCTTACTGCGGCTAGCACTCAAAACACCACAGCTAGGATAGACGCAACTAATACACCACAATTAACCTTCTTACGAACTGCGATACTGGTACGAGTTGGGGTGACGCCCTCCCGGGGAGCGGCGCCGCGGCGTCGTTCTCGGAGGCGCTAATGCGGCTCCGCCGCGGGCGCCCTCAGTTCTTAGACGGACAAGGATGTGAGGCTAGTGTCTCTGGGCTGAGAACTCGACACGGGTACGACTCGCGGTGGCGGTAGCGGACAAACCAAGCGCGCTCAGTGCTCACCCACCGACTTCATGTGGGTTGATGACTACGGCATCGCCCAGGAAGCTGATTCGGCGGTGAGGCGCGAGCGCCCGCGAGGGGGGGGGGAGGGGTGGCTGCTGCAGCCGTCAACCGTCAAGGGAAGGTGCTCAAGGGGATCAGCATAAGGCGCAGGAACAACACAAGACCGAAGAACAAGGGCGTGCTGGCTGAGACTGCGTGGTTTGTTGCGGCCACGACAGCAGTTGCCGGGGAAAGGAGTTGTGACCCGAGTACCTAGCTGAACCAAGACTACAAGACCGATACGGGCGACGGAAGCAGCGGACTGCCGCCACCAAGGCCTAGCGCGTCTCCGCGAAGGGGGAGCCATTCATTGCCGACGTATGCTGATCGTGCCGGAGAAGACAGTAGGAGCTCAATTAGTGGTCGCCCACTATTGGAGTTAGTGGTGTGGACCACGCTTGGAGAGTGTACATCACTTTTTCCCTAAAGCGTAAGGCGCACTAAACGTTTACAATACAATACAATACAGTCGAGATGTAGCTAAATGGTTATCACACTAACAACGCTGCAGAGCAACTAAATATATTTATTTCCAAATGAAAAAAGTCGCAAGCGACTTGGGCGCGCCTCACTTGCGGCGCACCAGTCGCACATCTCCTCTCAGCTTACGTTAACGCTCTAGCATATATCAAGATAGTCTTGCGTTCTTCGGGTTCGGTCACAAGACGCGCCTGCACAGGATCCGGGTTCGCAGCGAGTAGATTTTCTCTCAGTCGGACGCCTTTACACACGTGCTGGTAGACCCTTCCAACTAAACTTTGTCCTTTCGACTCGTCCTTGAGATCGTGATACAGAGTCGTGACCTATTCCAGCAACGAACGCCTCGATCATGTCCTGACTAGTATTAAGATCAGACAATATTAGTGAAGTTGCCGATACCGCAGCAATTGCAGACGAGCACATTCGTGCTGCACGTATTTGTGGCCTGAGTGGGCCTTTTCTAGCTACTTTCGGCATCGAATCACCCCCTAGAGCACCAGCACGTCCAACGCGTCGCATTCTACAGTACAACCAGTGAAAAATTAAGTTTAGGCCAAGTTTCCATGTCATGAGTAAATGGGAGGGGGTACCTGAAGACTCAAGCGGAGGTTGCTGCTCCTTCTTTCCCTTATGCGAGCATCCAGTTCATGTCCGTTCTCCTGTTCAGCAAATTCTAAAATGACATTCAGCGAGCCGGCCCCGCTCGGATCAGGAACATCATGGCCTATACCTCCATCTAAAGGCCTTCTGACCTATACCTTTACTCTTTGTCCCCTCAGGGGACTCCCCTGAATTATGTGTCCAACACTAGTTAATCCGCATACAAATTCTTAGATAAATCGTCCCAATACAACAGTAAGTCATTCGAATGCATACAAAACTCAATATATTAGATTTCAATACAAAACTCAAGTAATTAATTCTGGCGATACCGACGGCAAGCCCCGCGGCATTCGGCGTCAACTCAACCGGCGGGTCGAGGCACATCGCCATTCGTTCGATGGTGTTTGACGGCCGCTGATTGGCCAGTCTGGACAGATGACGATGACTCGTCGACATTCAAGCTCGAGCCGTGGTGTGTCCACACAACACCGGGACTTCAAGGACGACCCGAACCTACGGCGAACTTTGGCCTGAGTTCCGCACCTAAGGCGACTCTTCGAGTCATCGGGAGGCCGTCCGAGCCTTCAAGAGGGCTCTGAAGAGTCGGGTGGTTACCTGGAAGATCCAAAACGGACACGTCTAGACTATATATTTGTATTGAACCATAGGAAAGAGAAGATAGAACAGATAAGCCCTTTGGGCTACAAGAACAGAACAGCTTTTCCTCCCAACCACTCAGGGAAGACGTCCGGGCTATCGGTGAGTTCCCGTAGCAATTGGATAAACCTGTTGGTAGGATTATGACTGTCGGTGGACGCGCCTGCTAGTATCGTAGCGTGCGTTTACCCGTGGTCAGGCCGAGAGTGGCCGTGTATACGAAGGGCAAGTCATCGCCGAGTAGTGGAGGAGCGAGAGCGCACTCCATTTATCCTTCCCGCCGGAGTATAGCTCTGGCACCCTCGTATCAAGCCGTGACTGGCTGGGACCCTTCCTTCCTGAGGGCCTGCGAGGTTTATATTGCGTGTGAGAGCGTGCCAGCCTTTGCTCGTGGCTGGTGACGCTGTGGTTCCGTAGCGGAAACACGGTGCACAGAGGAAACATCAACCCGGTGCAAGGGAAAGTTCCTGGGCCTTCAGGTTCTAACCCTAACAAGCCCATTGAGTCATCGGGACTTGGTGGGTGCTGTTGGTGGGGAAAGTGTGCTATTATATAATTTAGTGCGTGTTCCTACACGGCATTTAACATACTAAAGTCCAGTATTTTTACCAAACAATATACCAGCCTTTGCCGAATCGTTGTCTTGTTTCACTTCGAACAGGACCGCCCCGCTCCAACATACTGAAGACCAGTCTATATACCAGCCAATATACCTATCTGTGCAGAAGAGCGTCTTCTTCCCCCACAAATAGGACTAGCCGTGCCCAGGTTCAACAAACCATTAGTGAAGTTGCAGGGCGCGACGTCAAGTGGGCGTGTTCAAGCATATGAAGCGGCAACGAAGGACAAACGATGAGGACAACATACTGAAGCACCATGATGATGCATGGCGCCAGGAACAAGATGGGTGGGGTGGACAGGAATCACTGCCAAGCATTTTGTCCGGGCCAACAGATGACATGACCGCAGCGCAAATGTTTGCAGCCACGTGGAAAGCGCGCCATCAGTGGCTGCGGACGGAAGTTACTCGACAGGTCCTAGTGATGGGACCTGGCGCGAGGACGAGTGACTGCAGCAATGCTACTGACCTTTTAGGGTATTTGGATGTGGAGCGATGACGAGAGCTGGGTATCGAACGGCAGCATGCGGATCCACTGTGTAACGGGTCGAGAAGGTGTGAATGGAGCTTTTGCTGGTGGTTTACTGGCACTTCAGTCTTTTAATGGAACTGATTCGGCTTGTGGGGTAGCTTGTGGCGAAGGTGGTATGGATTGTACGGTTCTGGATGGGGTTTGCACAGGCCCAGTGTGTGTGAATGGAGCTTCCACAGGTGATGTTGCGAGTTGCGAGGTTCTGGTTGGTAGTTGTGGCAATGGTCCTGAAGATATCGATACGAACGCGGAGCACCGATCCACCCGCGCTGAGAAGAAAAAAAAAGACGAGAAGGCTCGAAGAAACAGCGTTCGCGAACCCGTCTACAGTTAGGCTGTCGGGGCGCCACGGACATCGCAGTTCAAGATGTAGAATGTGATGGTGTCATGAACAGTGTCTTTCCAGATGATGTTGGGGCCACAAACCCAATCACGAAATCGCCGCCATGTTGACGGGGATAGTAGAAATTTGAGAGATATTAAAGGACAACCATCGGAGCAGCTTGTGAAGGAAACACGGCGACGACGAGAACGCTCAAATAGAGAACGCCCCAACAGGCAGCACCGTAGAACCCACGGACAGTCAGACACCACGGACGATGGTGTTTTACAAACTGGCGTGTTATCTGGAACTGACGATCTCGCAGCTGGTCAAGAGCAAATTTCATTCAAAAACGAGCTGAGTGACACTGAAAGGCAGTATTGCCTGAGGAGGCTCCAAGCCGCTCTCGGGGCGTACGGACTTGACGAATGTGTGTGCGCCATGTGCGACCGTTTATGCCTGCGCAGAGATTCACGACGAATGAAGGATACTGACTGGTGTTACATGGATAAGATGAAAGCAACGCTCTCTGTGGTGAAAGCCAACCTACCGGGCGATTTGGTTGATCAATATCGAGCCCCCGCGTTCATGGAAGGCTTGAAAGATGTGATGGTATCACCACGAGGAATAAAGCGCTTTTCAGATGAAAACGATTCTCCACGAGCTTGGTTCACTGTCTGCAAAGAGTGTAATCGCTGGTTGGACCGTGGAAAGCTGCCAAAGTTTGCGATTGCTAATGGTTTTTATGTGGGGAATCTTCCGCAGCCTCTAAATGGTCTTACGTTACCGGAGCGATTTATGACCCAGCTTGTCAGCATTGTTGCACTGACTCGTGTGGGAGACACCGTTGTATTCGATCGCATTGCATCGCTTTTGATCGTACGCCTGGGCCTCCATTATTGCTACTGCCACGCTCCATTAACGATGTGGACTCGTATCGTGTGGTCATGGTAGGAGATTTTACGCCATCTCAAGTCGCACAAGTGCGGAAGATGCATCGAATCCGGGCGCAGCGCGTACGTGACGTATTTAAGTTCTACAAGACGCACAACCACCTCTACGCGAGCGTCGTGCCAAACGAAGGTGGAATTAACATGGCGGACATGTATGACGAAACTGACCATGTCTTTGTGGAGCACGTTGATGTTTATTCGACAAATCGATGTGTTTATTAAATATGCGCTTGGAATGTACCCGGCATCAAGAAAACGGCTGCCCTTCCGAGGATTATTTGGTGATGTCAAAGCATATTTTGGAATGGTGGAAACGAGGGAGAGGCACGCTACATATACATTTTTTAATTTGGTTGAATCAGTGCCCGCCAAACTCAGCTGCCACTGAAAGTGTGCTGAACAGCACAGACGGAAGTATATTTCGTGAGCGAGTGGCATCTTATGTGCGAAGTATTGTACGCAATGGCCTCCCTATCTCTGTTGACGTCTGTGGCTGTTCCAGTTGCGGTGCCGACTTCACGGAATTGATAGCGTTACCGATACCGGATTGCGCCCGGAAAGACCCTCAAGCTGGGATTCTTGCTACGTGCATGAGAGCTTCCGTTGTGGAACCACCGCTCATTCGATGTAGCGCTTGCAACGCGGAGTTTAGTTCCCAACACATACTACGCAATGCTTTGTTAAAGTTTCGCCCAGAATACTGGCCAGCGCGGCGGCTCATGCTTTCCGACAATGAGATCAAGCAGCAAGCCCTGCCAGAAGCGTCGTGTCGCGACACTGAAGCCCAGGCTACCAGCATTGCATACGAGCGTGAAATTAACCAAGCAAATTTAACTGGCAACGCGATATGCTGTGGTGAACTGCTTGCGAAAGAGCTTCTTGAACAGGCGAATACCGCAAGAATGACCGTATACAAGAGTGACAATGACCCGTTTCGGAATGACAACTTGGCACGAATGATAGAAGCTACTCCGCCATCACCGTCAGATGCGAGAATGGACCGATCAGCACAACACAGCATGGTTTCAACTCTAGCTGTTCAGCTGAACCAGCACTTGTGGTGCCACACCAAAAGCTGTTCCAAGCAATCAACCACTACCGCCAACAGTAACTTTTGCCGCTACCGATTTCCTCGAGAAAGAGTCGCGAGTACATCATATGGACTATCTGGTGTGGAAGTTAGCCGGAGTCTAGGGCACGAATTCATGAACGGGTTCAACACTCAACTTTCAACAACTATGAACTCATAACTACATTTTAATGCAATCACGATATCCAGATCTTGCTTGGAGGTAGTGATGTAGCCGATCGAATTCATTATTGCTGTAAATACGTGACCAAACAGCAGAAACGAGTCGACTCCCAAGTTGCTGTTGCTGTAGCAGCACTTAAGCGACGTGAAGAGCGCGAGCGAGTTGACGCTACTACTTTGCAAACACATGACGACCCATTCACGCTTGGTCGCAAACGCGTCGCTGATATGATTTACTGCATGACCAATCGCCAAGAAGTAGCTGGTCCATTAGCTGCTCTATACCTTTACAGAGGCTCGTGCTGTTATTCAAGCGCAGGGTGTACGTCGCTACCTCTGGGGGATGCAATACCGCGGCTAACAAGATCCGATGAATACTCATGCAGACTGGTTAACATCAGTGAAGACGTGGAGGCGCCCAGCTTTCGTGCTGCTTCCGTGTTGGACGACTACTTATTCCGCCCGAATGCCTTGGCAAATACCAACCTGTACGAATTTACGATGTGGTATTTTCGAAAAAAGCACGAGAATGCTGTCAGGTCAAAATTTTCTTTCATTGTTGGACACCCGCTCCGTAGTACACATTGCCTTGGTAAACGATATGAAGCAGCAGTGCCTGTCATCCAGGGTTTCCGTATGCCGTACATGAGCAGCAATTCTGCATCGCCAACGAAAGGGAAATACGTGGTTCTTTCACTAGTACTTTTCAAACCTTTTCGAGCAGTTCAAGATATTATCGGCGAAGCTGACGAGTCCGACGAAGAATCATGGGCACATGCGTTTACTACGTGGAAGGATACTTGCACTCCATTTGTGAAAACCATCATGGATAACATGAACGATTATTGCAGTGGATTACAGAAGGCCGAAGCTCAGAGTAAAGCAGCACGGGAAGCAGAGGCGAACCCTTGGCACGGTGACGATAGCAGCAGTGATGACAACGATGACGTTTTCGACGGCGGAGATGATATTGATTTTAGCGATGAGGTCCCGAGGGCGAATGAGAAGGAATAAACATTTATTTCGATGCGGGAATTGGAGAATGAGGACACAATTGTTCTTGATAGTGTCTCCCTCGATCCCGCGGCATGTCCGACTACTATCGCCCCGAGTAACAAGGTTTCTTACGTGATCGATATCTTCAAGAAGCACAAAATACTTAATAGCGTCGCGAAGGACCTAGGCCTAGCTTGTGGCACAAGAGCAAGCTGGTCTACGGCTGTACTACCTCCTGTTGAATTGATGAAAATGTGGGTTCATGATGCAACTACGGACACCGCGCTCATATGTGCTCCATCCAACGTGCCAGTGGGTCGTGATACGGAGGTCATTGAGCTTTTGAGCGATGCACTGGTCTCCCGTAACTTGGAATGGCAGCCCTATCTGATCCGCAATGCGTCTTCATCACTGTCAGTGGAGAAACGATACGCCAGTATTTCTGAGATTTCAAAACAGTTTACACTCAACGAGAAGCCACACTATGTTTTCCGCCTCATGGGTCAAGCGCTGCTGTCGCGGTGGAAGCGTGCTGAGGAATCCGAAGTTCCAGTCGATGATTTTGGTTCTGTTCTGCGTGACAACCAACTGCGAATGTTTCTCGGAGGCGAAGGTGGTACCGGAAAGAGCCGCATTATTGACGCTGCCCATGCACTTTGAAATAGCTGGGGGCGCTCGGATTGCCTAGTCCAAACTGCACTGACGGGCAAAGCGGCTACGCTTATTGGGGGGGACACTAGCGAGTTTTTTTTGCTACAAATTCGACGAAAGAAGTCAGTGGATTCACTTGCTTTTCTGGATTTGATCATTGTTGGCGAGATTTCAATGATGAAGAAATACCAACTTTCTCAATTGAACAAGCGATTGCGCATAGCAAAGCGAGTCGCAGATGCTCCATTTGGAGGAATTCACGTCGATTTTGCGGGAGATTCTTTGCAGTTGCCACCTGTGGGAAGGCAACCCGTGTTCAAGGACCCTACGAAGACCAAACGAAAATCGACTAACATTTCTGCTGATGAGCTGGCTCGTTATGTACTACGGCAATCGTTTACGGACGTTATCATCCTGAGTAAATCTGTCCGGTTTCGTAAGGACCCTAAGTGGGGTCGCGGTTGCCAGCAAGCACGACGAGGTGTTTGGACTTCTGAGTTTGTCGGTATAATTAATTCTCGTTTGCTGACAAACGACGAGGCGTTGAATGATCCAGTCGCCAACGAGTGCTACAGCACCTTTGTGACTCCAGAAAATGCTACCCGGATCTCTATCAACAATTTGTTCATATCAAAAGCTCCAAAGTTGTTGCCTCAAGGCGAGTACCCTGTGCGAGTTGTGGCAAACTTTAAGGGGAAATGGGACAAGCTGAATCGGTCAGAGGTGCGGATGGTAATGTCGCTGCCAGATACTAAGTTTGGCTGTATGGCTCCATATCTCGACCTCATCATCGGTATGCCAGTCCAGGTGACACAGAACATTCGAGCTGAAAAACTGGTTGCTAATGGCACCCTTGGTCGTTTGGAAGCAATTATTTACCACCCGGATACCACGTTTCGTTTGGTATACGATGGCGTTGCAGATTTGACCGTGAAAATACCCAGCATCCCTCCCCCAGCTGTCATTGTACGGATTGATCGTGGCACATCGGCGAAGGCAATGCAGGGTTGTGCGGATGCCGACATATTTCCTCTTTTTTTCGACGCCCAGGCATTGAACCCTTGTGACATCGGGCTGGCGGGGTGTGTAAATGGAGTCCCGCGCACGCTGTCTGTACGGATTCACCAGTTCCCACTAGTTTGTGGGTGTCGTCGACGGTGTATAAAGTTCAGGGCGAAACTTTAGATGGGATAGTAGTTACGGAGTGGAGATCGAAGAGTGGGTTGGCAAACAAGAGAGAGCAGCCTTATCTTCTGGTATCGCGCGCTACGTCAAGGAATGCATTTGCTACTCTCGCTCCACTCACCCAAGACATAATCAAGTGGGCACACCTATCCGAAGATGCGCTGAACGAAGAAGCCCGCCTGGAACAGCTTAGCTCCCGGACAATTGCAAGGCCGCGATCAACGATATAGTCACGAGACAGCTCAATACTAGTTGGTTTGCCCCTAGCGCTGCATCATTCTTTGTTGATCGAAATATCGGTCGTACAAGCCGATGGCTAAGTTGTATAGTTAAACGCACTGATTTTACCAACGTATATAGCAACTAAACGCCGATTGGTTTAACCTGGTTACACAGAGGTTACTGTTTTGTGTGGAATACACCAAGGTTTTCTCCGAGCGTCCTCTCATTGGTATACTGAACTGCAGTCATTTTAACATTGTAGATAGCAACCAAGGGCCGATTGGCAGACTAAATGCTGTGCCTAAACCCATGATATCAGTGATTCACCGTCTAGCGATGCGCACACTGGCAAAACGAACGTTCGGCCCTTGATTTTCTTTTTAACTCAGCAATACCCAGAATGACTACAACAAATAAATCATTGCCCGAATGCTTGCTTGTACTCTTGCTACCAGATAAGCTTACATTGCCTCCAGCTTTGCTTCGAACACTCGATGCCGTAACCTAGATATCTGGGTCCACGTGGAACGTCCGAACACCCGGAGCGTTTATGCCAGCACTAGAGACGAAGTCACTGTAACAACGACTAGCATCTTCCTGGCCCAGGGAATACCTCGAGCGCTGGTTGAGTTGGAAGGAGTGCTCTTGGTCACGACACGAGAATTCCACCGCACAGACCTCACCGTCTACCTCGTTGTGCTCGAAGTATTCCTCAGCTGTAGTAACGAGTGGTGCCATTCAGCTTGGGTAATGTTCATGTCGTCCACAACGATGACGTCTGCAACATGCAACGACAACTCGAAATCCGCAAACACGACGTCCTGGAAATACGCATCAATTCGCCGTCTCTGGTCTTGAAATAAAGAGCTGCTGCAGACGCGAAGGTAACATGGCCTGCCCCAGGGTTAACCTGGTCCTGGAAAGCGCTGCGGAGTCTCCGAACCAGGCGAGTGCAGAACGTAGTCTTTCCGCTACCGGCGAGACCTCGCAAAAGCACGACAATCTTGCCTTGGCGCCATGTTCTATCGCACGCTGCGTCAGAGATCTGGCCCAGTGCTTGCGTCCACGTAGTATCCAGGAGGGCAATATCCTCCGTCATTGCCGTTGTTCTCCACTTGAGTTGATAGTGATTTGGGATCGATCCGAAATGAATACTAGTCAATCAATCGTTTTTCGGAGGGTACGGCTTTGACACTGCCGCGTTCTTCAAACTAACCAACGTTGGCAAACCAGGAGATCGATCACTAACGGGGAGATTGATCGCATGTGCGCCGCAAAGAAGACCGTTCCGATGTCAAAATCGGCGCAGAAACGCGGAGCCACTGCGTCCGGTGAGGAGACAAGTAAGAAGCGGAAGAAACGGGCGGTGAGCGCCAAGGCCAAACAAGCAAATGGCGGTGCGCGCGACCGCAAGAAAGCAAGAACTACAGAGGTGCGTGATGCGCTGGATTTCGCCACCACAGAGCCCGTGAACGGATCCACCCAGATGAGCAGTTCGGTGTTGCCCTTCTTCGACTTCGGGAGCGACGGGATATGATCCATCGCGACCACTTGGAACGGATATGTCGCTCGGATGGTCCCTGGAGGCAATAGCCCTACGGAGAACAACAGCCCCGTCTTCGGCCCGAAGACCGACATCCAAGAGCTGCCAAAAGAGCTTGTCCCCATAGCTGTTGCAGAGTTCACGCGCAAGATGCTGGCCGAAAAGGCTGCACAGCCAACGAGGGAACGCCGCACGCTCGGTGAGCCGTACAAGTTGGCTAATCACCAGAAACGCGAGTTGGCAGCAAGATACCAAGCCGCTCGGAACAGCAATGAACGACTTGACTACAGCAATGTTGCTGGCAATAAGCATTTCCAATCCTTCACTGGGCAAGCAACAATGCTAGCTGCACATGAACCTTGGTTGTTGGAGCAGTTGCAGCTCGCATACGACGAGCAGCTGCAAGGAGCGACGAGTCCAAGGGCAGACGTGGCAAGCCGAGTTGGAGCAGGTCGTGAGCAAGATCAAGCGGCGGACGACCCCACTCCGCATGAAGATCCAGAAGTGCAGCAAGCCGTGCAACAATTGCCACCCGACTCTGGCCCAGACGACTCAAGTCGAGTTGAAAGTACTACGTCGACGCCGGTGGGTGGGCAAAGCGATCTTTTCGGCAACGCTGAGCTTGTTCGGAGAAACGCGGAGCTCCAGGAAGAACTTTCGCGCCTTCAAACCAAGCTGGACAGCGAACAAACATGTCGAAGAGATTTGAAGCGTAAGGTAGACTCACTGGAGAAGCTGCAAGAAACGCTGGAGTTGAAGAAGACAGACTTGGAAGAACGAGAGAAAAGCTGGAATCTCTGAAGCAAGAGCTCACGAAGAAGAAACACTCCATTGATGAGGACGCTCGTGCGGTGAATGATGCTAAAGCGATTTTGGAACGTGAGCGCTCTTAACTTGGATCGTAAGCCGAAGACGCTGCGTCCGACGCAGCAGCACCAACTAGCATGTCAAACACGAGTTCTACAGATGCAAATGGAAGCCAATGGCTTGACGATTGGCATGCAGAAGTTGAAGAAGCAGAAAGACGTGGTGGACCGGCTGAAACGTGCGGAGCTGGAGCTTGATGATGCCAAACGGGCTTCCGACCAAATGAAGGAAACTATAACTCGCCTGGAGCTAGAGAACGAGCGCCTACTGCTGCACAAACGCATATTTGTCGGTTCTAGTGTCGCAGAAGGGATGATTCGCGGTTTTCGGGATATGCATGCAATTCACGAGGTGGATGGTAAGACGTCATGAGTCTGTTTATTTTCTTGAAGACAGCTTTTGTTGTTATTGAATGTGCCAGGGTGCCTCGACGCAATGCATGAAATGCAAAAATTCATCATCAAGAAGGCTATGAAGGTGTTTGGCGAATTTTCGCGTGCCTGAAATGCGATGAGCGAGTTCTGGTGTGAACGATGCAATCTCAGTTGGTAAAAGTTCTGTAACTAACCATAGCTTGAGACCCAACAAAAGGACCGCGCATAGTAACATCCAGTGATTTTACCAACACAAATAGCAACTGAGTATCGTTTCTCATACTTAAGCACATAGTTTTCACCAGCGAAGGTATCAGCTCAGCACTGGTAGGCAAAGTGAGTTAACAGCTAGGACAGCTAGGACACAAGCAAAGCATAGATTGATATTCTAATGACTGTGCGTGCGTATGTGTGTCTTAGGTGGGTGGGGGTCGAATGCGTTGAACGGGCTTATGATATTACGTAGACTAACAAATAGTGTACATTTGCTTGTTACTAGCTAGCTTACATTACACGCTATGCAACCTACGTTGAAGCTCACACGAAGTCTAGTGGATGTACCTTCGGTCCATACTTGCCTCCGTTTTCCAACACCCAGTAGCTAGGGAGAGTCAGCGTGCGTGTGGATCGTTCTTGATGCACGTGTTGTCAAAATACGGCACCAGCTGCGGTTCGTGAAATAGATCGTGCTGGTACGTCGGCATATCCAGGTATGCGTGGAGACAAATGTTCGCTGAGTCTTTGCCAACGGGTGCGTAGATGCAATCCCCTCGAAGCAAGATCATGTCGCCCTTGTTAAGGTAAATCTTCTGCAGATCCGACTTCAGCGCGATTTGGGCGTTCCAACCGAACACATGGAGGCAGGTGCCATCCGGCAGCGCTATCAGCATGAAACCAGCGACGGAGCAAGGATCCACAGTCACCCAGCGTGGATTGTCAGGAACAGTTTCAACAAACCGCAAGTCGTTGGCTTGAGAAAGCGGGAGAAACGTCCTGTAGTGCACTAAGAAGGCACGACCCTCTTGCTCTGGTAGAAACGCTTGCTTCCGGTAGAGGGCTGGCTGCGCGGCGGCGAAAGCATCGGGAGACCACTCGAGGTTGGAGTCGCTACGAGTTTGGTTGCGGAATTTGTTTACTTCGTCCGCGTCGTAGATATGGGGAGACCGCTCGAGATTGAAGTCGGTGTGGGCTCGGTTGCGATACTCGTTGGCTTTTTCCGCGGTGATGGCGTGGTACAGCTGGATTGCACCGTTCGTTGTAAACTTTTGTGGAGCTTGCATGGTGAGTCCAGCGAGAGGGTCGGGTGAGGTGGAGAGCGAAATGAACAATGATCCGAGCTTTTAGGTGCATAACTTATGCATGCTGCTTATGCACGTGCTGGCACGCAGCAAGAGCGCCCCGGTATGTGATGTGCCCGGGACGAGAGTGCCACCATAGGAAATATGTATGACATATTAAAGCAAAATGGCCTACTGCTTCAACGGTGATGCTCGCGTTAATTAAACTGTGGATATATATTAAAGCGAAAGTGAACTACTGGAACTGGGATGCTCAAGTTGAACTATTATGTATCTTTCAAAAATACATCGCGATTTCGAACGAACGTCCTCGACGAAATCTGGTCGACAACTTTAATACATGGTGCTGGCCAATGAGTGAGATGAAGTTACTTCCAGAAGTTGTCGGAGTCGCGGCCTGACACGTTGCAGCCAAAAGATTGAACTCACGAGGTGTTCATGGTGTCGAGTACGTAGAGATGCCCATAATAAAGGGGGGCTGATCTATGGCTTCAACAGGGATGCTCGAGATCCACTGTCCTGTATCTATTGAAACAAGTCATGATCGCCACAACATCAAATCGGCACGCCTTGTACTCAGCTAAAGCTTCTCGATAACAATCAAAAAGGGACCTCAACCGAGCTGACCGCGCCGTGCGGCCCGATAACGTTTCAGGCCACGTGTACTTCGTGTACGCGCGGCAGTTTGACACACTACAGAAGATCTTGCTGTACCCATCGTCGCTCCACTACGCGGAAGAGGCGTTGAAGTTCGGGGGCCAACGTTGGATGAGGAGGGTCTTGTGGCTCGCCTAACAGGACACGATACCCACACTTTATATAAGTCAGTCTGCGCTCTTATGCAGGTCTTGTGCATAACCCTTTGACGTCATTTCGACTATGGGGCCATGGCGCGCGTATCACCCCCGACCCTGGACGCTGTAAAGGTCGTGAAGCGGGGCCGTAAACCCCGCAAAGCAACGGCCAAAGCAACGGAAGTCGTTGTTCAAACCAGCGTCAACACGGACACGCCCAAGCAGATGACGCCTTGCCAGCGCATGAAAGCGCTTCTTGCGGCGAAAGCGCTGGAGCGAAAAGAAAGCGCCCCCGTCGTATCCACCGTTGAAAGTAAGCTTAGCTAGTGTTGATCTGTAACATCCTCACTGTTGTCGATCCTTTTGTCGTTAGATTTACGGGAGTTCCTGCAACGAAAGGGTGAACTGATTCCGATCGTGATTCGAATGAAACTTGTGTGGATCACCGACCACGTGTATGGCACCTGGAAGTTGGTGCGACTACATTTCACGGACGCGGAGGCCCCCGAATCGCTGGATAACCTTCTCAGCGTACGTTCGATCTTCCTGTTGCTTTTGCGCATTTGCGTTGGCTAAATGTGGCTTGCTGTAGGTCTATAAGACTCCGTACGAAGCAAACCGCGAAGACATCGCCTCGGCGCTGCTCACCGTCACGATATGGAACGTGGAAAGCGACTCGGAGCTGTTGCCATTGCCTGGATCCGTCGTTGATATCAACGAATACGCCAATCTCCAGCTGTACCGGGACAAGCAATGTCAGCTGCCGACGCGCCTGCCGCAGATGATCTGGTCAAACGAGCAGAGTTCGCCCGTGTGAAGTGGGACTAGTTAAGAGAGGTTGAGATGTGTGCAGCGTACATAATAGCATCGGTTGTTATTACTGGAAGTTCAATGGAGATGAGCGCGACGATAGCTGTGCGCTCCCGCGAGCAAGACCTCATTCGATAAAACTCAGGAAGCCGCCAACCTGGAGGTCAGCATGTGGAGGAACTCGTCATCGGACAGGTAAAGAACCCCCCAAGCATTCATTATAGCGCTTACACGAACTCATCTCAGCGTTGCAGATGACCAAACGACAAGCCTCTCAAAACTATAGCGATGGCGAGAAGCGGTGCCTGCTGGAACTCGTTCGTCGCCGCGCACCAACCCGGAAGGCAGAGTGGCAGGATCTGGCGCTTGCCTACAACGCAGCGAAGAATCGGAACTGGACGCAGCGAGACTTTGTTAGCCTCAAGCGCAAGTTCGTAGCTTGCGGCTCGCACATGAAGCAGCGGTCTCACTCACCGACGCAGAGGCTACAACACACCAGGAAAGCGATACCTGTACTGTGCGCGCTGGCGACTCGTCATCTCACCTGCAGTCGCAGCAGTTCCAGTGCCCAGGAGATGTGGCGCTGCCGTCGGTATATGTACCGCAGCAAAATTCTCCAACTCATCACCATCGAGTGAGCGATCCGATCACCCTGCTACGATTGCTGGACGAACGAGGCGCCGCATGGGCCAAGGGCAGAACAACTTTGCTTCTCGAGGAGCTGTTCAAGCTTCGCCAAGAAAGCCAGTTGCAACGCCGTTCAGCGCGACGTCACCACAAGGAGCTGCTACAGTCGCTGGCCTTACTCAGGCGTACTATGGAAAGATGGCCAGCACGACTGAGCGCTAAGCGTCGTCGCCCCTGCCACTAACTCGTTAGCTGACTTGCATTCAATACCCTGAGGTACCTGCACGTAAAAAACCCGACAATAAAGCCCTACATCAACTTCCCCACCTGCTTGTGAGTGAGCTGTTCTGTGGTATAGCGTTTTCTCGTTCATCGCCCAAGTCGACTCAAACATCTCGGCGAGTATGGATGCAGGGCAGTAGCATGGATTTCGCTGGGTACCGAAGTCAGCGAGCGATGAATTCATGGTAACACCCGCTATCCAGCATCGACGGCATCACTGCGGCAAGCACGAGGAGGACTTGGCAAGGCTGCCGTAATCGCACAAGCCAGTCCGGTCCAAGTGTGTACATCAGACACCGACTGGAGGAGTTTCGCCGACGCAGGATCCCAAAAATCTCAAGGGTCGCCGAGCGAGGAGTCGGCGAGCGGGTTGACTTGGTTTTAGTATTGGAGGGGCCGTAACAGCCCATTTTCATTAGATATTTGTATAGGAACCCAAAGGAAGGGCCATTGAGCCCAACAAAGCAAAGATAAATACAGCGTGGAATTTTCGAGGTCCTAAGCAAGCGGCACGCGGCGTCTCTTCAAGGTACGACCGCCCCCGTGGGGCTAGATCATGACCATCGCTGAGATCGGCTATCCGAGTGGGAAGCTAACGAGTTTTGGCACGTCTGCTACACCACAACTGGTGCCGCGACCCGGGAACAGGGTGTTTGTGGCAAGATGGTCAAGACACCGCGAAGCGGAAGCCCGGCGACGGCCGGAGGGAGGGCGCGGCCGAGAAGCGCGGACGCGGCGACGAAGGCGACGGCCAACACGCCACGCTCAGTGAAGTTCGACCGAGTCGGCGATCGTGATCATGGAAGTGGGGTTGACGATGATAGAAGTGCAGATGAAGTGGAGATGAAGGGCCCAGCGCCGAAGCTGGAGGATGAAGACGTTGACGAGCTAACGGTTGTCGTCGGGAAGTCGGGTGCTCCGCGCCCGATCGCTCGCCGGCTTGATGCAGAGCTCGGTGAAGTTACTCCGGCCCAGGTTCTGGTGCCCGATGAGCGGCCGATCACAGGAAATCGGCCGCCGGTGAACGGAGATACTCCGAATGCGTACAAGATACTGGGACAAGTCGACCGATCGATGGTCACTACAAGCGCGTGAGTGATGATGTTTGCGCAGAAAGAAGTCGGCGGTGCCAAGTGGGTGACACTCGAGAGAGAGCTGGCGTCTCCGATCGACAGCTCCACCCTGTTCCAATTCAGCAAGCAGACCAAGCGTCTACTGGTGGCGATGGGCTTCGAGTGTACCAGCGTCCCGTCGAATGTAGCTCTGGAAGTCTGGGAGCTCGCCAAGATAAGCGCCGAGCTGACCAAGTGGAAGCGCAAATGTGGTAAGAAGATCCGCTCAAGAATGGTCTTGATGGAACTGGATCCGCCAGTTGACCCGGTAATGGGATCCGGCAGTTGGTGACGGTGCCCAGTGGGAAAACAGAGCCCCAAGCTTGCATGTAAGACCAGTACAGATACGACCCACAAACTGCAAAGAGTGGTACATCCAAGTTCCTACAGGAAATTATATAATCTGAGGAGATAAGTGATTGAGGTGCGTTACTATCACTATTTCCTCAAGCTTCATTTTTACTTCTAAGAGAGAGGGTGATGGCGGTTGTACTCCTCAATAACATCGCACTTCTGCTGGATGGTTAGCCACACACCCTTGGTACGCTTCTGGGTGCCCTTAGAACGCTTCTGGAGGCTGGCCGTCCTGTGCTCAGTGCTGCCTTGAGTTTGTCTGTGGAAAAAGTGCGCCATTCTTTTAGCGGGATGATTCAACTGAAAATGGAATGTGTAGACCACACAGTGGCAGTACTTCAATGTGACGGGCGCTCCCTCCTGAGATGATGCCCCTTGATATCATGATTCGACAAGGGTATCAATTTATACGGTTTGCAGTTTCTGAGTGGTATCTGTACTGGCGATATATACAAATCAGACCTAGGTAGCTGGCTGGATTAAAATCGAGATTATTGACGACATAATAAGCATGCGTTGGCCAAAATATCTGCAAACGGCAATATAGCGCAACTAATTAGACAAAGAGAAGTAGGGTACCGACGAACTAAGTAATTGAATTGCATGATATTTTTATCAGTGCATTTCTGTGTCATAATGAATGCCAGTTCTTATATGCGTCTCACACTGTCTCCATATTATGATTTATGGATATTATGTGGTGTCTCCATTGCTATGGATCTCACCATGTCAAATAAAGTATCAAAGCCTCTACATTGGCATTACTTCAGTAACGACCATGGCTGCAATGACCAGGCTGGAGATAGAGTTATGATTTCACCAATGCTACGGCGTTGTCTTGTCGCTATAACTCAAATTCACTTGCTTGCATCAAGAACCTAGGTCGGGGATGGGCGGGTCGCTTAAATCTGTGAACGGACCAATAGGGTAGGGCATTCATTCAAGTTCGTGGTCCTTAAAAATATGGCCGGACCAATACAGTATGAGGGGCATTCGTTGAAAACAAGCCGTCCGACCATCAATGATATCATCAGATTTTTTTTGCTCAAGCAGAAGCGGAGCCTGAAGTGCAAGGTAGATGTCGAGCTCAAGAACAAAACGACAGCGCCAACAATGGCAAGACATGGATGTTACTGATCTTTTCGCTGGCCTAGATGATCATTATCAACAGGAGCAGCCCAAGCGTCAAAAGCGTGATGTTTTAGGGGGTAGTGAGGACAAGGCTCGCGATGCGAGTGGTATAGGTACGGCCTATCAGATGTTTCAGCCGCTGCGGCAAGACTCTTTCCGGGTGATATCATCACCACCGACAAGCGGACTAAGCCGATACGAAGTAAATGAAGCCCCTAGTGACGGTGAGAGCGACTTGCTGGCATATTTGACAGCACACAGAAGACGCGAGCAAAGTAGACTTCGACAACGACGATTCCAAGCACCTTCAGAAACAGAGGAGCCTACAGGAGCAGCATTTTGGAGGTCGTGGAGAGACGGATATTAACGAGAGCAGGCGCAGACAGGGAGAGAGATCGCAAATTAACGGTGCAACCACGAGCCGAGTTGATACGAGTCAGTTAGACCTCGGACGAAGGAGAATAAAAGTACCGCGACGCAGTGCACGCATGGTTGAAAACACGACAACGGAGGAAACATTTGACAACAAGCCAAGCAGCGAGGATCAAGCAGAATGCATGAAGCGGCTTCAAAGCGCGTTGGGCGCTGAAGAATTGGATGAATGTGTTTGTACAGTTTGTGGCCGTTTGGTGCTGTGCCATAAAAGCCAGCGTGTTGACGATTTGGGCTGGCGGTACACGAATGAGATGAAGCGTTGCTTGAAGGTCTCGAACAAGCATGAACTCTGCGACGAACTTATTAACCAGTACTGCTCTCCCCCCCACTTGCCAGCTTTAGAAGGAGTAATGATTTCGCTACGTGGAATACATTGTTACATGGATGACTCTAGTACGCCACAAACTTGGTTGTCGGTTTGTGGTGAGTGCTATAAATCGGTTGGGCAAGCTACCCAAGTTTTCAATCGCAAATGGATTTTTCATTGGAAGACTTGAGAAAAGATTACGCGGGCTTACACTGCCCGAGCGATTCATGACTCAACTAGTCAGTATTGTTGCCCTTACTCGTGTAATGCGAGTTTGGAAGACATCGATGCATACGTTCGCATTGTATCGCACTCGATTGTACGCCAGGCCCTCCCATCGTGCTGTTGTCACGTTCGGTTGAAGATATAGCCTCTTCCAAGTAGTTATGGTGGGGGAATTTACGCAAGAGCAATCAACGCAAGTGGACAAGATGCACCGAATTCGGAACAAAAAAATAAGAGATGTGTTCAAGTTCTACAAAGAGAAGATTCGCCTTTACGCGAAGGTGACGGCTAATGATTCAGTACTGAACCTGGAATGTTCGGACGATACTATTAAACACTATTTGGTGGGGCGTGTTGAAGACAGCGCTGGTCAAATTGACGAAGAAATGAACAAAGAGCAACAAAATGTTCGCGGAGAGTCCGATCCTTGGTGTGTGGTGGATGCGGAGGAGGAATCATTCGTCGTTGAGCGCAGAATGGGCCTCTCGGACGGATCATCGCCGGTTATGGCAAAAGAACACCCAGTCACAGGGAAAGTAGGGGGCCAAAATGAGCGTACATTTGAGATTTGCAGATCAAAAAATAAATGACGCGTAAAATACGTGACAACCAAATCCCTCATTCAGGCCGGATTTTCCCTCAGGATTAAAATACTCATTTGAAGTGAGGGTTACCTCGATTAATTTCGAACTTAAACGGCAAGAAGCTGTACTTTAGGAAAAGAAGCCCTCCATTTCAGAAAACCAGCTCGGACCGCGCAACCACCTCCTGGAAACATTACGATAGGCCTACGCGCCCGCTGTTAAAGGGTGGGGCAAGCCAAGCGACTTCATGAATTACGTAAGTTTGGCCTTGCTTCTTACAGGTGTGCATTAATGTTGCTTGTTATATGTGCATCAACTTTGGTAATTTGTTATTGTTTATGTGGTAATGTATTAAGGCTGTTAAGGAGGCGGCAAAAGCGGCAGGATGCCTCGTACGGGCAAGCTGAACGCATTGGCATCGGAGATGGTCAAGCTGCGAGAGTCTGCCCCCCCCGCGAATACTAAAGGTAACGTTGCTCTAAGCTCTATTGTCTGCTAATGTTGCACTATGATTGATAACACTGCTTCATTAATATTTATGTCTCTATGTTGTTTTGACGATGGTATTCAGCTTCAAGCTGCGCGCCGCGGGACGACAAGGACGTGCGGGCCGAGAGGGGAGTCCACATCTAGCAGAGTACCGATGTAGGTTAGACATGTATAGTAGATTAATAATACTAGTGTTGTCATATCTTATTGTAGAATAAGTAGTAAGTTACACCCGACCCCTATGCTAAGCTTGCCACCTCGCTGTAGCCAATCTGTGATTTTTTTCTTACCATTTGAGGCTCATCGACCTATTTTCATCTAATCGTCGCTCATTAGGGTTAGGGTTATTCCGTTCCAACTTTTTTCTGGAATCGTCCGGAATTTCCTGCTTCGCGCAAATAAGTAATCATACAAAACTAAAGATGTTTCTCGTTCTTACTCGATAAGTGCAAAACCTGCCGGATGTAGCCACTTCCAGACTTGCCGACACCGTACAAGGCCGACTCCAACAACCCAGCAAGCGCGGTAGTAAAGTAAATGAAAGACAGAATGGTCAAGTAGATAAATGAAAGAATATGTAGCAATCTTGATCGATAAACAATCAAACAATCAAGGGCTTGATGTCTACTGGTACTAGCTACACTGCGCTTGGCCGTCCTGCAGCTGCGCGTTCGCGCTAAGTGCCGCCCCAGGTCCTTGGTCTTGCTCTCGCGCTTGACGAAATTTACCTGCTCCGTCGTCTCATTGGGGTCGAGGTTGCTCCCTTGCCACTCGTCCAGTGGGCGTCCAGGTGTAGTAGCGCACTGCGGGTCGCGTCACCGCTCACTTCCTCGCTGGTCACTGCGCTCGCCACCTTGGTCGGCATCGACTCCTCCGTCTTGGTCGGCGGACATCGCTTCAAGCGGGCGGCACGCCCAGCCGTACCCTAGACATCCACAGCGCTGTTGGCATCCGCGGACAAGCCGGCCGCCTTGCTGCTGTCGCGGGTATGTGGTCTTCCGTCTGCACCGCAGCCTCCGCAGCACCTGCTGTCACGCGGTCGGCTGCCTCTAAGTCTTCATGCTGCACCCGCCTGCTCCTCCTCCAGCTTCATCACCTTCGACGTCCTCCTGCTCCTGCTGCACTACATCCAGGGCCCCGCAGTCAAAGTCTCACCCGAAGCGCTCTCCTCCCACACTACTTGAACTGTAGCTCCTCCTCGCGCTGCCAGCGCGTCTGCGCCTGCTGATCCCACGCCGTTCTCTCTTGCCCGAGTCGGCGATGCACGCGTTCTTGCATCTCCACCCCGCCGCCAGTGCGTACAGCACCACCGCCAGGCGCTCCGGCGACTCTTGGTCCACTTCCGGAGAGCTCATCTTCGCCACGTACGCCGAGCTGGACGCCGCCGAGCACAGCGCGAGCGGATATAGGCCAGTTTTCTTCAATATTGTTAGTGTAGGCGCGATTTTGGTGCGCGTCGTAAGTCTTGACGAAGATGTAGCCGCCACTTATCAGCGCACCGTGCCGCGGTCGCTCATGCCCAGAAGTTAGGAGATGTCGCCGCGCTGGGCTCCGACAGCGCCGGCCCGCCGTTCCTTCCACTCAATGTACGCGACACATCCTCCGTTTGCTCGGGCACGGCTGCAGGCTGCGTCGTGTCGCCGCGGTGAGCTTGTCCGGGCAACCGCCCTCCATTGCATCCTGCGCCACTCCACAGAAATATTGAGAGAAATATAACATTACGTATTAATAAGTGCAAATATCACACTATCCGCTGCCGTCCGGAATGAATAAGTGGGCGCTGATTGGCGCAAGTAATTTGATGTGTCGCCAGTGTGTCTCTATTGCAGGTTTGACAGGTTTCCGGATTCCGGTGCCAATTACTGTCATGTAAATTTGTCCATGCGTTGTGTACACATCTGGTCATACATCACCTGCGCTCTGCTGGCCTGTATTATGCTGCATCGGCCGATTATAGAGCGTTTGGTGGGGGTGGGATGTCCTTGTGTGCCGATCGAGAAGCAGTGACAAGTTACTGTATTGCTGTGTGGCGGGGTCACAGTGGTTGGCTACACTGCACTAACAGACCGATAAGGACGTAAAGATTGATATGAAGAGCTCCAGGGTAAACAAGCACAAGCACCACCAGCAGAGCAGCAAGGAGGCCATTGGAGAGGCCGAGAAGATGCAGCAGCACCACCGTAGTGGGCAGCAGGTGGGCAAGATGCGTCAGGAGAGCACAAGCAGCAGTCGGTCAGGACGTGGCTTATGGAATCGATGGGTCAAGTCGGCCTCGCGCTACGTGGAGCGCGCCATACTGCGCTGTGCAAGCTATACTATTTGGTGGGCGAGGACGCGAAAAGTGATGTGGTGCAGCTGAAGATGCCGTCCGTCGCGGTAAGAACAGGTGACGCACAGACCTGTGCGTGCACTCGTGCAGACGGAGGCATGCCTCGTGAGTGCGGAGCGCGTCAAGTCCACGCAGGTATCCGGATACATCGTTGCTGCCCTGTTGTCCAAGCCGGCGTAGCTGACCGCTGCGCCGTGCGCCACTCCTGCCACGTACTCAGGCTACCGACGCCGTTGGGCTCCGAGTCGAGCGGAAACGCGCGCACCTTTGGCTGTCTCCGTGAGCGAGCTTGGCTCCCGCTGGCAGATGTCTACGACATCTCCATGGTGCGCGTCAGGCGGTGCCTGAGGTCCACGCCTGAGGGTGCGGAGCCCGACGAGGTGGGCGCACAGTGGAAGAGGCTGCGTCGGACGTCACGAAGACGCGCCAGCCCTGTCGCCGCCGCTGCTGCTGCTGCTGCTACTCCGTCTGCTGGTAAGGTTGGTCGCAGTGCAACGTCTTCGCTTTGGTGAGTTTGTTGCCGTGCTGCGGCTGTGGCACCTCGCTACGAGCTGAAACGCTATATATTTTTACTAGTCAAGCAGGAGTGAAACATGTCGATCACATGCCGTAGCTAGGCTACATAATTCTAAAGTACATGTACCTGTTACTTGTTGGTAAACTAATTTTACAAGATATGTGCTAATTGCCAACAGTGGAGTGTCGACGCTGAGAGTGTGAACGGAAACCAAACCAGGTGTGCACTGCTTTGACTAAAATAACACCAGTCGCGAATGGGATACAATGCAAGCACTACAGCAACTGCATTTGGACTTTGAGCACCACTAGAAACATGAACAGCGTGTGCTATTGCAGATAATGAATCTTGCTGTCAAGAGAAGTAGGAAAGGGAGGCATGTTCGACTGCTGCGGCGACTCGTTCTACCTATCCGGTACAGGGTAGTAGGTGATAGTCCATGTAAGCAGTGAATAGAATGCTTTTGAACACGATCTACTGCCAAAATACCTATTGAACCAAGGTAACCGGCCAAAGTGCACACCCTTTCACGTAGATACAGCACCACGAAGTGTTGCTAGAGTAGACAGCCGAACGGAGCACGCGCTAAGGAACCCAGTCATGTCATGATCCAAAGCTGTGGCTGTTTGGTTCAGGTCTTTTGATTCGGTCTCACAATCAGCATGTTCAAATCCTAGACCTGATCTGCATAAGGAACCAATATAAAGGCAACCGGTCTTGGCAGGCCGATAGCAGCAGATAATGGAGCACACACCCAAGCTACAACGAGGAGCACTTGGCCTCTAACAGACGGAACATGCGTCCACGAACAAGTACTTGTCATCCAGGGCCCCCCACCCACCCTTACGAAGAAGCTTAGGCATGCTGCTTCCTTACGTATATTCCGGTTTGATTACCCCGTCGCGGACCCCCCTCTCACGGGTTTACGGGATCGAAAATCACGTAGCGTCGCCCGTGCCAAAAATAGATCTGGTCGCTACGTGTTTTTCGCTACGGGTTTTTGCCAAAAACACGTGCTTCTGAAAGCCTCTAGTATATGAACAATACGAATACGCTGTGAAGCGCGCATCGTACACGTATTCGGCTGCGTCTGCGGGCGTAATCTCCATCAAGAATAACAAGGCAGGCGACGACGCGTTCGATGAACCAAGCATTGAATATTGCATTCGGACATCGAATTGGCAGTGTTCCTGTTTGTTCATGTCCACAAGATTATTACCGTGTCGGCACGTCTTTTACGTTCGCAAGAACGAGAACTTTGATACGATTATTCCGGTCAAGTTGTTACATCCGCGCTGGTTACTCTCAACGTTCAAGTGCCCAACACTGAGTATCTCACCTCCTATGACTCCGTTTCGTGTTGGTTCTGTGATTCCCCGTACGACCACAGTTCCTTGGGATACGAACCGCAAATTTCGAGAGGCGCAGTGTGTTTCTAACGCTATCGCGAGCAACATTAGCTACTTAGGAATGAGAGAGTGTGCTGTTGCTATGAATGTGCTGCAAACGGTGAGCGAGATATTTGCGGCGAAACAGTTCGACAGAATCATCCCCGCTCGAAACTCGTACATGGACCGCAGTTCTCAAACCAGTATCAGTAGAGGACTACAGCTGTCTCCAGATAGTAATCTGAACAGCAACGGGAACGACATTACTGAAGCCTCACTCGCACACATTTCGGAGGATATGCAATCCGCCACTGGACCGGACGGTGATGATACTGCAAATGGAGAATCAGGAACTGGTTTTACTGGTCGTGATATGCAATCAGACGCAGAACCGCACAATTCTGGTACTGCAATTTGAGATTCTGGACCTGGGTTTGCTGATCTTGGTTCTGCGGTACCGCCTTCGAACCTACAACGAAATTCGGGATCGACTAGGACTCTGGCGCCCTTAGACGACCTTGACGAGGATATTGGTTTGGGTTCCGGGGCCCGCTCTCGTGGACGACGAAAAACAAAACCACGAGCAAAAAAGAAACAACATAATGAAAGCATCCAAATGACTCGAGTTGACTCGAACCTGCACGACATGGACATAAATCTCGAGACTGTGGACCTCGCGCTGACAGAGTGGGCGACCTATCTCACTGTCAAACCTGTGATATACTTTCAGGAATTTGGCTTGAAGACCAAAATCAAGCCACCTATAGCCCTGAAGTTGTCGGCATTACCAGCGACAAAGCCACTGGTTCATCCAAATGAATGCCAACGCATCATCTCTGAAGCCTACATTAAGAAGTGTGATACAAAGGTCTCAGCGCTGCAACGAAAGGTTTCTGGGCTAGCGGAGGATATGGTTGCACTGAAAATTCCTGGAGTCGGTGTGTTCAGTACCGTGACTCTGAAAATCATGAAACGCTGGCACCGCGCAATGAAAGTCGTAAAAAACATAGAGAAAACGCTGGAATGGATTCCTACCATCGACTTTACGCTTCATCTTCCACCGCATTTTGCAATTGTTCAAAACGTGGAACTGGAGGCAAACCTGAAACGCACCGCACTGTCACACCCATCGGTACGTCACGTTGCACCGCACGCCGTTATAGCTAATGTTGATTTAATGTGAACACAGGTACCCGCCCTAGATCTAGCAGCCAGGGGTTGCCTTAGCGATGGCACGATGTCCATGGTGTCGACGAAGCTGTTTGGGACTGATCAACGTGTGACAGTGGTGGACCCAGCTCACATTGGAGCCGTCCTAAACGGCGCACTCACAGTCAACACAAACGAGCTCGCAGATATTCTAGCCTTCCGGGCCACTGAGTTCATTATTTTTCCTACAAACTGCAATGGAAATCACTGGTGTAGCATCATGGTACGACAGAGAAACGAGACCGTACAGGTCTGCTACTACGATCCCATGCGCTCCAACTACACAATGCACATTCGAGCCGTAGCCCACAAGCTAGCGGGGCTCATTCAAGCCGGTCGTAGAGGTGTGAAAATTGACACCCTCGAGTACGATACTGATGTCGGAACTCAGTTGAATAACTACAACTGCGGGATTTATATTCTCTTGGGATTCGAACACTTCATCGGGGCTCCCGCCTTAGGCGAACTGGACAAGAAGAAGCTCCAGTGTCTACGATGCAGGTACTTGAATATGTGCTACCAGTGAGATAACTTGATCATATACCCTTCATACATATTCCACTTCGAATGACATACCACACGCTTATGGCTGGAACGATTAAGTGTTGTGTGCGTTCAACCGCGATTCGTTCGAGCCAGAAATCTCTTCTCTCCCATAACTGCTAACCGGAATGTATACCCTAGCCAAGACACGTGGGCTAACCCGCTCTACCAGCCTGGAGCTTGTCTGGAGGCTGTCTGGATATTCTGGACGCTGTCTGGAACCCAGTCTGGAGCTCCAAGCTCGTCACATGTTTCCCAGTCTGGAGCAGCAACATGTGCCCCTGAATTTTTCTGTCGCGGGCTCTCTTTCTTCCTTGCTACTTTTCGGTTTGCCTGGGTTTACGACCGCGTGCTACGCACACGGATCATAAACCACAGGTGGCGTTCTAGGTTGAACATTAAGTCGCCTAGGCATTATAACCACACCCTGGTCCCTTTATCCTTGGGGCACAAAGCCCTAGACCCCCCTCTATCTCCCCCAGAGAGGGAGCACCTCGCTTCGCTCGGTAGTCGGCAGGACCCACCTGCGGCGGGCGTTGGTGCTATCGTTCTCATTTAAGTACGACACCAAGTAGTACGCAAAAAGTGGTTATTTGGCTAACCAATTTCAGAAGTGGCTAGTCGGCAAGCATAAAGTAGCTACTTCAAAATAGATACCCTTCTTCATTCGATTGAGAACTATGGATGTTGGACATGCTGAAGACACTGGATCATTCGATTCTGACTGGTGATAATGCAATACATGTTACAGTTGCTCCAGTTGCCACTGTCGCCCTTCCCGCGCTCCTTCGCGACGTCACCAGAGCTTCATCTCACGGACAAGGTGCTGATCGTTTAGAATATATATTTAGGACCCTACCATATTACTACTTTTTTTAGATTCTGCAGATCGTTTCGCCCCGCACTGGTAAAAAGTGCCGCAGCAGGCGAAACTCTCCATCTTCTTATACAAACAACATCTTCCCTACTCTCTATTAGCGATAGACCAGAGCTTTATATACAATACGATAAAGTGTGGAGCATGTGGAGCTAACAATTTGTCGTAGTTTAATACTTTCGCAGAACTGGATCTGAAGATGCCTGTCAGTGCTGCTGCTGGAGCAAAACTATAAACGCAACGGTGCGCAGCAGTCAAGAAATTCTTAATATCCGGATGATGAGAGTTTTAACGCCATGTTGTCGCATGTACTTGCATTTGTAGCTACCGCAAGTAGTCGCGCAATTGGCACCCGGACAGGTAGACTTAGCTGCACCGTTTCCGTGGTCAAGGCGAGACAGCGATGCCCGCAGAAGACGCAGTCAAAAAAGGACAGCTGCGCGCTCTGACACTGAAACTTGCTCAAACAAAAGAATACAACCCGCAGCATGATATTTTTTTGTGAAATTATAATGCAAGCTACCAAGTTATCCTAGCCTACGCGAAGCTCTAGTATCATTGATTCCTTGAATCGTGTTCTTGCCGCTATTCGCTTTATGCTGCTGTTGTGGCGAGGATCTTGTTCATCTTCCTCCGACGCATGCCGTTGCGGTGTTGCAGGGGCAGCGACCCGGGGTGCTGCAACGGCTCGGTCCGTGGCGATGTGGCTCGGGCATCACCGAGGCGCAGACAGAGGTTAGGAAGCTTGGGTCGTGGTAGGCGCTCGGCTGAGGTTTCAAAGTGAGACTGGGATTTTTCCGACTTACATCGTCCAAAGCATGGAAAATGTGATCGAATCACAAGTTCAAAGAAAAAGCACGCCTGATCAAATCCAAGACCTGTTCTGCATAAGACCCATTTTAAAAACTCCCCCAAGACCCCATATGTCCACTTGTCATCCAAGGCGTCCGGTAGGCTCCTCCACCGCCCTAAATCAAGGCAAGGGCCGAGTAGCGCCTTCCCAACCTACCTGGAGTTTGAAGAGACCGCAGCCAACGCGCCGTATTGGGACCACTCCAGCTACAAGTGTCAGGAAACCATCATGCAACCCCCAAGAAAGTATGCATCCATTTCTTTAACTTGGTGAGGCGTCGATTTCGTTGCTACCTATTCCGGTGCCAGCCCCAGGCATACTGGAAGTATCGAGTATCATACGCCAGAAAGCGAGTAGACCAAACTATCATGGACCCACAAAAAACTTTACCAATTGAAATTTACAACACCCAACGCAGGTAAATTAGATGAAGACGCTGCAGACAACCGAGCCACGTGTTCATGGTGGATGCAACACCAACAGAATTATCGAAACCACGGAATGGACATGACTAACAGGAAGAAGACAATAATTAAAAAAACTGAACAATTTTTGCTTTACTTCACTATACTGTAAATCTACGTTGGCCCAGCGATGGCGCGTGTGCGTAGGCGCTGCCGACGTGTTCGCCGAATGACGGCGCTCACAGCTAAAGTTTGTTGAGCCGAGGTTCCAGCTTAAAACGTTGCATGCACTCGGAAGATTCCGCGCTACGCAGTTTTGCCACGGGTTTTTGATTTTCCGTATCGCTGATCAGCCGCCCCTACGGAAAACCCGTAGTCAAAAACACGTATCAGTGCTACGTGCTTTTCACTACGTCTTTTTAGAAATACCGTGCTTCTGAAAGCCTCTATTAGCTCACAAGCATGCTTACTGACCAGATTAGCGACGACAGTCATCTCTGCGTTGTGGAGAAGTGCTGAATAAGAATTGGTCTCCGAGAAAGGCGGCAGGGCCGATCGACTGGAAGTATGGGGGATCAGCGATCGAGAGACACGCAGCGAGGATATAAGGATCAGAGGGAGTTCTTCGGGAGATCTCAAGTGGCCCGATGACGCCGGCGCGTAAGGCAGGACATGTGGCGAGCCGGATTGTGAATGATCGTGCTCGAGCCGCGGCGTGATTCGGGGCTGACCCAAGCCCAGATCGACGACAGATCTCGCAGATCTAGGATGGCCGAGGACAGGAGATGATGGATCGGCGGCGTACGGCAACCGGCACAAATCGTCGATCGAGAGCTGATCGTCGATCGTGGAATGACCGTGAATCGGGGATCGACCGCGATGGGATGCACATGGAGGACGAAGTCAGGACAAGAATCCAGCAGTTGTTTAGTTGTAGGATGGTAGATGAGATGGTAGCGGTAGAGAGACACCAGCTAAACCTAAATCAGAACGCAATTTGCACAGAAGACCACAACTACCCTCAAGTCGTCAAGTCCCAGGAACTACATTGACCTCGGCAAGCGTTGACACTTCGGGTAGTGAACTAGCGGTACGGTTAAGACTGGATTAATACATTGGCCAGCTTGACCTACTCTAGTGATCTTTCTCTCGTGTGCAAGCCCTCGATAGACCGGATACTGCTTGGCCGGCGATCGATGCGTCTCTCAATCGACCTCGATCCCGCTATAGGAAGCGGCAAGCAACTCAGGAAAGGAAGGAAGACAACCGGAAGGCAACTGCAGGCCGTGGATCGACTCCAAGCCGACCGATCGGAGCGAACAACCTTCGATCGGAGCGTATACTCGGACGCAGAGCGAAGATTCCCGCGCTGCTCCACAACCTATCCCCGCGTCACGCCAAGACATTCGATCTTCACCAAGTGCTGCATCTTCGGAGCCTCGAGAGAGCAGATCCAGCCCCCCGACGGGTACACAAGGTGAGAACAAGTTCAGCCGATCACGGACCGTTGGGGCCCCCCCTCCGTTAGTCGGTGTCTGGGCGCTGGTGGGAAGCTCGATCAGGCCTTAAACAGATTTTGGCCGATCCCGCTACACCACAGCGTCGTATTCGGCGTGGTGAACCACACTCACCTTGTGAACCAGACTGTCCACATAAAGTTCGGCGCGCGCTTGGTAGAGCATTACGGCCGCTGCACATTCATCAAGACCCATGCTCGAGTCACAACATCTTTGATTTGCTTCCAAGAAGCTTCGAGTCGGTTATTAGTGTTGTTCCCCAACGTGATGGCATTCTGCCGAGTATAAGAGCACCAAAGGTCCCTGCAATTATCCCAGTTACGCCAAAGCAATCTTCAAACAGGTGAAGTGGTTTGTTCTCGATGTCACAAGACGTACTTTGGCTCTCATCATCTCTACCCGCCGTTCTGCCACCAGGAAGCGGTATCGAAGTGTTATCGAAGCCCATTCCCAATTCGGTCAAGTGTTTCAAATATCGCCTGTGCTTTTCGTATTCGACCTCCGTCCTTGCATATACCAGGAGACGGACAACATCGCGTAGCTGTTCCCTCTGCCAGACCGAAAATCCGTAGGCTGAATTTGCTACCTCCTCTCCAAGATATTTCACAACATGAAATTGGCACAAAAGTATCCGCGCATCGGGGAATGCCTGCTTCAAGACTGAGATTTCAGTGAAATCTTTATCTACGAGTATGCACTGAATGCGAGGCCAATCAGGGTTGTTGCTCTTGAACTCCTCGATAGCTGTCAGTAAGGTCTCACTTCGCTCATTCTCGAGCAGCGCATGCTGGACAAACTGGCCCTTCCCTAATACGTCATGCGCCATGAACGAAAACAATTTGTACTTCGATTCGTTGGTGCTGTGCGTCGCATCGATCAAAAGCACTTCCGAGAACCGTAAAAACGAGTCGCGCATACGTTCGGTCTGCAGCGTAAGACAAGTTGCTAGTTTCTTATCAATGAAAGAAAAAGTGTCAGAATATGATACTTCAATCGGTAGGATACTAGAGCAATAAACTAGACGTATATACCTTGCCGTTGACGACCTCTGTGAAAATCCTAGCTATGCTGCGTGGTTGTTCGCTGAAGTCCGTCATGCATTTCTTTAAGCGCTGCACCCTGGTTGTGTTGGCGAACTCCTTGGGTTTCAGCGTCCGGAGTAAATTATGAACATCTCTGTTGCTCGGCAAGCGGTCGCAGTTCTCCAGAATGTACTGGTGAATGGTTTTCCTTTTTGCACCCGCTTTCTGTAAAATAGAGACCGTGTGCACAACCTCATCCGGGATAGAAAGCCTTGCCCGTCGGTGGTGCTTGAACAGGCTTTCACTGACGGGGTGATTGTGCTATATTACAACCTTCGTAACGCACACCACCCACTGTGATGGATCTGTACCAGCCCGACGGACGCATGCATTTATCTACGAGGGACATGCCTTTAACAATCCGGGTAAGCACATTTTCGTTTCTGATTGTAAGCCATTCAAAGTAATTACCACAAGGACCTGAGCCGAACACTCTATCTGGCAACTTTGCTGTCGAAGACGTTTTTCTGTCCCCCTCGACTTGTACTTCCCTGCATGGATACATTCGAGACCTCTTGCGTAGTGTTCGAACGATTCCGGGACTTTATCCGCTGGCTCATCCACCTTACCGTTACGAACTAAAGCGGAAACGCTGCATGCACGACACTGGGTTAGCATCAGCTTAGTTCAAATACAAAGTAAACGAAGCATACCTGGAACGTCCTCGACTGATAGGCATTCACATACGAGAAAAATTCCGACCACGAGCCAAATTCTGTAGCACCGAAATCTGCGGGGGAGAAGGTCGTAGAACCACCTCCGAAGGCGTGTGCCACCCCGGCGGTTTTCTGTTGCTCATTTCGAGCTGATTGCGACGAAGCTTGCCACAAACTGCCGTCGATGTCACACTCTTGAGGAGTGTGAGCCGATTGAGCAACATCAGCTGCCCAACCGCGTTCATCGTCGCTGTCGTCGTGAGCACTGGTGCTGGAGCAATCTTCGTCAGGTGCAGGGCGCTTTCTTCTTGCCGCTGTCTCCATCTCGGTCGGCGACGTCGAGGAATGTGCCTTACTCCCTGCTATATTCCGGCCTGCGCTCCGTTTCGCACTATAATTATCGACGATCGGCCTCTATACTTACCGTATACGCTATACGTTGGCTGGAAGGAAGAGTGGATGCTAGGGTTAGCTCTGTACATGTGTGTGATGAAACCAGGTGTTCCCAGTCTGGAGCAGCAACAACTCTCAAATTCAGGAATGAACCGCAATGTTGGGTTTTCTTGTTGGGGTTGAGAGATTCTGACCTGTCAACTTCAACGAAGTTCAGCACTACCCATTTAAGTTTCTAGATTTCTCAGTCCACGGCATTACATCGCTTTGATGTTAAATTCAAAGGGAGGCTTCATCAGATTGGCTTCAAATAATCGGATGTGGGCTGTGCTACCAGCTTTACTACTATCCCAGAATAATGTGCATTTAAAACCACAAACATTATAATAATATATATCAGCTGCGAGGTAGCGTAATAAAGCGTCGTCTTTCCGTTCGAGAGGCCCTTGGGGTTTGTGTCTAAACCACCCACAAAGCCGCGATGCGTCTGCATATCAACCTTTTTATAATATATATATATAATTATTATTATTAAAAATATATTATATAAACTGTGTGCCAGTGGAGATTATCCATAATACTCTCCTCTCTGGGCTAAGGCTTCGCTTGTTTCACTCTTCCTTCTCGTTAAACGCATCTTCTTGGTCTGCAAGAGCATCCTACTCGGGTAGGAGCAAGAACGCTGGTCATGTAATAATATTACAACTATTTCACTTTCTTACGAGTCTGTTTTCGAGATGATATTTATAATATTAGTATTGCTATAGCAATCCATTCGTATAGTAGGTATTTTAGCTCGCCATTTGCCGGGTGTTCGGCTCTGAGGATCTTTATGAGCTCTTTCTGTGTATTTGGGTCCTGCAAGCAAGTTAAATCTGCTGGAAACTCTCGATCAGCCTCTCACTTCTTCGTTCGTGTCATTCTCAATAGCGTGGAGAGCTGTGGTGTTGACCAGGACGAGTATCAACGGCACAATTTGAGCGTTTGAGAAGCGCACCAGTGCGATGAAAGTATGTATACTGGAGGCCCTGCGAATCGCAGTCTTGAGCCTAAAATGTGTTGCAAATGCTCTCATTGGGACCATACTGGGCCGTGACCACAATAGCGAAGAAAAAGCGATTCAAACGATCAAGTAGAAATATGTTTCGACTTAGTTGGTGTTGGGACCGCCGCCCACTACTGGGACGAAACCGATAGCCAAAATGCAATGTGAAAGGCGCCGTAAATGTAGTCGAGGTCGAACGGAATATCCGTATCGTCGGCGCTCTTCTTGGTGAGAGAGCGGACCTTCTCGACCTCCTTCTTTGAAATTTTGTCCGAGTTCCTGCCCAAGATGGACTTCAACTTGCTGATAACTTGTGTAGCCACTCGCTCCTCCTCCTCGGTAACTTCGGTGTTTGTCGTTTCGTGGGCTCCTTTAAGATGGCGAGATGCATTGCCAACTTGGGGAATATTTAGAGAAAGTGGCGGGTCTTGAGTAAGGCAGAGCGCAAGAAATGCTGAGAGCTGAACTGGAAGCCACAGGTACTACACTTCATTAGGGCAGGCTCGATTGCTTTTGTTCGTGAACAAGTAGCTGGGTTTTTGGCGACCGGGTCTTGGCGACTGTCTGGAATTGGCAACTCAACAAGCTCCGAAAAAGGTGCCCCACACTGAGAGCATCCACATTTCTCGATTTGTACAGGTAAATCGTTCGTAACAATACTCGAGCATATGAAGCCACTGCCTCGCGAAACCGTTTGCCATTTGGCCCATCCAGCACGCGTTCAATTGCCGTCGAATTAGGTGGGCTATTATTGAGCAAATAAATGAATGTGTAGCGTTCCTCTTCCCTGTGTTTCCACCATCCCGAAGTAAGCCTTCACATCGCCAAACAACCCTCGAAATGGCATTGTTTTCCTCGTTGTAGGATCAATACCCAGTGCGTACTTGATAATGCGTTGACTTCCAAGGCTTGCCGCTCGTAGCTCTGCTTTTCCCGGCAAGCGAGACTCTAGTACGTCAAACAGGTGTTCTACGGATAGTACGCCAACGTAATGAGCAAGTACGACAGAGTTGTCAGTATTAGGAGTTAATGTGACGAACAAGTCTGGCTGACCAAATCGTGTCTGATAGGCAAAAGCCTGGTGTCGACACTGTGACCGCTCACTTCCACTTCCCCAATGCGACCTTGTCCCAATCTCGACAGTCTTCAAGAATCGTTGGGCGACATCGTTGCTCTCAGATCGCCATGGTAAACGCCCTTGCCGCCATTGCTCATTTTTAGTAGCGCCCTTCCTAGCTGCTCACTGGTCAGAGTATCGTATCCATCGAGAACGCTTGGAAAGCGCTGGCAGCGAAAATGGTTTTGAATCTACATATTTCGCAACGAGATGCGGTCAAATGCAACCAGTAAAAAGAGCTCGTCCTCCGCAAATTGACGCTCACTTAGCATAAGGGGATTGGCCAGTTTAGTAGAGCAAACTGAATTTGTGACTTTGAAAAGCATTTTCTTGAAAACTACTAATCGTTTGGAGATAAAACGTGTACACAATGAAGCCCTAGATTTGCTCTAACATGTGCACCAATCCAGACACAGTTAGCAGCTATAAAAGTGCTATTGTAGCGCACCAAAGAAAACCTACCTACAGTGTGCTGCGATCAGTTTAGTAGAGCGGAATAATACTGGTCTTTGTATCGAACTACCATATGGAAACGCGTGGAAAGTTTTATAGTCAACCAAAGCACGTATTTCATTATTTCTGCAATATTACTGGTTCTACTAAACTGGTCAATTCTACTAAACTGGCCAAAACCCTCAGAGTAATATTTCACGCACTCCAACACAGATACTGGAACGCCTCGGACCTCGCCTGGGTGCCCACGCCCGAAGGGGGAAAGATGTGGGGAAATGCGTGTAAAGAGATCACCCGCTACATTGTTTGCTATCGTGTCTTGGCGACGTTATTCTTGTTATTGCAACGTTATTGACCTGAGGTTAGGGCTAGTTAACGTCGGACTCCTGTGTCTCAGGCTGAGACGAGGTGCGATCATGCGATCATAATTACGATCTGCTGAGACTCTCAGCAGATCGTAAATATGATCGCACCTGGGATTCATTGAACTGTACATGCACAGAACATACCTATTTACCGACATTTACCGACATCTTCGGAAAGATCTGAACAGCAAAAAGATCTGAACAGTACTGGACTCTGTTCCCTCAACAAGGCCTTCTTTTTCAAATCTGTGGATCAGGCGATGTATAGTAAACTCAAGTATAATGGTTGGAAAATGGTCAACAAACATGCTGGGCAATACTTTTTCTGTTCCAGGATCCTGTTGTACATTTGTCTTGGTTATCTTCGGGATAATTGGTCTTTCCGAAGATGTCGGTACTGGACCTGTGGTAAGCAGGCTTTCTTGTGCTCCCTCACTTTGGAATCGGCGGACAAGAGAACAAGAGCGGCGTCAGGCGTCCACTTAGCCAAAGGAGGACCATTATGCGGACGAATGTTTTGCTTCTCTTTGTGGCGGTCGTCTCCCTCGCAACCTTCAGCAACTTGGTCGTTGCAGAGAAAGCGGTACATCAAGTTCAAGATCCCCAGCACCCCCTAAAGTCTCTCCGAGGTGACAGCTCAGCTCGCAACCTCAAAGGAAGCCACGAAATGGCCAAGACTGACGTCGCCGACGAGGTGGAACGAGGTTATCAACAAGTTAAGTCCATATTGGACAGGGGGGACCCCAACAAACTGTCGAAGAAGAACGTCCAGAAGGTCCGTTCGTACGCCGAGGAGAACCCCGACAAATGGTTATTCATGTCGAACTACCTCGAGTACTTTTACGGTATCTCGTTCCTGGCGCTGATGGCGGGTGGAGCTCTTTGGCACGGCATGCAACCGGCCGGAGCGGGCGGCCCAAAGATTAACTAAATCACGACTTCGCCTTATCGATGCCATTCGGTAGTATGTCTTGGAACCATAACCTGCTAATGAGATATTGATAAGGCTCTGAAGCGACACCTTGAATCACGTATACTTGTAAATCCAATCCAGCCTTCGTTGCTCGTCATAGCGTAAAATCTCTTCAAACTAGACCGTCCTCGACTTGGCTGGGAACACCAGTGGTATAAACGCTGGTGATGGTACCGGTGTTGGTTTTTAGCTTGTGGTTGAGGGGGCAAATTCCGAAGTGAGATTAAATGTTATCGTCTCTCAAACTACTCTCTAGTCTTCCCCTCCTGCTTTCCTTCTTGTTCTCCTTGTGCTCGTTGGTGCCTCTCATCAGACGGATTACTCCCGGGTTCCGATTGACTTGATCTTAGTATACTTGGGTCTCCCTGACCAGCCATTGGTATATCCAGAGCCCGGCTGCGACCGGCTCTCCCGTCGCCGTCGGATCCTCCGAGTCATCGGCGGATGTGTCCACACGTTCTCCTCGTCCATGTGCATCTATTGGTGGCGCTCCCGAAGACTCATGAACACTCCCACTCGCCGCTAATGCTGCACGACCGTCCCGACGGTTCCGCTTGCGCTGATCAGGTACTTGAGCCTCTTCGTCCCCAACGCCTTGGTAAGCATGTCCGCGAGCTGATCCTCCGTCGGCACGTAGTTGACGACGATGAGTCCTCGGGACACATTCTCTCGGATGAAGTGATGCTTGATGTCCACGTGCTTGGTCCTCGCGTTGTACCCAGCGTTGCTTGTGAGGGCGATCGCGCCCTGGTTGTCCTCCCATACTTGGGTAGCTCCCACTTGCTCGTGATCCATGTCCTTGAGCATGGCGCGGGTCCACAGCACCTCCTGCGTGCACAGGCTCAGAGCCATGTACTCGGCCTCCGCCGAGCTGAGCGCCACCGTGCGCTGGTACTTCGACTTGAAGACCACCGGCGCCCCGCTAAACATCACCATGATGCCCGACACCGAGCGTCGGTCGTCGAGATTGCTGCCCCAGTCGGCGGCGGTGTACGCCGTTACCTCGACCTTCTTCGCGTTCCCATTGTAGGCGATGCCGATGTCTTGGGTGCTCTTCAGGTACCTGAGCACGCGGATGGCAGCCTTCCAGTGCTGCTGCCCGGGGTTCTCAAGGAAGCGCGACAACTGGGTCACGATGTACGCCACATCGGGTCTGGTGCAAGTTGTAATGTACAACAAACAGCCAATGAGTGCTTCGCCTGCATTTCCTCGCGTTCCTTCTGAGTCGTCGGCGACTGAGTCTTCGACAACTTCATGTCCGACTCGCACGGGTTCACCACCACCTTGGCGTCCTGCTGGTTGAACCGCTTCACCACATCATCAATGTATCGAGTCTGCTTGATCATGAGAGTCTTCGCCGATGAGTCATGGTCGATCTCCATACCAAGTATAAACTTGGCTTCGCCCAACTCCTTCATCTTAAACGCATTCTTGAGCGCCACCTTGACTTCCTGGATCTCGTTGCTCGTCTTGGCCGCGATGATCATGTCGTCCACGTACAGGCAGACATATACGAACCTGCCCTTCTCGCCCTTGACGTATACGCACTGGTCGCCGCCGCAGCTCCGAAATCCGATGCCCATGAAGACTCGGTGGATGGTCTTATGCCAGGCATTCGCCGCCTGCTTCAGACCATAGATCGCCTTCTGCAGCCGACACATCATGTTCTTCGCGTTGATGATTCCGTAGGGCACCTCCATGTAGACGCGCTCCACCAGCCCGCTGTTGAGAACGGCGGTGTCCGCATCCAGCTGCTCGGTGATGTAAGCCTCAGCCACCACAACCGACAACACCACTCGGATCGAGTTCATGTTGGCCACGGGCGAGTACGTCTCGAAGAAGACCACGCCATACTTCTGCTTAAACGCTTTCGCCACCAGGCGGGCCTTATATCTGATGACTCGGTCGTGCTCGTCGCGTTTCTTTGCGAACACCCAGCGACAACCGATCGGTCGAGCACTCGGTGTCCGACGGACCAGCGTCCATGATCCGTTGTCCGCGTGTGCCTTGAGCTCCGCATTCATTGCCTTCACCCACTCCGACGACTCGTTGCTCTGCATGGCCTGCTGATACGTGGTGGGTGCGTCATTGGCATCGCCGACGTTTGCGGCGTAGGCCGGCACCGCCTCAGCCAATAGGCTGTCTTCGTCCACCCTGGGTCGCTTTGCAGACGGTGGTCAGAAGTGATCATCGTTGTCGGAGTTATCGGGACCATCTTCTTTCGACTCCTCACCGTCTGCGGAACTATCTCCAAGTAGTATTACCGGTTCTCGGGCACGCCGGGTCCGTTCCGGCTCCGGATGGAAGACCATGTCATCATTAAATACCGGTCTCGCGAGTCGTCGGTACGTTGTCAGCTCCTGCATGGATGGCTCCGGCGTCTCCGCCTCATGCATTTCCGCGTCCTCGACGGTCTCTTCCACCGATTCCATCGGCTCGTCGGCGGCAGGTCGTTGCATCTCCTCGTGCAGCGCCACTTCATCGTCGACATCTTCCGTCAACTCAATCATCGGCGAGTTCTCGCTGGGCGACGTGTCGTAGATGCCGTTCACCTCGCGCTCGTCCAGCTTCACCGACCTGGACACCTTCACCTTGTTCGACTCCAAGTCGTACACTCGGTAGCTTTTTGAGTCGTCGGCGTACCCAAGAAACATACATTTGAAGCTCTTCGGCTCCAACTTGGTGCGTCGCGACTTGTCGACATGGGCGTAACCAATCGACCCGAAGACTCGAAGATGGTCCAGCCGAGGCTTCGACTTGAACGTCAACTCGTACGGAGTCTTGGTCGGGTGCATGCTGTTCGTCGACCGGTTGATCAGGTAGACAGCAGTGCTGACCGCCTCTGCCCACCATATCGAAGCCACGCCCTTGTAGTGTAGCATGCTTCGAGCCTTCTCCATGATCGTGCGGTTCATCCGCTCTGCCACGCCATTCTGCTGGGGGCTATACGGGACCGTCTTCTGATGCATAATCCCATTCACCCGGCAGATCTCAGTCATCGGCGTGTTCACGAACTCAGTGCCGTTGTCCGAGCGCAGGCATTTAATGCGCTGTCCCCACTGGTTCTCGTACAGCTTCATGAACGACTTGAACTTGGTCACGACCTCGCTCTTCTTGATCAAGAAGTACGCCACGACGTGTCGCGAGTAGTCGTCGACAAAGGTGAGCACATACCTCGCTCCGCCCTTGGACTTCGTCTTCATAGGACCCATCACGTCCGTATGAACCAGTTCCAGCGGTCGAGTCGTCGCCGACGTCGACCGCGACGGGAAATGTGCGACCGTCTGCTTGCCCTTCATGAATCCTCCGCACAGGATCTTCGTCTGCTGTTGAGTCGTCGGGGTCCCCTCCGTCGCCTCGCGGGTCTTCGCCATAGCGTCTCCGTTCAAGTGTCCCATACGAGCGTGCCATAGCTTCCACTTTCCGTCGACTCCCGAGTACTCGGTGTAGTACGCCATGTCCTGCTGGCAGTCCAGCAAGTACGCCTTGCCGACCTTCTTCCCTGAAGCGATCGCCTTCGTCTTGTCCCAGATGACGCACGACTTCCGCTGGAACTCGACACTCATGCCGCGTTCAGCCAACCTCCCAACCGAGAGTAGTCGCCGGTCGAGTCCGGGGATGTGGAGCACCTCCACCATTTTGATGCGCTTGCCGTCGATGCCCGTTAGGCGCACCGACCCTTTCCCAGCCACGCGGATCTTCTTCCCGTCCGCGATTGTCACATACATGTCCGCCGACGACTCGTTGTACTCGAACAAGTCATCGCGGTGAGGCGTCATGTGAGCCGTCGCCCCACTATCGATCAGCCAACCCGCTGATGGATTCTCCGCCACAGCGAACACCGAGTCTTCGGCGGTGTCTCCATTTGCTTTTTCCGGGCAGTCCCGCTTCATGTGGCCCACTTGGTCACAGTTGAAGCACTTGCCCTTGAAGCCACCGACCTTTCGTCCCCCGTTGCGCTTACGGCCGAATGCCTTGCCGCCCTTGCCGAACTTCCCGTTCTGGCCCTTACCTCCGAACGAGGTAGCCTTCAACGCGCGATCCGAGGTCCTGCCGCTCGTACTCCTTGAGCAGCTTCTCCTTCACCTCGATGAGGGTCACGTCCTTCGAGTTCTCGACGATGGATGCGATCAACTCGTACTCCGCCGGCAAGCTGCTCAGCAGGATGACGAGTTGTCGGGAGTCATCGAGCGGCTCTCCAAGCGTCTGGAGGCCCACGATGAGCTCGTCGAACTTGTCCAGGTGCTTCGCCATCGTCGCACCGTCCTCCATCTTGAACTCATGGAGTCGACGAGTCATAGTGACCCGATTATGCATCGTCGTCCGGTTGTAGAACTCGCGTAGAGTATTCCAGGCTTGGATAGCCGACGTCGCCGACCGAATCTTCGTGTGGTGTTCCACAGCCACGCCTTGAGCGATCAGAGCGAGCGGCTTCATGTCGTTGAGCATCCAGGCCTCCGTCATCTACGTCGGGTCCTTCACCACTTGGACGTGCGCCAGCAGCCCCTTCCTCGCGAGCGTCATACGCATCGCGAACTCCCAGTGGAAGTAATTGTCGCTTCCCAGGATAACTTCGACCTTCTCGCTGGACGTCGTCATGTCGGTCGTCGGGGAGGGCTTGAGCTTGTTGCGGCTGTTAACCTGTTGGTTTTTAGCTTGTGGTTGAGGGGGCAAATTCCGAAGTGAGATTAAATGTTATCGTCTCTCAAACTACTCTCTAGTCTTCCCCTCCTGCTTTCCTTCTTGTTCTCCTTGTGCTCGTTTGTGCCTCTCATCAGACGGATTACTCTCGGGTTCCGATTGACTTGATCTCAGTATACTTGGGTCTCCCTGACCAGCCATTGGTATATCCAGAGCCCGGCTGCGACCGGCTCTCCCGTCGCCGTCGGATCCTCCGAGTCATCGGCGGATGTGTCCACACGGTCTCCTCGTCCATGTGCATCTATTGGCGGCGCTCCCGAAGACTCATGAACAACCGGTGCTAATTGCCATGATAAGGGAGAACTGTGGCCCGCGTGATTCAAGGGTGTGGCTCCGCAGGGGCCACTTTCTGAAATGGTGCATGGGTCTTTTGACGTGCATTTCCTGCCTCAGTCTGTAGTTGCCGTTGAACCTGTTCGGTGGACATCCTTCTGGCTGGTGTAGCACGAAGGTTGGGCCAGGTTACGCTTACGCGTCCAATTAATCCGTTGGGAGCTGTCATTCTTCGGGTGTTCCCAGTATAATATCAGTTTTGATGTCTGAAGACTCGGCAGTTCTGTACCTCGATAGCTCGTATTGCTAGTTAACAGACTGTATTGTTTGGTGGTCGAGTTCCGCGTACGAGCTTTTGTTTGCTAACTTTACTGTTGCGCTACATGTAGCAAATTGCTGAATTCGGTTAGAAAGAAAGACGCTGTGGGAAACTGTACGCCCCGGAATCTTCACACGTTGTACGAAGAATGCGACCATCAAGAAAACTCATTTTTATAAGAAAGAGAGACTGTACGCTACAGCCATGAAAGAGACGATGGAATTCATCATCGGTGAAACCGTGACAAAAGGTTGTAGGTGATGAAGATACCCGTGCCGGTATAATAGTCTCGATAGACATTGCGTTGAGCGATTGTGGTCTTCCGTCACGTTTTACAGTGGCTCTGAAGCCTTACGCATTTCGTGCGTGAACAGCCCCCGTGCGATAAGATGCTCGTGAGCCAGATCGATGTCCTGCAAAATCTGGAGAATGTACCTTTCCAATCATATTTCACTCTACCAATACGGTACAGCATACCCTTTAGAATCCTGTAGTATGAATCCCAGTTGCGATCATAATCGAGATCTGCCTGGGGGCGCAGGACGAGCAACTTCATCTGTACTGTACTGTACCGACCGAGCATAAGCGCAGGACGGAATGTCCTGTATTTTCCAAATCGAAACATCCCGGCGTCAAATCCTACACAAAATCTAGTATTATTGGCACAAGCTTGGCAAAGTCAATCTTTTGTGCTTTTGCAGGACAACATGTCCTGTAAGATTTGCTGCATTGCGGATGCCGCACCGGCAATGCAGCAAACTTCCGAGCTAATGCGCCAAGCAGAATATAACACACACGTGGTGTCCGTTAGCGTAGCGTGCCCGCCAGGAAGATACAGTATTCATGGCTCGCTCTGTAGACCAGGGAGCATTTCAGTCGTACCAGTTAAAGAAATCTAAGCTCAGCCATACATTTCATACATTCTCAACACTTTTTTTTAACTAAGTCAGCAGTAACGCCGAGTCGAACCAGTACGTATATGAACGCTGAAAGATGTACAAACAATAGCTCTCCATTACCCAGTGCTAATCGCAACATTTAATTGCGGGGGCACACGCTGTGTCGACGCTTGCCATGACTGTTGTATGTGTAGTGTCCTTGGATAGCGAAGAGCAATTGCAGCACCTTCCCTTAGGGTCTGACCCGCTGAAGCCGCCCACGTTTGAGCCTCCGCCGAACGCCCATACCAGAGCTGCCGTACCAGCTAGTTGTCGTGATCGTGATCGTCCTCAACGAAGTCGCCCACGACGCTACCGTAGCGAGCCCTTAGTCTTGATGGATGCTGGTCTGCGCGCGGCATCTCCTGCCCGTCGAGATCCAGGCCAGCATGCCACCCGAGACCGAATCACCTGTACTCGAAGCCCTCGGCCACTTTGTTTCCTGACACGAGTAGAACGGAGTCATCGGCGTGGGTGGTGAGCATAGATTAGACTTTTGTTGAGCGCCATATCGCTGACGATGTCCTTGTCGAAGAAGAGCTGGCCGTATTAGCGTGCTTCAACGCCGACTTGGCAATAAATTACAACCGCCTACGCCAGCCCAGTCTCTGCCAGCTTTTCTTGGGGCAGCCTACGGCATGTTTGCTGTTGCGGTGAGGCCAAACACAGGCAAAACTGCGATGCTGTGTTAATTTAATTATGATTGGACAAAATACTACAATTTTGTGTGTCCTGGTAATGTCCTGTAAAATCCGTTCAAGAATCAGTATTTTCCTCACGGAGGTAGTATTTCATTGGACTACACTCCGCGCCAAGTGCAATCACGCACCCGAGTTTGTATCTACATCTCAGTCAATATTTAGAGTTAGGAGCTGCGCTTTAGATATGTTGCCGCTACTACCGTCACGGACCCCGCTCTTGTGTTAACGATCGGCATTTCCATGGCTGTGGTGGGGCTCACATACAAGCAGACAAATATGGCTTAGTGACACAATTATCACGCAGATTGGACCATACAAAAATTCATATATGATGAATGATTGTAACATGTGGGTCAACTAGTAGTGTGTCTTTCCTCCTTTCTTTTCCAGTACTTCGACGAGCCGCTTGGGCATGGAGTCCACCAGGGTTGCCAGGGTCGCCTGGTCGATAGATTCCCACGCCACCAGAACCGCTTCGCGCGACTCGGACACACTGGAGTACTGCTTCTTGCCGTTGTCGTACACCGTGCGCGACAAAATGGCCCACAAGTTCTCTATCGGATTAAGGTCCGGAGAACGAGCGGGCCACTTCATCACCATCACCTCTTGCTCTTCAAAAAATTCGGCCGTGCGTTTCGACGTATGGATAGAAGCATTATTTTGTTGAAAGATATACTCCAGCCCAAAGTGCTTGTGAGCGTAAGGAAGCATGTATTCAGAGAGAGTATACACATAGTCATCTGAGTTTTGCTTACCCACAAGAATGGCTAGCTCCGTCTTACCACAGCGGCTAAAGCCACCCCAGACCATAAGCGAACCACCGCCGTTTTGGCGCCGGACGGTTTGATGCCTTGGGACCCGCAGGTCCTGCCAGTAGCGCTGATACCCGTCTGGACCATCCAGGTTCCATTTCTTTTCGTCGGAAAAGACGACGCGCGGCCAGACATCCTTGGAGTAGAGTAGCCATTCCTTCGCGAACTCACGGCGAGCGAGCTTGTGCTCAGCCGTGAGCTCCAGCGTGTTGTCCATATTCGCGTACTGCAACCAATCCACGCTCGCAAGAACGCGCTGGACGGTGCGTAGAGAGGCAGCACTACTGACGAGCTCCTTGATATGGGAGGCGGAAAAGTCACCGGTTGCTGCCTTCCGCACGACTAGCCGCACCTCGCGGTCCGACATGACGGGCGGGGGGCCGAGCTTCTTCGGCTCCGTCGGCGCCTTCGGAGCGACGATGCGAGCCACCGTTTGGTCGCTGCGACCGACACGGCGTGCAATAGCACGGTTAGACCACCCGGCCTCGTGCAGTCCTTGGATTCTCCCGCGTTCTTCGTCGCTGACGCGTGGCTTGGGCGGCATCTTTGCGAATGCCGTACTGGTTGGGATTTGTACGGCCCCACCACTAATCTTAATATATGAATTTTGTATGGTCCAATCTGCGTGATAATTGTGTCACTAAGCCATATTTGTCTGCTTGTATGTGAGCCCCACCACAGCCATGGAAATGCCGATCGTTAACACAAGAGCGGGGTCCGTGACGGTAGTAGCGGCAACATATCTAAAGCGCAGCTCCTAACTCTAAATATTGACTGAGATGTAGATACAAACTCGGGTGCGTGATTGCACTTGGCGCGGAGTGTATGCAGATGGGTCGATCGCCCAGCATTTCCTGTATCATGCGATACAGTGGGCAGGCGTTATTGTCACACTTCGAAATCGGCCGGCACGAGAACAAGAGCCACAGCCATCATGCGGACGATTGTGCCCCTCCTCTTGGTGGCGATCGCCTCCCTCGCGAGCTGTAGCAACCTGGCAGTCGCAGAGAGGGCTATTCAAGACGCCAAGGGCCTCCAGAATGACAACACAGCTCGCCACCTTAAAGGAACCCCTAAGCGCCACGTGGCCGACGAGGAAGAGCGAGGGGCGGCGACGCAGGTTATCAGCAAGCTAAAGTCCATCCTGGGCAGTAACCCGGACAAGAAGAAGCTGGACAAGGTCCGCTCGTACGCCGAGGAGAACCCCGACAAGTGGCTGGTCATGTCCTACTACCTCGATTACGTCTACGGCATCTCGTTCTTGGCGCTTCTAGCCGGCGGTGCGATTTGGGGCTACAGCCCGCGCCCGGCCGGACACGGAGGCCCAAACACCAACTAATAGTAAAGCGAATAACGTAGAAATTCTTGCCTTTGCGTTATCCATTGCTGCCGTGGCCCGTTTGCAACAGAGCCAAACGTTGAGACTCCGTTAATTAATTTAACTTAACTGGTCCATCGCTTCGACTTGGGCAGACACATGCGCGTCAAGTTTTCAAAGGTCTTATGCGAGGCACACCCGCCCACCTGGTCGCAGCGACCCACGGGCCGTGGGCTTGGCGGCCGTGGGCCACGGCAAGTATCCTCCACAGGTGGGCTCCGTTGACGTCACTTTGACCCAATTTCCGCTCTCGACCGCCCATTTTCAGCCGCAAATCGGCAAGGAGTCGGACCATCGAGTCAGAAGGCAACTTTCCGAAAAGTCGCGCCATCGCACTGGTGCCTCCAGGTTCCAGCACGCCACCAAGGCCAAAGTCCACCCTTGCATTAGTACGACGGCCTTGCCTTATCCTACCTCACACCGGCAAACACGAACTCACCGTATCGAAGGCGCCTTCCATGGCGGCAAAGACCTGCAGCGTTTTCTTTCGATGACTTCCCCATCACCGACCTAGGATCGTGTTGAGTCCAGATGGAACCACAGCGAGGCAAGGCTCGGCCGACACCACGACGAGAGCGAGCGAGGGTGTGCCGCTGCCGTCAGCTGGCGGAAGAAAAAGAGCAAAAGTGCCCAGTTCGTGTGCAACTAAAGCGTAACGGCTGTTCTCACTCATCTGCACTCGCGCCATGTGTAATTGGGCTCTTCAGTCCGCGTTCGGCCCCATTGCCGGCAGCGCGGTTAGAGACACCAAAAGCGAAGGGCGCCGACACCTCGCCCCCCCCTCGTTCCGGCATGGAGTCGGACGACTCCATGTCGGTGCTGCTGCCGATGGTGTCGCTCATGCTGCTGCTCGTGTTCGCCGGCGGCCTGTGGTTCCTGCGCACGCGCAACCAGCTCCGCGGCGCCTCGCAGAGCTTCCTGGCAAGGTACGGCACGACACACACAGAGTTCTCTATCTAACCCCCTCTCTCTCCGTTTAAGCCAGTGTTAACACTTTGCCATCTTTTCTCCTCAACATTAGGATGTTGCTGCAAGAGCAAGAGACTATCACAAGACTGGACCTGGAGCGCGGCGAGGCCCAAGCCGAGCGCTGGAAATGCGGCGTGTGCGACTTCAGCAACGCCGCGGACCGCCCGAACTGCGTCCTGTGCGGCACAAAGAACGCCAAATACGCCCGCCAGGTGTCGGATAGAGAGGAGTTGCCGCGGCTGAAGCACTCCATCGCCGGGCGGGACGAGCGGCTGAGCTCCGCCAGCTCCGTGACGATGCTCACGCGCCCCTCTCTCCAACGCTCCTCGATCCTCAGCGCCGGCACGAGAGCGAGCTTGCGGCCCCTCCGGCTCTCTACCTTAAACCCGCGGCAAAAGTACGCCAGACGGCGGAAAGAATGGGTCCGTTGCCTGGGCGAAGACGGCGAGTCGGCCTTTTGGACCCGCGCGGATGTTGCCGCTGCGACACGGCGCCTGACCGTGGTTAACACCACTGGTGCTAACCAGGGGGGCCACCGCATCAGCGTGGGCTTCGTGACGCACATGGTGCGACGCGCCTCCATGATGGGGGACATCGGCCGCTTAACCTTTGCCGAGGCCTCGCAACTCGACGCCGCCGAGACCATCAGCGGGTACAAGCTCAGCGCGAGGGAGTTGGAGTTGCTGGACCGCGTCTCGCGGTTGCCATTCCCTAAAAAATACGCCTGGTTTTTAGAGAGAATGGGCGCGTTGTTGCGGCCGTGGGAGGAAGGCCGCATTAAGTTGCGCGTGCAACGCGAGCACATTCTCGTGGAGAGCATGGAGCAACTTTTGGGCATCCAACCGGAGCATATCCATTTCCCTCTCCGCATTGAGTTCGTGGGGGAGGCGGGCATCGACGCCGGCGGGTTGCAACGAGAATGGTTCTCCATCTTATTTGGGCGCCTTTTGGACGACGAATTGGGTCTTTTCATGACCTGCCACCGCCACACACAAGCTGTGGCCATCAACCCGCACTCGGAGGACTGCACAGCGGACCATTTGCTCTACTTTAGGGGAATCGGGCGCCTGCTCGGCCGCGCGCTGCTCGAGGGTCAGACCATGCAGGCGCGACTGTGTTTACCCATTCTCAAGCACTTTTTGGGCACGCCGATCACCTTTTCCGACCTGCAGTACGTCGACCCAGAAGTGTACGCGAGCATGACCTGGATCCGTGAGAATGACGGCGTGGACGCGCTGGAGCTCACTTTCTCGGTTACGGAGCTACGCGCGGACGACGAAGTGGTCACGATCGACTTGGTGCCCGCCGGACGCGACAAGGCTGTGACCGACGCCAACAAGATAGAGTTTTTACACTTAAAGCTTCGCTACCTCATGCTGGACCGCTACGCGCCGCAGTTGCAGGCTCTGTCGCTCGGACTCTTCGAGGTGATCCCGCAAGAAGCGCTGCTGGTGTTCGACTACCAAGAGCTGGAGCTGGTTTTGTGCGGGTTGCCGGAGATCGACCTGGCCGACTGGAAGCGCAACACCGTGGTGGCCCCGAGTTTCGGAGATACGCCGCTGGTGGTGGACTGGTTCTGGGAGGTGCTCAAGGGCTTTAGTGAGGACGAGCGTGCGCGGTTCCTGCAGTTCTCGACGGGGTCCTCCCGCGTGCCAGTGCAGGGGTTCAAGGGGTTGACGAGCTACGACGGCCGCATTTGCCCCTTTTCACTGCGGCCGCTGCCCAACCAGACGCGCGGCTTCCCCAAGGTGCACACGTGCTTCAACCGCGTGGAGCTGCCGCTGTATAGCAACAAGGCGGAGATGGAGGCGGCGCTCTATGCGGTGCTGGATATGGAGTGGACCGAGTTCAGCGAGGAGTGAGCAGGTTTTGGGTGTTGAAGTGCAATATTTAAAAACGCGAGTGGTGCTATTGAAGTGGTTTGACTTGGCTCGGTTGGTTGCTTTCTCGGTCGGTCATCTCCCTTCACTTTTCTCGTCTCGTCCCAGACGCGATTTTTCTTCTTTCTGTCTGTTCCCAGTTGTGCATCTTCCAGTTGGCAAGCAGCAGCGATTCCAGACCAAGACAAGCTGGGCTTATCAATCCAGAGCGGTCGTGCGGCGGCCCAGCGATTGGCGGCGACGTTGACGCAGTACATGGGCAGCATGAGTGCGGCTGGATTGGGGGTGGACTCGCCACCTCCCACGCAATTTGACACCCGCAACAACAATCAAGGAGGAGAAGGTGAAGACATGCACGACTACCGCGCGGACGACGAGGACGAGTACGACGACGAGGTCGACAACAGCTTCGACTACGTCCCTGCTGTGAATTATTCCGAGTCCAGCGAGGACTTCGAGGGCGATGAAGAGGAGAATGAAGAGACTGCAGTGCAGCAGCAGGAGGCAACGCACGAGGCCGAGTCCCCACTGGGGGATGAAGTCGAGGAGAACCCCTCGTCGCCTATCCAGGACGAAGCTGCTGATATTGTGGAGGTGGATGTAGAGCGCCACGCTGTCCTTAAGGACACAACCGTCGTCAAGAAGTACTTGCACTCGGTTGCGACCTCGTCCTCTGCCGTGATTGACCGCGTGACGTCGTCAACGCTCGAAGCTGCAGCAGCTAAGGACCTGGGAGACAGCAGCAGCAGCAGCAGCTTTATAACGACTGACAGTGGAGAAGACGAGTCTACTCCCCACGCCAACGACTTGGAAAATGTCGTGGCCGACACCGCGGAGGAGGCGAAGGTGGCGAGTTTACTCAACGCAAGTGACGAGAAGATGGACGTCGACGAGGAGGAGGAGAAGCCCAGTGCCGTCGTGCAGATTCCACCTAATCCCGAGACTGAAGAACCTGCAGAGGCGATGGAGGTGGATCCAGAGGACGAAGTGGTGAGTGAGACGCCACAAAGCGGCGACATGGCGCGTGAGGCGGACGATGAGAGGAGCGATGCCCCCGATTCGCAACAATCACAGCCACCTGCAACCAATGCAGCCACTACAAGTACATCGCTGAAAGATCGCGGACCTCTGCCAGACCCCAGCGTCAAGTCAAAGCAGCCGTCAACTCCGTCGCCAAAGACGAAGAAGAAGGCGAAGAGACCGACCAAGTCGACGAAGAGGAAGCAGCGTGCAGCTCCCACTACTGAGCCTCGAAGTGAGGACAAGGGCAGTGATGCTGGACATGAATCCCCCACAACAACACGTGCCGCTGCTAAAGCTCCGACTCACACGCCAAAGAGCCCGAAGCGTGCAAGCGCCAAGAAGGCGAGGAAGTCCTCGACGTCCGCTGCTAGTGAAGCCGGTGCTTCCGGGAATGAGCAGAAGTCGCACTTGCCGCCTCTGCGTCGGTCCCCACGGATCAAGACGGAGACCCCGAAGTTCACGTACCCGGTGAAGCTTCTCGCCGATGAAGCCGTCATGAACCACTTTGACCGCGTGAGTGCGAGTGGAGCGGCGTCTCCTGCCACTGAGACTATGACGTGCAAGTATTGCGGCAAGACGGTGACCACTTCGCGTGGTATGACAGCGAGACACCTGAATAGCTGCGCAGCCTTCGAACGTCAGGAACAAGTGGTCTCGAACCTCGCCGAAGGGGACAACAGCGAAGAAAAACCAGCAGCTCCGTTGTCCCCAGCGGCTGCACAGGCTCCAAACGTCAAGTCCGAAGCCGCTTCGAGCCCCAACGCAGCAGCCACTTGCCTAGTGGAGCCGCTCGTGCCGTTGATGGGGTCCCAGACACTTGTTAACAAGCTGAAAAGTGCCTTTCAGCGCTCGCCACGTGTCGGACACGGACCCATTTCCCGGTTCCAGCCGTTGATTCGAGACGATCTCACCGGGTTGCGCCACCTGCGCGTACAGGACTTGCTGGACGATACGAACGGACCTATAGTGCAGCTTCGAGTCAAGCAGCGTGGGGCTCAGCGCAGCACGGGGCAGGACCTTTTGGAACCAGTGTCTAAAGCGAAGGCGCGTAACTTGGAGAAGCTCCCACTGCGCTTCCCAGCTCCTCGCAGCGTCGCCGAATACTTTATTGCGCCGCTGGCGAAGGAAATGGGCCTCATGTACGCAATGGACGAACACACGGCCCATTTGGTGAGCTGTCCGCAAGCAGGAACGCTGCTCGACTGGCGGTTCCATCGCACGGAGACTGTGGTCTTCCAGCTGGGTGGCAAGTCGCTCTGGAAGGTGAAAATAGGTCACGTGGAGCACCCGCTGCACTGCTTCCACCCCGATTCGTGGCAACTGGACGCCACAACTCACGTCGCCAAGGCTCACCGCGTGGCTTCGATGGACAAGAGCGTTTTGGGCTTTTTGTCGCCGCCAGGAGAAGACGTCCGCGTCTTCGATGAGGACGAGACTGGAAGTGTTGGTCAAGAAGAAGAAGAATATCTCCTGAAGCCTGGCTCGGTCGCGTATCTCCCTGCTGGCGCGTGGTTTGAAAGGGAGAGTCAGGGGCCGAACTCGATGTGGCTCGAGGTGCAGCTGGTGTCCATGACGGCGCAAGACTTGGTGTTCTCGGCCTTGAAGCAGCTCGCATGGGGCGACAAGCAGTGGCGGATGGGGCTGCAGCTGTACCCTGGGGATCGCGCCCAAACCAAGTCGATGCGGCACCACGTGATGGCCTGCATGCGGTCGCTGTACAACGTGATGGCAGAGCTGGAGGAGAGCGACCTGTTGCCGGAGTATCTGTGCACGGAGGACATGCAGGACCTTGTGGCGCAAGGGCTCCTCCAGAACGTGAGCAGAACCGCGTCGTCAACGAGTTTCGAGGTGGATCTGACGAACCCCAGACTCAAACTGAAGCACGAGAAGGTGTTTAAAGGGGTCGAGTACCGCGTGAACCCAGTTGCAGTGTTGATGAGCGCGGATGAAATCCCCCACCTGCAGCCTAATGATGAAGAGGAGGCCATAGATCAACAACCTGCTGAAGACGGCCGAGCGGCGCACCATGCCCTGAAGAAGACGCCCAAGCCAAAGCCTAAACGCAAGCAGGCTCTGCGAGTGATGACACACGGTGGCAAACACACGTACGTGCTGGAGGAAGTGTTCGGGAATGACGCGCTCAAGTCGCGGCTGCACGTCAAGTTCCAGTGCTCGGCGGACCAGTGGAAAATGGTGGAGTGGCTCCGCAACCGCGACTCGGAGCCGTTCGAGCTGGAGGAGTTTGTTCGCTGCGACTTGTCCATTCTCCAGACCAAGAGTCCTGCGCGATGCGAGGAGAACGCGAGGCAGCTGCTGCGGTTCCTGTGCTTCGTGGGGTACGTCACCCAGGTGAAGAAGCCAGCGGCCTGAAGAGGGGCTGCTTGAAGTTGACGACACTTATTAAGTCTTAACATCTCTTCTACATGTAGTAGTAGTAGTAGGCTCTGTGCCATTTCATATACGCCTCCCAGAAGCGCTCTTTAACTGTATGATCAATCATCGAAGGACCCCCCAAGCGAATGTACGCCTTCTGAGGGTTGATGTCGTTGTCGTCGAGATACTTGCAGTTTCTTGGTCTCGTCGGCCAGAATTTGTTTCAATTTCGCTTTCGAAGCGGTCTCGAGATCCAAAGTGCCAGCACTAGTCGAGCAACACGGAAACCTAAATATTCTTTCGTCACCAGCGGCGTCTTTAGTGCTATCGCGGTGGCCTTGACTGGCAGGGTCAGCGACTAGTTCGAACGGAAAATGGAGTGAAATGGCTCCGTCTTGTCCGCGGAGCAAGCTTCTTTCGAGAAAAGAACGATCGCAACAGCGCAACAAAGTGCGCGACGGACCGGGTGCATTTCCACTCTTTTGGCGTAGCTTGCCGAACTGTAAACTGAGTTCCGGTTCCTGTGCGGTCTTGGATGGCCGATGATTCTCAGCAACTGCTGAGCAACAGTATTCACAGCCGGGCATTTTGATTAAAGTTCAGGATGGGACCACCTCAACTAGTACATGTACTGTACATTGCCTGTGAGTCCCATACTATTTAATACATGTAGCACAATAGAGGGTTGGTGGCGTAAACACACACATGTTGTGAAGTAGAGCACCGTACTCACCGGTGTGCCCGAGAATTACCCTGTGGTTTATTTTATTGTTCTTACGAAGGTGGACTACACGTACGTATTATTGTACCGTATCGAGCTCGTTGAGTGATCACAACATGAAAAGATCCCGCAGAGGTCGAAAGGGCTTCACAACTCTTTCTCTTCGAATATGAAAAAAAGCATCCGAAGAGAAATTGAGATTGGACGGCGCGCTGGTGACGGTATCGACGAGCAGGGCGACACAGGGCAGAAACAGCGTTGGTCTTCGAAGCGGGCTTGACACGTTGGAGTCGATAGCGCTCTTAAAGCTCTTAGAAACCGCGGCAAACTGCAATCCATATCAGCTACTTCTGCTTTTGCCCTGGGCAGTTTCCCACTGAGTTTGGGATGACGACGTTGACGGGCTCTATCGGTGGAAGACGACCAATGCGATAATGTTTGATATGCGCTATCGGCTGAACCAGAGACCAGCACGCCGAGGTACTCTGGCTTGCCAGGACATGACCACTTGCGTAACGGGTTTAGCAGAGCAAATCACCCAGAGCACCACGAAGTTGCCAAAAAGAGATCAAGCATTTTCTTCATCCGCAACTTTGCCTGCAGTTGATGAAAGCTGAAAAAACTCATGAAATGAGTCGTACACCACTGGAAAAACGTCGTGGCGATGGAGTTGCAATGGCTAGAAGCACAACTTGGCACATTCGCCATGTTCTTACTGAGCCGTTGGGGGGACGTTCATGAGTTTCGGTGTTGCACAGTTCGCGATGAAAAGTCCGACTAACAAAACGGCCATACTTAAGTACTACGATACGGCATCGATATCATCAGCAGTCGCTACAGTAATCATTGCGTTGGATCCGCATGAAGTATTATACTATGAAGTTGTTATACTGGGATAGGAAGCGACGAAGTGCTGATAGACCAGCCCAAACAGGATTAATTCGGGCGATGTCCCCCCTTCCAATCGACACCGGTGATGAACCGGTAACGTCTTTAGGTCAATTTACAGTAAGTGATGTCTATTGACCGAGTGTTTTAGACTTCTCAAGAATGATGGAGGCTGGTCCAGTTCATTTGCAAATTCGTCGAGTTAGATTCGTCATTGATTTTGCTCTGAAATCGGTTGTACGTCGTGACCATAGTGGCGACATTGTCGGGCAGATTCTGCGGCTGCGAAGCAGGCGCAGGAGATGCCCGTGGAGCGTGCGGATTGAGTTTATCAATGGCGATCAAAGGTGAGTTAACCAATCCTATCCCAGCCTTCGCGAAGCCCTAGTACTGGGATAGGAAGCAACGTTCCAAAAGGTTTATATGCGTGGGCAGATTGAACCGGTGTGCTACCGACGACACTGGTATGAATCAGTGCATATATTGAGCAGGGTACGGATGGACGAAGAGAACGCTTGGACTGTACAATAGCACTAGAGGTACTCAGTAAGCATTTGCATTTTCTACAAGCTGCAAAACAGATCTCAACCAAGGTTCGCATTTTTAATTTTGTAAAGCATTGCCGGTAGACAGTTTGAACTGGCAAATATCCGGGCTGCGAAGCAGGCGCAGGAGATGACCGTAGCTAATAAAAAATAGTGAAAAATAAAAAGAAGGGGTTTATACCAAAATTCTCCTATCCCAGCCTTCGCGGAGCCCTAGTATCATGTGTGTCTGACTGAAACTTCATTGAGAGAGCTGTTCTTATGGTAATAAATTACTGAAACGAAATAAGTAAAATCGAAACATCCAAGGATGATGCTAAGCGTAAGCTTGTTCATCAGAAACATCACGACCAATATTTTCAGAGTATTGCGATCATCAAGAAACTCAACGCCGCTACAGAACTGGAATTATAAGCGAGCCACTAGCTCCTGCATTTCTAACGTCCATCCACTCTCTACACTTGAGCAGGAGTGATGCCTTGGTTTCGCATCAGAAACACCAGCTTCTTGGTCTTCAGAGTGATGCGGTGGTCGACCAGCCCGACTCCTGCGAAGGCTTTGAACCCGGCGATGTACTGGAAATCGTCTTCCAGCGATGTTGGATCCTTGGCTGTTAACAGATAGTCGAACTGCGTCAACTGTTCCACGGTCGTCACCGACTCGTCCTTCGAATACCTGGTTAGTGAAAACGAGACTGGTTAGTATACTGCAAACACACACTTTGCACTAAGGTTAGAGCACGCACCTCCATGCCGGGAACTCCTCGCCGAATCGAGACACACCAGTCATGGCAGCGGGGACGTCGATGTGCACAGTACGAGGTAGATCGCGCTCATTCAGCCCAATTTGATGCAAACGAACGAAGGCCTCGCCACCTTGAAAATGAAAGGCCAGGTAAGAGACTGACTCGTAAAATAAACAGTTTTAAGAATAGTTTGAGCGTACCAGGGTAGTTGTTTTGGGCGGCTGTAAGCAAGAACAGCGTGCCAATTACTGTGACCAGCATGCATCCAATGGCGCCAACAAGTGGGAAAAGCGCCTGAATACCACACGAGTATATGTTAGCCAAAACGTCAGTCGGGATACAGATAACGCCACGGTGAAAAAAATAGGAAAAACTGACCTTGCTGTTGCGGTAGAGCTTGGCTAGACCCTAGTGTGGAATTGACATCACATTGTAAACCAGTCAGTCCAATGAATATAACTCCCGCGAATCGTTGCACAACCTACCACGGCCGAGACCATGTTGAGGATCGGAATAGCGTTGAAGATAAACCGCAGCTCCTTGTGTGGGAGGAACGAGTAGAGCCCCAGGTATACAAACACGGGCCAAACGAGCGAAAACACACTCCAGTCCAGAACTGGCGCCGTCTTGAACGACCACAAAACGTCATGCAACGATCGGCTCTTCAGCAGCGTCGGGAGGAGCGTACTGCCATAGAAACAGCAAACATCCAACCGGTAAGTCTCACCTCTTGCAATTCAGCCTTCAACTACATGGATAAACAGACACCAACCTGAGTCCGAGCGGGATCAGCAGAGCCGTGGCCTGCAGTGCACGGGGCAGAGCCGACGTGAAGTACCACAGCGGGGGACTGACCCCCCACTCGCTGCTCTTGTTCTCCACGGTGTTGAACCACAGCACCTCGCCCTCCGGCCAGAGCCAGCGTTGCCAGAAGTACGAGTCCACGAGCACTGTCAGCGTCAACGACAGCACTCCCGAAGACAGTCCCCACCACACCATCGTGAAGAACGACACCCGACGAGACAGCAGCATGTTCAGCACCAAGGGCGCAAACAGCACCACCGTGTCACCTCGGAACACCACAGTCGCGAACGTGAACAGGAACACGCAGCGCTGCCACTTGTCCTGAACAATTTCAGTAGAAAAAACTAAAAAATTAGATACCCCAAATAAATAATAATAACTCCTCAACTCAAACCATTTACCCGGAGGTAGAACCCCAGTGCGTACAGCACCAACGCCAGCGCGTACACATTGGGTAGAGTTCTACTCATGTAGAACAGCAGGTGGAACTGACACGCGCAAAGCAGCAGCAGGAAGCGACTCGCGTCCCGACCGAAGCGCATCCCCACGCCGTCGCTGAAGAAGACGAGGCCCCCCATTGTCAGCATCCCCAGCACCCAGCGGGTGGCCACCTGCAGCCACAACTTGTGCACGCCCAGCAGCTGCAGCAGCCACACGAGGGGGCGACTGGCGCCCGCCACCGCCAAGGAGCCGATGAACGTGCGCGGCACGACGCCCGGGAACTCGAGGTGGTCGAACTGGTCCACGCCGCGCACGCCCAAGAGCAGCAGGTCGTGGGTCGCCTGCAGGTTGAAGCTCTCCTCCACCTTGGCGAAGGGGCACAGCAGCAGGTACGCAGTCATGGCCGACGCCACCAGCAGCTCCGCGCGGCGTCCGCGCATCAGGAACACCATGGTAGCACTTATGATACACTAGTGATTTCCTTGGGAGCAGCTGCCACGTCCGCGCTACCTGGTAGTCAGTAGCGGACTGCATGTAGATTGGCTGATATGCTAGCGAATCACAGATGAATAGAGGACTAACTTCAACTTGATGCAGACAGGTTGGTTATGTACGTGGGTGGGTAATAGCTAGCTACGCGTTAGATCTGGACGTCGGCGGAGGACGGGGACTCGGCTTGACCCGGCTTGTGGCTGGTGGGGACGCTGGCAACGAACTTCTTGAGCGAGTCGCTCATGAAGAACTGGCCCGACGCCTTGTTGAGCTCCTTGTCCTCGCAGAAGCAGAGCAGGATCGTGTCGATGGCCATCTCGTACACGCCGAGCAGCGTGGAGGCCACGAACCAGCCCAGCAGCAGCGCCAGCAGGATGGGCGCCAGCGGGGACGACAGCTCGTGGGCGCCCCCCACGCCGTAGTCGTCGCTGTTCTTCTCCAGGTAGGCGAACGTGGCGATGGCGCAGCTCAGCGCAACGGCCACTTTGCCCGCGCCCAGGAGCAGGAAGGTGACGGTGGAGACCGCGCCCACCTGCGCGATGTTGCTCAGCAGGATCTTGAACGCGTCCTTGGCCGACGCGCAGAAGCTGTGGCCCTTCATGGCGATGAGGATGTACGCGTTCTTGGACAGGAAGCGCAGGCACTTCTCCAGACACCACAAGCAGCACTGCACCACCTTCATCACGACCTTGAGCATGGCGTTCGACTTCTGCAGATCCTGCGTCTGGTGGTCCAAGTACATGAGCGCGGCGCGGACGAACTGCACCACGGCGATGATGAACGCGCCGAAGGCCAGCGACCCGAAGTGGTAGCGGAAGCAGTTCTTGAACGACGCGAGCACGGGGAAGCGCCCCATCTCGTCGCTCGTCTTGTTGCGGCTCCAGTAGTAGCGACTCACGGCGCCAGCGATCGTGCACATGCTGATGGCGTTTATGAGCTGTGCCGTCCACAGGAACCCGAAGAAGTGATACGCCACCAGGATCTTCATGGTCTGGTCGGGGCTCACCGTGTTCAAAGTCATGGTGGCATTGCTGCTCACACTTTGCCCCGCTTGTTCCGCGAGCTCACCCGCCAGAGAAGACAGCTGCATCTCGCCCGAGCTGTAGATGTACGCGCCCACAATGGCGGCGTACGCGAAGAGAAGCAGCAGCATAACGAACGGAATAATGGGGAACAGCACCAGCATCGGCAGACTCTGTAGCGCGCGCGATGCCTCCTTCACGATGCCGACTGCGATGCGGATCTTCTTCTGGAAGAAACACACGAGCAGGAGCGCAACGCCCGCCAAGGCGTACGACACATAGGCAGCCACCGCGTACGCCTTCTGCTTGTCCTGGCTGGCTTGCAGCGTCTGGGGTAAGACGATCGTACTGGCGCTCACTGAAGACGTGTCCACGCTAGCCGCAGCTGCAGCGGACGCGATCTCTGACGTGAGCGCACTAAGCTCCGAGCTGCCGATGATGCCTCCCTTGGTGCTCAGCATCAACGCGAACAGTAGCAGCAGCAGCACGAAGCTCCACAACGTGATCCACACGATGCAGCCAGCGCAAAACCGCAGCAAGACCACGAAAGCGAAGCCCAACACTAGCGCCAGAACTCCTCCACAGAGGAGGAACACGGGCCACGTCTCCTGCAAGTCGCCGATAACGCGTCCGATCGTCGCTCCTGCCGTCTGCAGACTGGAGTAGAGCGGGTTGTCCTGCGCGGGCCCTACAGCTTCTGACGTGGTCACGACTCGCTTGATCTCGCACTGGTCGTTGGGCGTCTTCACGCCGTTCACTTCGTCGTAGTATTCGGGCTCGTCCCCAGGGACGATGCACTTCTCCACTGATGTAGAGTTGGTCTCCGTGATCTGAAGACAGCGGTAGAACACTTGTTCACTCGGCAAAGCCACCAACCAGCATTCACGGTCGCTGGGGAGCACCGTGAGACTCGTAGCTCTGGCCTTGCGCTCCTTTTCTCGGTCTTCCTCGGTGGTTAGCGACGAATCGCCTTGGATTTCGGCCTCCGCTTCGTAGTTGCAGATGTACGTGCCAGCGTCCGGGCAGCTCGCCACGCAGACGCCGTAGAACGAAAAGTCTTCGGGAGCTAGCGACGGGTTGGCCGCCTGCTCCAGCAAGTCCTGCGTGATGCGCGGGTAGAACGTCAGAGGCTGGTCTTCGTGCTTGCCGGTGCCGCACGTGGTGCCGTTGTAGTCCGAGCCGAACAAAAGGCGCTTGGGCTCGCCGTGCATGAAGCCGACGATTGCGATGGCGACCATGCCGACCCAGAAGACCGCGAACAGCAACACGCAGAGCACGTCCCGACATCTTCGCGAGTTGGCGGGTGCCACCCCTTCCAACGGAACGCCGTCCTTGACACCAACCTGCTCCGTGTTGGAGCAGCAGCCCATTGTTATCGATCGTCCAATGCACGCGCGTGCGATCAGATCGAGCTTTGGTCGCTGCCACGGGACGCTGCATTTCTTGAAACTACCGACAGATAACGGCGATATCCGATGCCGGACGCAACGAAACTGATGCGCCTTCTCGGATATTCAAGAGGCAATTCGGTGGGTATTTGCATACAGCTTCGCGTTGAGCGTACGAATTCATCCGATGAATGCAACGTTGGCGAAGGGATATTGGTATTGACACTGACAAAAGACTGGAGTGCTGCAACCGCACACATAGGATTCCTAATTCTTAAAAGGGCCAGGCCTTGCCCAGCTTGGGCTCGAAGTTGCCGTCGTTGAAGGGCGTGTTGGCCTTGCCCCAGCCCACCGAGTTCAGGGCACGGCGCGCGTTCTCCGACATCTGGCTCCACATGATGAGGTCTTGGAAGTCGCCGCCCTTGGTCGTCACATCGGTGGCGTGGTTGACGGGCCACTGGCTCTCGTAGTTGACCTTGACGTGCGTACCATCGAGCGTGTCGGCGTTAGGGGGGGCGTACTTGGAGTAGCCGCTGTGCGCCGACGGTGACACGGCCAGGATCTTGGGGTTCTCGAGGTTCGGGTTGTCGATCCACACGATGACGTGCTCCCAGTCGTGACGGTGGCCCAGGCCCGACGACGGCGAGTCCTTGGGGAAGTACCACGAGTACATGATGGCCCAGACGCCACGGTACCAGGTCGAGCGGCCGTAGACCTGCGACCCCCAGCCAGAGCCCTTGCAGCCAGCGCTAGGGGCGCCCTTCGTCTTGAGACCGCCGCCCGTCTCTCCGGCTTCGTTCACCGCAGGGTACGGGTGGCATCCGTTCGTGATGTGCATCTGAGGTTTGAACTTGACTGCGGCCTTCTCGGAAATCGTCACGGGCTCAGGCTGCGCGAACGGCTTGACCTGGTCGTGGTCGATCCACTTGGCCTCCCACGGACCGGGATCCGGGGTCGGGGCGGGGGTTGGCGCGGGAGTAGTAGCGGGGGTCGGCGCAGGCGTGGGTGCCGGCGTGGACTCAGGCGTCGCTGGCTCGGTCTGACGAGGGTCCGGACGCGGCGTTCCCTTCGGGTTCGTCGGCTCCGGCGTCTCGCCGATGGTCACCTCCACCTCCTGCGAGCCTGACGAGCTCCACTCCTGCTGCTGCTGCTGCTGCTGGTCGTCCTCCTGCGGAAGGCCCTTCTTCGTGCCCGGCGTAGTCGCCGTCGGGGCCCTCGTGAACTGCTTGAGACTCGAGTAGTCGAGGTACTTAACAGGGGCCTTGGTCTCTGCCTCCTCCACCGCGCCCTTGGCCGTGCCGGGCACGGTCGTCGATCCATTCTTCAAGCTCGAAAAGTCGATGGACTTGGTGGTCGAGTCCTTCTCCTCTTGGGCCTGCACCGCCGCCACGGCGGCCAAGGCGACGCAAAAGATGGGGTAGAACTTCATCCTTCCGATGCAGTTGGTGATTCACGTCGGGGTGGAAGTTGCGGAATGAGGCGATTAGTAATTGAGCTTCCCTTCGTCCATTACTAGAGACAGCGCCAACCGATCGCAGCAGGTTATCTTGCTGTTCGCAGAGCCATGCAACGTGAACCGTAAATTCTTGAAGGTCTCAAACTGAGACCATCAGGGGCGTTCTTAACATGTATTGTTGTACACCGTACAACCGATTGCGTAATAATGAGCCACAAAGAAACGCGCACCGGTAGTACGGTGCACCAGACCTCTGTGAACGAAGTGAACGGGTGATTGGTGGGAATTGGCGGGACTTGGCAGAACTTTCATCGTCCAGAGACGAGCCCTAAGTAAAAAGGAAGAGTCCAGCCAATCATATCTCAGGAGTTGATTCTATGTATATATATGTACCTTTTCATGTAAAACAAGGACCTTTTCGTGTATCTTTGCCAAGTTCTGCCTCTTTTTCTACATACTCAGCATCAGATATTTATCAATCATGATACACTTGAAGCATGCAAATAGTCCCTTTGGAGATGAGAAAATATGATAAGGAAATGTGAGGTGAACGGATCACTTTCTTTCTCGTTCAATAGTAGTACGGGTGTAGCGTACACCGGGTATGTCTTGCACAGGTTGTACGTACACCCGTACAACCCCGGTTAAGAACGCCCCTCAGGGGCGTTCTTAACCGGGTGGTGTACAATTCAAGGGTACGAACATCCGCTTGAGCCGGAGCCTCTCACAAGAAGCATCCCACCAGGCTCACTACAAACCTGTTGTTCAAACTCATACCGGTATGCAGTTCCTTGTACATGAAGAGGCATGGGAATTATTTTAATTTTTTCTTTATTACTTTTAATCTCAGTGTTTTGCCCACTAAGATCGCATCCATGATGACATGTTCACGACCGCTCCCTTCGACAAGTTGTGAGGTGCATGTACCGCAATACGCATGTAGAGAGCAGCACCCTATGTTCACCCCGGTAATGCTGATCTGTATTCGTACTTAAAAGTATCATATACAAAATTCAACATGTTGTATAAGTCACAACTGTAATATTGTGGTTATATCTTATTTGCCGGGTATAATAATTGGTCTGATTGGATAAAAATATGTAGATCGCTTCATATGATTGGTCGATGTAGGTGCATCTCATGAGCGGGTGCAGCTCTCAACATGCGAATTGCGGTAAGTTTCCGAAGAGCGACCTGCCGCAAATCTCATCAGCACTCTCGAGCGCTACCATATCGCGACGGTTCCGACTTCCCTACATATTCCGACATCTAGGATTTATTGACCAAACTAAAGTTACCGTAAGTAAAAAAAGGTAACTGAAGAAGAAAATGGCAGGGTACTTGCAGCTACACGCAATAAAAGTTAGGTGATGATAAAGTGCAAGGGTAGCTACATATGTTATTGATCACCTTGATCACCATGCAATAAAAGTTAGGCGATGATAAAGTGCAAGGGTAGCTACATATATTATTGATCACCTTGATCACCAATCTACGATCACCGCCTCCTCAGCTATTGTGCCAGCTTTGAGGCACGCAGCACCGCGATCGCCACTTCCGCCTTGTAGTCTGCCATTGTTGGCAATCCGATCCTGCGCGGCAGAGACTTCACCAGCTTGACCTACTGGTGCAGCACCTTGAACGATTCGAGTAGCGGGGTCATGATGTACAGGTGACCGAGCTGTCCTCCTTGGCCACCTCCGTGATGTACAGTGCCCAAACGGCAGCCGTGCAGATAGGGTTCACCTCCTGCAGCCTAGCCGGCCGGGCACGACGTCACCGTCGCCTTCATCACCTTCACCTCCTTCGACAGCTTCTCGTCCAGATCGTTAGCCTCGTGCGGCAGGAACTTGTGCGACAGCGGGTCCAGCGTCTGGGTGGTCACGAGGAGGTCGTCCATGACGCGGAGCATGCCCTCAACATCCCCCTGCTCGAACGAGCACAGACAGCTGCAGCGCCGGCGTGTCCAGCTCCAAGGTACAGATCATGGGCGGACAGCGGCGATGCGCTGTAGCTCCGTGCGTGCCCTTGGCAAGGAGCCTCGCGGTCCTCCGCGGGTGTGACCGCGTTCGTGAGCCTCCATGCGGCGGCGCGCGCCCATGAGCTTCGCCACGTCGCCAGCCGCGAAAGCCTTCTGCAGCTCCTTCCTGCGCTTGATCATCTCGCTCACCGTCTCCTCCGCACTCGCGTAGCTGCCCCCGCGCAGCACCACCTCAGCCAACCTCGGCGTACTGCAGCAAGCTCACCCGTCCTCCGACGGCTGCGTGTGACGCCACGTCGACGGATGCTTCATGCGTGTAGAGCTAGCGTTGTGGCGGTGGAACGCTCAACGCGCTCGCCGTCATGGTCATCTTGCCTTGCCCTTCGCCGCGACTGCGTCGCCACCGATGCATGTGGGGGCTTCATCTCTCGGGCTTGATCGCCATCTTGAAATGAACACCAATCAAAACTTCACTCCGTCCTATTCTAGGACATAATCCTAGTTGTCAGAACGGCAAAACTATTTAAAAAGTATTTTCTGTACTTGATTTTTGTATATGCATATACATATTTAGGCCAGTCTTCCGACAAATATTTGTCGGAAAGTGTCGGAACGCGTTCACCTAAACCTAAAGCAGACGATTGGCTAAAATAGCCACACCAGGTGATATGATAGGCTGTAATTCAGGTGAAGACAAGCCTGAAACAATCCTGCTCGCTTATCAGTCGGAAAGACCACTATATTCATCCATACCGTCAAAATTCCAACGGGGTTGGACTGCTTCCAACCAAAACCGGTCTAGCAACGGTATTAGGTTTTTTGTTCAGCTGATATTTAACCTCACGACCGCCGATTGGATTTTCGGCCAACAGTCCAGAAGCTTCCAGGTTAGTGCAGGCAGCGAGTCGTGCAACGCTGCTTGTGCTACCTGTGCTGACTGTGCTGCTGTTGTCTCTGCGTGTACATAGGCGCTGCTGGCCGCTGGGCCGTGTGTGCTGCTGGGCCGTGTGTGCTGCTGGGCCGTGTGTGCTGCTGGGCCGTGTGTGCTACTGACGCTGGGCCACTTGCTGCTGGGCTATGTGCGCTGCTGGGACGTGTATTGGGTTGCGCCTGTGCGCTCTCGTGGCGTGTGGCTCAAGTGGCCGAGGGTTTGGACGAGTATGGTGCTGTTGATGGATGCGACTTACCCGCGCCCATGGAGCTTGTGAGGTTGAGCGCCAGGCCTTCGGGCCTGGAGGATCGGGCTCAAACCCCGACATGGGCATCAAGTATTATGTGTTTTTGCTTTCTTTTTGGACAGGTCGGCTAAGAGAGTGCGTGCTACTCCTGTTGTACGTATTGTGTATCTTATTGACTGTTTAGTGTGCTGCGTGTGCATTTAGGTGAAGCGCAGGAATGGCGGAAGGGCAGAATTGGGTGTCGGGTCGACGACTTCGCCTTCGTAGTAGCGCTCGCGAAACTCGTCAAGGAGGACGGAAAGGTGGCCTGCTTTGTGAAGCGCACGCATGGCTTTGACGACCGAGCCAACGGCTACAGCCTGTGAGCCTTGTGCAGCCAAGTATTCAAGCGTCTTTATCTCGGCTTCGACTCCAACAGTGTGGACCTCCGCCTTGTACGCTGGCGAGGCCGGGTCCAGCTTGAACCCAGAAGGTAAGCAGAGCATCATGAATGCAACTGCGTGTCGTGACTCGTGAAGGATGGCTTTGCTAACTGTTGTTGATTCGTACATGCGTGGTACAGCAGTGAACCACTCGAACCACACTGTCGATAGCGCTTTGGAGGCACGTTTGCGCGCGCGCTTTGGCTGCGACTGCTCAACGTCTTCGTGCTGCTGCTCGGTAGTGTTTGTTTTCTTGTCAATAGATTCTGCGTTCGCCCCCAAAACAGCCAGCCTTTCCTCTACGCGTGTTTGGCGGAGCAATAGCTCGTCGAGCTGCTGCGACAGCTTTTCGAGAACACGGATCATGTTTTGAGAGGACTCGGCCACTGTTTCTTGTTTCTCTTCTGCAGGTGGATTGAATGCAGCTCGGAGGGTGATCGACCATGCCAACAGCTCGGAGGCCTGTATGTTGAGGACACCAAGGGCTTCATGAATGCGACGGACGTACGGGTTATCCAAGCGATGGCGTTCCATCTCGGGGAAGTGAAGGATCAAGGTCGCTATCAACACTTCGAGCACCTGAGGATCCAAGTTCCAAGACACTGTCGGGAAACCAGTGACAGCAGCGAAGAGGAGATCCTGCAGCTTCTCCACGCGCGCTCGGGCGGCTCCGTCCAGGGCGGTAAGGTCTGGAAGTCGGGCGCCCGCTTGCGGGTTCCACCCGCTCAATTGGCGCGCAACTTGTTGATCTTCGTGTGTTGTGTTCAGCATGTAGGAAAACGCCTTGCTCACGCGCGACATATTCCAGCCCCCGCGTTCAACAACCCAGTTCGGACTAATGCGACTGTCGGCGTTGGCGTGCATGGCCCCACCTCTTCTGAAGGAGTGCGAGGTAAGTCCCTTCGTGAGTCCACTCTCCTTTGCTGCTGGCAGTCCACTAACCGTGACTAATAGTCTATTGATATAAGCTTGGGCACCAGGGGCCAAGTTGGCTCGACATGGCTGTGGAGTCTTGCATGTAGGTGCTTCCGCAAGCTCGCGGTCTAGCCGCGCAATCAGCCTCAGCTCGCCATCGTCGTCTTGGTCGTCGGACGCGGACAGTGCAGGTACGGCAGCAAATTGCGGGAAGATGCGAGTTCCTGGAGCGGGTTGAAGGGCGAGAGCGACAGCTAGCACGTGTAACGGGCACGTGATGGGATCGTTAGGATCCTTAAACAGGGAGGTTCCCTGTTGCGAAGCAGTCTTCACACGCTTAAAGCGGAGAAATATCATACCGCCTAGCATATACGCACAGAATTGTCAGCATAATTCGTGGGATTAATTAATACAAAAATTCAAAATCCTGCGTGATTCGTACCGGGGTATACACACAGCTGGGCTTTCTCCAATTGCTCAGCCTCAGAACCACGACCGTAGAGGTACCACATCAACGCCACTAGCGCCGCATCCAGGTAGTCGGAGTTGGCGGAAGCGTGCATGTAGAGAACCGAGATGATAGTCTTTATATCTTTCTTAGTACATGGTGGCGCTTGTTTCGTGACACCTTGCTCCGGCCTCTTTTCACAGTACCGATCTAGAGTTGATAGCATCTTTTGCAGCTTCTTAGCTACAATTGGCTCTGTTGCGGGTACAGATCCGCCAGCCAGTTCTTAACATTGCCAAAATAAGATAACACAGTGTTCTTGGACAGAGCTACTCCTTGTCTTCCTACCTTTTTCACTAAGAACCACCCATACTTATCCAGAATGACAAACAAACTCTTACCTGTGCTGTCCTTAGAAATACGATCATGCACTTCTGTGAGCGTCACCTCCTTCTTCGCAAGGAAGTCTTCGAAGGACTTCACAGCCGTCGCTCTGCTTCTCTGGCTGTTCGCAGGAACTAGCGATGCCACCGACATGCCTGTGTGCGTCGGAACGCAGAATGGAGTCGGAGATGAGCTGGCAGGAGTTGGAAACCTATGAATATTTATTCTATTTGTAGTTCACTTGATATTTGTATGGCGTGCTCGATATTAAATCGCGTTTCGAACCAGATATCGTTGGAATGTTCAGATCAGCGGTTGGCAGTCATTCCCTCGATTTAATTGGTCGAAATTTTAAGCAACGGTAGTGTCTATTGGTTGTAAATGCTAAGAATCGCAGACGACACACTCCTATTGGCCCGAAACACCATACAAACTTTAAGGTATTTTTCAGGGGTTAGAATCGCAGCGATATGCTACCATACCATGACGGTGCCGACAGCGGCCGACACCTGCCGACACAATCTATCATTGGTTAAAAGCCTAAATTTGTTTGATTGGTCTAAAACGGCTATTTTGAACCCTTCTCGCATTTTCATTTCGTGGTGGAGGTCATAATGGCGGCGCTCCTGAGCGCAATGCCCTCCCCTCCAGGCTTCGCATGCGTGTCATGCGGGCGTGCACAGGTGTGAGCAGGTCACCCAAGACGGTTCGTGGCAAGCCCGGCACGTCGGCGTGCACAGCCTGTGCCCTCGGAGCCAGTCGAGAGCGAGGAGGACCAGGGCACCCACGACACAAGGGCGAGGGGCAGCAGGCACCGGGGGGGGGCACCAAGAGCGCGGGGGAAGGCGAGGAGCTCAAGAGTACGAAGGACAGCAGAGGCTCCAAGGGCACGACGGACGGACGGGCGTCGTCGTTGGCGGCGGCAGTGGTGGTGGTGGTGGCCGAGGAGGGGGAGGAGGAGGAGGAGGAGGAGGTGGAGAGAGTGAGGCAGGCCGCGATGACGCTGCAGAAAGGAGGGAGGTCGAGCAGGAGTCGAAGAGTGGAGGCAGAGCGAGCGGCAGTGGAGGAGGAGGTCGTGCAATGCGTCAAGGAGCGTGGCGGTCACCGCAGAGGCAGCCGTGGAGGAGAGGGGGCACGACGGAGTGGCTGCCGCGTATGGTAAGGAGAAGGAGGGTGCGGCGGAGCTGAAGGAACGAGAGGGCACGGTTGAGGTGAGCGCGCGGCGTACTCGAGTCGTCGAGCCTGCTGGCGTCCGTGGACAAGGGAGAGTTACTGCGGTAGAGGGCGAGTGCGGCGGGGACGAAGGCGCAGTTTGCGGGTTGAAGAGCGGGTGGCCTGCAGCGAGGACACAAGGAAGCGTGCGAGGAGCTGGTGCGTCTCGTGGCGGCGCAGCTGGTCATGCAGAGCTACCACTGCGTGCGGGTGCGTTGTGTACGGTTGGCTGGGTGGGATGTTGCTGGGACCTGCCCCGAAGCCCTCCTAGCTGCAGTTAAACCGTTAATACTAATTAAGCATCTATTTATTCGAGTGTTTCATTGCGTGACCTCCTTCTACATGTACATCTCCACGATAAGAAACTTGCAAATACTACTTATCGCATGCCTTGCCGTTCTGCTAACATGTAGTACTAGTACTTAGTAGTGATAAGTTCATGAAAGTGCATCGCCACGGAAACTCGGTTGAGTTTGAGAAGCTAGCGGAAGCGCCACTACAAAACGCGTAAAGCAGTCAAATTCATGTTATACAAACTTTAAGTAAAGTGTCGGCACCGTGCAAAATGTGTATATTCACCTAATTACTTAACTTCACTATAGGTGGATTACATATCTCGACAGCCCTGCATACATTATACGTCGGCAGGAGTGTCGGCAGCTCATACACCTACCCCTAACGTTGATCATTGGATAAAATACCATCTATCGCCCTTCTCATTCGATAATAATCAGTCATCGACATTTGATTGGATCATGACAGCCATACAGTGGCTAAATATAAAATCATATGTGTCGGCACCGTCACGATATTTATCCATATACCACGCGGCTGTTGTGGTCGTTTCGAACGGCGAGAAAGTGTTGTGGCGCCGCACGGGTCAAAACTCCATGCATGTTGCGCATGTTGTGAAGGCGTCGCAGACTGCACCTTTGGTAATGTACAGACTAGAGTGTGAGAACGAGACGCCTGATATATCCGGATTTAAAAGGGAATCATATGTGGCAGACACCACTTTATGTATTTTACATTGACTCTAATACCTGATCTCATCGGTAAAAATGGGTATTAGTTGTTACCCGTCTCGTTCTCACGCTCTAGTCTGTACTGCGTCTTGATATCAATCCGTTGTGCTACGATTCCTGCTGACTTTTTTCGGTATTGCTCAAAAAGCGTCTGTCCGTGCATCTGGCTTCTGCAGTGCCAGTTCATGCTCATGTTCATGTAAGTTTTCTTCGGATTTGATATCGCTGCATTGTGTTTTCTTACCAAGCGGTAGATTGGCTGAACATTTCAACTCTCCCTCGGTATAGTGTACTGTAACCTGTTAGGGCACCTTATTGATTGAGTGTTCTAGTCTACACTATGCCCTCCTCCTCCGGATGAACCCGAGACCATGACAAGTCCAACGCCCTTGATGAAGCTAAAGAGGGCATTTTGGACAATCAATAAAGGTCCTGGCTTGTGGAAGACGCGTAGGAAACGCGACTGCCATGGGGGTATAACGACAAACGGCGATTGTTTCACAGTCAGTACCGCGTTAACGCATCGATGAAATTGACCCAAACATGGAAAGTGTCTATTAGTACAACATGGGCCAGAGAAAGAACCAATGGAGGCGAGCGGTTGCGAGGTCGCGTAGCCATAGCAGACCCGTGCGGGGTGCCCGCGAAGCAGGGCCGCGCGGTATCTGCGGAGGCGGGCCCAGCGCCGAGCATTCCAGCGAGCCGAGCACTGTACTCGCCAGGTGAGAGAATCTTTTTAAGCTTATCGCAGGAGCGCAGCGAAGCAAAGCCCATGATCCTATACAAAAATCAAGATATCGGTTTTAGCTGTGCTGTACTAATATCCTCTGCCCCAAACATGAGACCTATGCTGCAAAGCGGTCTGGATACGTTAGAATACAGAGGTGCACCGCGTATTCGGCATGGATACATAATTCGGCTATAGCAGGAAATCATGTATGATAGGTTACTGGTACTTTGTAATGTATACAAATCTCAATCTACTATCTTGGGGTATTGATTTATACCGGTGCCGAAAACGCTGTAGCGCGATGGTATGATACCCACTTGACATCATTGATGGTGCGACTCAAGAGTACATGTATCGTTTTATTTGAAGAAAAGGGACATTCTCATGGACCCGGCATCAAGGGCAAGTGCCTTTTGAGATTCATCTGTTTAGCCGGCATCTCGATGCCGTACCGGTACAGTAAAGGTTGAGCTCAAGCTTTTGACGAGGAATTAAACTGGCTAAGTAGACTACCCCGATTTGTCAAAACGTAAGTAGATAGAGAATCTATTTTAATAGTATTAAAATACTTGTAAGTAGGTGAAAATAAGCATCTGGAACGGTCTAAAATAAGAATATAAGCGATTACAGAACAAACTCGGAATCATTAAGCACATACATTTACGTAGGAAAGTGGGGTTTCCTCGACCACTGGGTCCAGCGTTGAGCTGCTGCAACCCTTCTTCGCCTTAATCTTTTGTTGGCAGCACTATTGCCACCGTGATCAGCACGCGGCTCGTGACATAGACGTTCACGGCATGCGCAGTCTTATGGCCTTTGGATCATGGACCAAACCATGCGGTCCAACGTTGGATGCATCTGAAATGACTGTCCCAACTACTGTAGTGTAACTCAGAAGAACTTTTGCAGGTGAAAAAAAGATTCGAACGATTTTAGTGTCGAGCACTATGCATTGGACGAAAAGTTAATTCACTTTAGTTATCTCTTTTCTAACTTTAATTAAAAGGGACTCATACTCCAGCGGAACAATGTTGTATTTGATGGTTACAAAAGTGCGTGTTGGTCTGTACGTCGTGTACCCCGCAAACATGTTAGTATGTTTTTTTCAGCACACTAAGTCACTATAAGTGCTGTTTGCAAACGGGTTGTATCCAATTATGGCTCCTCAAGAGCACTGTTACCCGTTGTCGATTCCATATTTCATGTATTCACCACGGCGTAGCCAGAGTAGTCTAGTGCTACGTAGTTTGAGGAGTCATGAATAGTTAAAAAAAACTGTCTAACTCCACAAACATGTTAGCCAGATTCACTACACACTAACTTGTGCTAGCCATCAAATAGTGTTTGATTTTTTTGGGGGTTAAGATGTCCTCTATTTACTTCAATTACATATGAAACAATTGGCGGGAACCCGGGTTCCCGCAAATGATACCGACCAAATCGCGAATTATCTATTTAATTTTTGGCCTCCATATTGGTACCCTCGGGGCAAGTTAAACCCTCATACCTAAGTGCTGTCGATGAAGGACTACCCTCAAAATATGCCACCGGTACTGAATAGACCCAAATAACATACCTTACCATGTCCAAGTTTATCTTTCAAGAGCAGGAGGATAGCGATGAGACCGGGAAGCACTGTACCGCTGCACAAGGCAAGCGTCTGGATTTTCGTGGAGAGACACAGGACGAGGGCGAAGGTGAATTAACCTTCCGTTCCCCTACTGAGCTTTAGCTACGTTCTATGTAGGTCATAGACCAACACTTCAATGCACATGTGTACCGGTAGTTTTGGGGGAACCGGGGTCCCGATGGGTACCCGGGTTCCTGCCAATTGTTTCATATATCAAAGCAGAAAATAGGAGAAGAACAAAAAACTACTAGCACTGCCTGCGAATCGTTGAGCCATTAATAAAATTTACAGTGTCCAGCCGTTGTCACTCGGTGTTCGGCTTCTTCGCACTAAGTTCCTCGCAGCGCGGATAAATGTACGAGCCGTCACCGACAGCTTTCTTTGCTTACGTGGCCGAAGAGCGTCGGCAAGCCTCGCGGTGGTCTGGCCGCACATAAGGGTTTGGAGCTAGGTACGAGAGGGAATACGAGCTGGGTTATTGGATAGAAGCAATTGGTGCCGCGCGATAAGAAGTTTCAATCCCCATGATTCATCGTCATTAGAAAATTCTATGAAAATAGAACAGTCGCAGTTTCTAAATCTGATACTCTATTTTTTACTTTTATTTCTACTTGGATAGAAGCAAGAACCTACTTACGTTTTGGCAAATCGGGGTAACCTACTTAGCCAGTTTAATTCCTCAGCTTTTGACCGTCAACACAAGGGGCAACAGACTTGCCGAATGCTTTTAAAATACAGTACGGTACGTGTACCGTATTTGAGATCTCATACTTCATACACCATATTCTTGAAGTTGTGTTGTTGTATTTTGTCTTTGCACCATTTCACCCTTTTGTGCATATTTTTGGATCTTTCTTGCCAAAAATGGCCATATTCTGTAGCAAATGCACTATCTCCCCGCTCTGAATTATGAGATCTCTCTGTAGTATGAGATCTAAAATACTGTATGTGCATTGTTAGCTCGCACGCTTTCACGGGTGTGTTCGATCCACATGTATTACCCACAGATTGCTACCGTACTTGCAGTCATGCTTGTGCTACAGAAATCTGCCTCAATACCGAACGGGTACAGAGAACTCCGGTTATAGTGAAGGTGTTTGGCCATCAACTTCACAAGCTCTCTCATAAATTTTTGTTGTTATAAGAGGGAACCTATCATTGAACATTCAAACTACTATAAAGCATGGATGTACGAGGTGATCGACGTCTGGCGCTCAGAGATAATCGCCATTCTCCTCGTAGCATTGACAACGTTCTGTACACTGGTGTCCTGTAATCTGTGAGCAAACATGTAGACCTGAAGCTTTTGAGCTGCTTCTAGTGCCTCGCTGTGCGAAAACGGTCGTTCCTCCTCACCACCACAATCACTCTCACTGTCACTTGGAACTTGCTCGCTTGCGTCGTCGCTGTGTGGGCTATCGTCAACAGCATCTTCAACGTCAACGTAGCGTGCCGCACTCAATGGATCCAACAGATCTAATCTAGATATCAGCGCTTCTAGATCTTCCAGCTCCGTTTCTCTTGTCATCGGCTCACTGTCGCGCTCAAGCCTAGCGCTCATGCTTCCGGACACAATCCTAGTATGCCGCCAGCAGTGTCGAATTGTCGCATCCGAAACCGCGTTCCATGCGTCCACGACAAATTTTATTGCCGTCAACAAATCTAACCGCTTCTGTGGACCGGTCTGCTCAATCACCCACTGCACAAATAATTTCTTGTACTTCAGCTTGAAGTTTCGAATAATGCCGGCGTCCATTGGTTGCAGGTGCGACGTAGTATTTATTGGGTGGAAATGGATGTACACATTGTTCAGTTCAATGTCAACATGACCGGCAGCGTTGTCGAGCAGCAAAAGTATTCTGCGTCCATGCATCTTGAGATTTAGCGCCCGCACCCACTTCAAAAACACTTCAGATGCCATCCATGCTTTTTGGTTCGAAAAATAGTCCATAGGGATCGCACCAACGTTGACACCTTTGAAGCAGCGCGGTTTCGCAGCTCGATTGATCACGATGGGCTCCAATTTTTCAGTACCTGCCAAGTTGCAGCACAGTCCGATACTAATTCGAGTCTTGTCCTTCTTTTTGCCTGCAACGGACTTGAGTGACTTGGTAGCATACGGTAAAACAGAGCTGTCTCGTCCATATTGAAAATATCGTGGGGGTTGTATTTGTCGAGTAGCTCCATTAACTCTGCGCGTTGCTGGCCGAGGTCCGCCATGTCAACCGATCCAGCCTCCCCATGCATCTTGTGTAGCGTCACACGATGACGAAACTTGAACCGTTGAATCCACGACAAGGAAATTGTCTCCTCTCCGACGAGTTCATTTGCCTTTGTTCGTAGCACCTCGTCCGAGAGGAGACCCTTGGATTCTTGAGCATGCACGAACTCCATCAGCTTGTCTTCAATAGACGCATGGTGCGACTTGCGTTTCTTTTTAATGTTCCCATTGGGAGTGCAGTCAAGTGGCTGGCTGACAATTTTCCCCACTGTCGACAGGCCAATCTTTTTGTTGAGTGCAAAACATGCACTTTTGGAAGATATGACCTCCTCATCTTTTTATCACGTATCTATAATATTCGCCAATGAAATAGATGTCAACCGTCCATTGCACCTTTTCGTTGTACACGAATAAATGTACTTTTTCAGATTACCATATCCTGTTGTTTGATGTCTTGGAGCCAATAGAGGATGTTAGCAAATTGGTATTTTACGAGTTGGGGATAAAGACACTCGACCACCGCTGTCTATGTTCCCGAACTCGTAAGAGGGGAGTCGTGTTAGTACGGAATCTCCCGAGAAACTCGTAAGGCTTTTTCACCAGACTACAAGCCTTCTGATTGGCTCGTTACTCTCATCCTGCATCTCCCCCTCGAGCACCATGGCCGCCATGGCGCTTACAGGTACATGTAGCACCGCGACTCGATTCGAGTCGCGGTGGTTCGAGTCACTCGAACCACCAGTGCCCCCCCCCCAATCCGTGTGACGTCCTTGCCTCTCCCAGCGAGGCACACGAGGATGACGACGATTCGGCTGCGCGTCTTAAGTCATAACGGCGCGTCGAAGTAGAGTAGGCAGCCATTGACCACAAAGAGCAGCATAAAGCAGAATATGTTGCTTAGTGATGTCCGAGTTCCTGATCGTACTATTGGTTAGGATATGTCAACCTAAGAAGATGCACAGCGCCTCGATACTGTAGCGTGTGATTATATCGCGGGTGATGACGTCGAGAAATGTAGTGCTGCGCTGAGCGCGCGAATCTCATCCTCGGTGAAGCGGAAGTACCTCTTGCAGTACGCATCGCTGTGCTCGTTGAGCCTCGAACGCCTGGAATGATCAGTCACTCGGGGCTCTCAAAGCGCGAAGCAGCATGGCATCGGATGCAGGGATCTCCTGTCAGCAGGGCGGCCTCTATCGCTGGGAGTCAGTTGGATTTCGTAAATGGGAGGATACGAGAATGCTAACACTGTCGACGATTTCGTTTTAACTAAACACATAAAAATGTTGACCGTAAATTTGAGTCGTTATTTACGAAGTTGCTAACATCCTCTAATATCAGCTCTTTTTCTACGTTCTTTTCGTCGCTGAATTTGTCTCTTTCTTCGCTTTTCAATGGTATTTTCAGATGTTTCTAACTCCACCTGGATGATTAGATACTATATGCGAATGAAAATTTGCATTCCTCGGACACGAAGAGATAGTCAGAATTTGGGATATCGCGGAAGCGCTCTAATAGTCGATTTTCTTTTATACCCGGCGCCAATATAGCCGGAGTTCTCTGTATACAATACATAACCTCATATAAATAATACTTCAAGGTCCAACAACAGGACGAACGGAGATGGGCAAAGGTACTGATGTAAAAATCCAGGATACCTGTTTGGCTAAAAGTACTAAGCTGTGCAGTTTGAAAATTGGCGCCCTTTTGATTGTCTGCGCGATCTTCTCTGTATTTACGATTCCACTTTCACATTTGCGCACTACCCGCTAAGCCCTCTACGAGTAGTACAAAGTAGAGCTACTAACCGCACTGATGTGGTGCGAACACGCTTGGTCGAAGGTCAGCGCTGAAACAACTCAGCACTGCTTTACTCGGGTTTGATTAACACCTTGTCTCAGAACGGTACTCGCCTCAGACGCGTAAGCGCATGTCGTAAGTTACGACTTACCGATTCACTTGATATTTGTATGGACCATGTGTTTCTCATCGGGATAGGTGTATAAATTGTCATCAGGTTTTCTCGCCAATGTTGTAAGTGATACGACATAGAAATAGAGTAATCGCCGCTCAATGTCGTAACAGACCCCACTTACAGTCAACAGATGGCTGAGGAGGTACACTGTTCTGCAGCTCCGATCAGAAATCACATGAAAGAAGGTGCATTGGCTCAACAAGCTTTTATTCAACCACACGAAACTGACCACTGACTAACTGAAACGCAACCTACACGTTCACTGTCATTGCTGTCATTGTCCACCATCACTTCCTTCTTCGCGGGGAAGCTGCAGTTCCCACCGTGTCTTCTTGCGCTTGCCTGCGTTCTTGCCGGGCGTGCGCTACACGGCGCGGTTCCCCAGGTCTAGCCGGTCACCCTGAGCTGCCGCCAAAAGTGTCTAAAGTCAGCTTCGTGTGCTGGGTGAAGGTCCTTCACTTATCCTTCACTGAAGGATATCTGTCTGGTCCAACTCTGGACGTACTGTCCGGACTCTGGACCAAACTGTCCAGGCTCTGGATCAAACTGGAATCTTTCACCCACCTGAACCCATCCTCTGACCCGGTTCTGTGAACTTGTTGCAGAGACCTCTCGCACCTTATAGGTTGCGGTTGCTTGAAATAAACTTGATTAAAGTATGACAAAATCGTGTCTATACGTTTTTCTAGTATAACGCGCTCAATGTCGTAACTTACGACATAAAAACAGACATGTCGTAACTTACGACATAAAAACAGACATGTCGTAACTTACGACATAAAAACAGACATGTCGTAACTTACGAGGTTCGGAGACAATGTGTTAAGTCAAATCCCGTCTAAGATAAACTAATTCAGTACAGCCTTTTCTCTGGTAACGGTGAGATCACTTTATAAACCTAGAGCCCTTATACATATCAGGCGTTCGGTATTCAGGCAGAGTTCTGTATTAACCAGTGATAGGAAGAAATATATTGACAGCGAGTTGCATGATTTGTCGTCATTGCAGTCTTGCATTGCAGTACTAGCTCACTTGCGATTGAGAACTGCAATCAAAGCCACCACTGCAATTTGCATTGCAATACGCTGTCATGGCGCAATACATTACTGCACTTACGATATTGCAGTGTACAGTTGGCTAATACAGCTTTATTATACACACAGAACAGAGTTTTCAAGAGTCCGCTATGCTCGATATCAACGTGCTGTAGATTAACAGCAGATTTCTGCTGACAATTGCCAGGGCGTGCTGGTGGTGCTAAGGGAGAAGAACTGGAAGAGAAACCATGTGAGTGAGCACAGTGAGTATTTTGAGTTTCGCTGCAATATTGTATTGCAATATACACAGCGCATGCAATTGATATTTTGTATTGCTATCGTTCTGCAGTCTTGTATTTTGCTTGCAATATTTATCACCAATATATTTTTACTGGGATAGGAAGCAACGTTAGTGCTGCTATCGCAGACCAAACAGGATTATATCCGTGGTACGTCAAGTCATAAGGTGACCCCTCTTGACCTAACTGGTACATTGTCCTGAAACCGGCGTGACCCCAGTGCCGCACTGGGCCCTCCAAAAGGTTTATATGCGTGGGCAAGCTGAACTGGTAGAAAACCTATTACACCGGTACGGCCGCGGTGCCGCACTGGGCCCTTTATATGCGTGGGCAGATTGAACCGGTATGAGTCAGTAACATATATCGAATAGTAGGAGTGAAGTAAAGTGAATGATTGAAGCGGACGAACTGCTGCAGAAGCATACAAAGGTAAATATTTTCATTTTCTACAAGCTACAAACAGTTTCAAGCAAGGTTCGTTTTATCACTGTGTATAAGCACTATCTACAGTTTTGAGGTGAATTACCGGGCAGACGCTGCGGCTGCGAAGCAGGCGCAGGAGATGCCCGTGGTTCGTAAAAAAAACTCATAATCTTAGAAAGCGATTATACCAAAAACCTCCTATCCCAACCTTCGCGGAGCCCTAGTTCCAATCACTGCTATTAACTCTAACAACCACGAAGTGCAGGTTCAATACGACAGCAATCACAGCATGACTGCGTAACATTCTTAATTTAACCTTTACACCCAACAATCTCGCGCGTTGCACGAAGAAACTCTCGAATTTAGTTTATAAATTTATCCTGGTAGTGCTACTCTGTAGTACGAGAAGCCCAATAGGGATTAACTTGAGGCTTCAAATATGTGGACCACAGAAAAAGTAGGTACTGGACCAATACAAATCTCAAGTGTAAGGGTCTTATAAATATAATGTTTTGCATTGAAAGCCCAAATCTACTCATTTACACAGGTTTTATTACGAAATATAGCAGGTGGAGGCTTAAATGATGTGATACGTTAAAGTTTTGGATATTATCTGGTCTATTGTGTTAGGGTGTACTTAAGCTTTCTTGAGAAAACAATCGGCGAGGAAAGTGATCGTTTACATCATGGGTGGGGCCAACTCCTTCAACGTCTAACGCAAAATAGTAGCTGTTTTGAATTGAAAATCTCTTGATTAGTTAAAACCTCTAATCAGTTGAGCATAACTCTGGGATCGCGGTGTCCCGCCTATTCAATTTCATTCTTCAGCTCCGGCCTAGTAGAGTCTCTCGTGGTCGTCCT